GGTGAAGGCAACGAACGAGGGCGTCGTTCGGTTACCCTGGTCGTTGGCGATGATATCACATCGGTCCTCACGGAAGATACCGACGCATGAGTAGGTCGTACCCAGGTCGATACCGACGGCTGGTCCCATACTAGCAGCCATTGTGTGTGGTGTGTGTGTGTGAGAACTCTAGAAAAGGAAAAGAAAAGGAAAAAGCGTGCGAAAGATGAGAGTGTAGAGAAGAGAAGTGTGTGTGTGGTGATTTGTGTTGTGATGAGTATGTTCTGGAGAGAAAAGATCTGGTGCAGCTCGGTCTGCTCGCAGCGTCTAAATAAAGCGGGATGGAGATTCGATGCGGTTCTACACTGTTCCAAGGGTGCCCACACCGGCCGCCTGCAGGGGCACAACAGAAGCCTCTGGTAGGCACTGCAAACGCCTAGGCCAGGCGCCGAAGCAGCTGGAAGCCCCTCCCCTGCGCGTTTTGCCTTCGCCTTTATTCTTTCTTTGTCTCTCTGGGATTTTCCCTGGTTCTGCGCGCGCTTCTTGCAGGCGGGGTGCTACATAGCATCAGTGCCTGATGATGGCTTCACCTGCGCTGCTGCCCCGCCATTGCATCTGCCTGTTTTTGGCTGTTTGTTTTGAATCCTATCGCAGCTACCTTACTAACCTTACCTTCACATGAAAAACTGAAGCTTCCATTGAATGCTTCCCAATGATTCTTCGTACTCGTAATTACAGGCATCACCAATTCACTGCTGATTCCTCCCATCACCCCTCATGATTCCCAATTTTTCTCCCCCTCCCTTTGATGTCATCTCCCCTCCAGCTCCCAACTTAAGGCGACAAAGAAAGAGAAGAAAAAAATGCATCGCGGGGCAGTGGCGGGGTCTCTGGTACCTTGGGCGCCCATACACTGCAGCTGCTGTGCACCGGTAGCGGGTACACAGCTGCCCCACCACAAGCCGCCAGAAGGTGCTGGACAGCTCCAAGGTCCTGCCACTTGCCTGAAGCTGCTGATTGCCTGCCTCAGGTACCAAAACCGCAAGTCGCAGGGCCAACAGCCCGGAGCTTGCAGGTCATCGGCCCCACGGTCAGCTCAGCCACCCTGTTCCACCAGCTACCGAGCAACTAGCCACACCCGGGACGACTGCAGTCCCCATTGGCTGACGCTGCTCGATCCATCTTTCCAGGGCTTCCTACTGGACGCGCCGTCGCCCGGTGATGCTGAGCTGCAGCTGCTGAGGAATGATCGGGTTGATCGCGATCGCAGCAGGGTGACCTAATCACGCAGGAATGAGAGGTTTCTCGAGCTTGACACGAGCTTCACCGAGGTTAAATTCGTTAATTGGCTGATGCCAATGAGAAATTGTCGCGAATAGTCCGTAGAATACGATACAGTACATAGTATGCACTGTCCATAGAACTGAGAGTCACCTCAAACTTCGCACCAATCCGTAGACCGGAATTGCCTCGTCAGGCAACACCAAACTCCTGCTCTCCGTACCAGCACCAAAACATCCACACTGAACCTTGTCAGAGCATGACCCCAAAACTTCTTCTCCTACCTTCCATATCGCCCCTATCGCCTCTTTCGTTTACATCATAACCTCCTCATCACACGCTGAAAAGCCAAGCGAAGCTTCTCCCAGAATCAATCACGCAGAAATGGCCAGATGATTCGGGAGAAACGGGGTAGAACAAACGAGTTTCTTGAGCTCGGTTACAGCTTTCTCAGGTGATATCTGATCGAACTTGGATGATGGGACGCTTCGTCTGGCTGGAGAGACGCGACGCTTCTAATTAGTAAGGCTCCACAGACGGTTGGAGGCGGATCGTGATGGCTTTGGCGATGGCTCCACGAAACCGTCCGCTCTGAGCTCGTGATATTTTTCTCAGGGACCATTTCACTTTAGGAACATGTGCAAATTTACCATCATGACGAGTACTTTGCCTTGGTAAGACTGCAGTTCACATATGGCGTTGATATGATGGACAAGTCGGACTTGTAGCTCCGGCCTCAAGAGAACATGAATAACTTCCTCCTGCCATGCATATCAAACAAGAGCTTATCGTATGCAGACACCCTGTACGCTCACTATAGGTAGGGCTCTGATAATACTACTGCTACTCTAAAGACAGCTTTTAGGCACATCTTGATCCTGTCCCTACTCACACAATTACTTCTCCGCGCCTGCATGTCGTGAACCGAGAGCAGTGGTAATACGTATCGGCCTGCATCATCCAGCCCAGCCTAACTTAACCATGAACCATAAGATGAACCGCATCCCCGCCAACGTGGGTCTCCAACGCTGCCTCTAAAAATTCATGTAATCGGGCGCCTGAAACCGACTCACCCCTTCATCCCACCAGCCCTCACTGGCACAGACCCTGTGCTCAACTGTCCTCTCGGCCTTTTCTCTGCAGGGAGACGATGGCTCCTGGCTCGTCCCACGGCGGCGCGTCCTCCACGATTCAAACAGCCCCCGATCTCGCCGAGCCGGACGTATCCACTTGAGCCGGGTGGCCAGCCTCTTGCTCCCCTGCTGGTACACGCTGCTGGCCCATTGGCGTAGGCCGGATTTGCGGTGCTTGGATATGGAGCCTGACAGGCTGTGGAGGGAGAAGACGGATGCTTTCCGCTTCGACGGTCTTTGATGGCCCCTGTTTGCAGGCGTGAACGGCAGCTGCGTGGTAGTATCGGGGCTCTGGTGCCGATTGTTGGCTTCGTGAATGCCATCGTACTGATTCTTTATGGGGTCGCCGCTCCGCCAAGTCAATCTTGAGCCGGGACCAGCACTTGCGATACGCGCTCCGGAAGGGCTCGGCTGCTGGGAGGCAGAATCGCCGGGTAGGATCTCTGTGCTCTCCATCAGCGGGCTTCTGTGGAATGATGCTTCTGCTGGCCGAGGCTGCTGCTGGTCTTGCCACTCGGCGATGGCCGTGTCGGCTTCTGTCATCACATCCGAGGCGGTGGTGGTCACGGTCACATCGTAGCTTTCATCCGAGGCCAGAGTAGAGCGCAGGTTCGAAAGTCGGTCATTTGCCCTCCCGTAGCGTGATAGATTGGTAAAACTGAGCTTGTTTGGGCGGTACATGGACTCTGGCGACTGAATCCGAGTAGAAGCTTTCCCGTGGGAGGGATACGAGGAGGAAGTTCTCCGATGGTGGCCGCCAAAGCCTCCCAGTACTGAAGCATCTGAATCCAGGGCGTCGAGCTTGAGGTCGCCCATCATCCCTTGGAACTGCTCACTGCTCTCGGTCGAGGTCCGAGGCGATGAACCAGAGCGACTGCCAGACAGGGAAGAGTCCAGACTATCGTTAACCTCATCTTTGCTCTTGCGAAGAGGGGGAAACGCTCGATAGTCCCTCCACTATCGGCTATGGATAGGGTTTCCCTTCCTCGGGGCCCGGAGTAGAGTGGATTGGTGCCAGGGTTTGGCGCCCCGGATGTTTGATCGCGCAGCATTGGGCGCTTCTTCCTCGGAGCCTATGGGGGTAAGCTTGGATGGCCGGCGAGGCTTCGTCTCATCGTCGTCGCTGTCGAGGTCTATGGACTCGGCCGGCTTTGTAGCTTCGGGAGAGCCCGAGCGCGACTTGGGAGAGAGCTTCGAGAGACTGGTGCTAAACAAGCCCGAGGCTTTGCGCGAGAGCGTCTTGCCGGGGGTGGCGCTTCCGGAGGGTTGAGCAGAGCGGAGAGAGGGAAGACTCAGATGATGGAGCATGGCGATGAAGATGCACCCTGTATATCAAATGAATTTGGTACGACGATGAATGAAAAGCGACCTGTCCAGCGGATTAACCATGCCAAGGCTTGCCAAATGCCTGATGAGTACAAAGTACCCTGCAAGAATAAAGAATGCGTCCTTATCAGGCATTGTAAATTCAAAGCTGTTCATTTTCTCGCGTTACATATGCCGAAGAGTCGAGGCAAGAGCACTTGCATCTTGTTGTAGGTTAAGTGAACCGTCCAAGGTGAAGGTGTGTACTCCGTAATGAGGCGTGGATACAGCCACCTCAGCCAATCCGCGTCTGCGTCAAGCGAGAGGAAGTGCCTATATAAGGCAGATTACTTTCCCCGCTTTGCAACCAACGATGGGTTCAAGTCTACAACTGGCTTCATGGTCTAGTGGTATGATTCCTGCTTCGGGAAAACACCTGAAGTCCCCGATTCTTCAGAATCGCCTTTGCAGGAGGCCCCGGGTTCGAATCCCGGTGAAGCCCCATCTTTTTTCCCTTTTTTGCCTTTTTCTTTTTTACACTCACTATCCTCATCATTTGTTGTCTAGACAGCATGCATCTGTTCTGTTACTGAACAGAGCCTCCCTCTTGTGGCTGCTCAATGAAGCGGTGGCCGCAGCTTCCTCTCGACTTGACCGGTCGGCAACTTCCCGGTTTCTGAAAGCTCCGATCCGAGCGACTCAAGGTTCGATGTCCACATTGCAGTGCCAGCTGCCAAAAGGAACCCAGCGCCATCCAACGGCCTCCGGGGGCCTCCAGGCGGGTGCTTCAGCGTTTGTCAGCGCATCAGAAGGCTTGTTCAGCGCCCAACGGTCCCTAAAGGTCCCCAAAGTTCCCTCTAGCGGGCGATGCGGCTCTACCAATAACCAGAAACCGGGCAGCCAGCTGAGGCGTCACACGGTGGCCCCTCCTCTGGCTGCTGCTCTCTGCTGCTGCTAAGCCACAGCTTCGCTCCCCTCGGCTCCGGTACTACAGCGTCCCTCCGCTCTCCCCCATCTATCACCATTTTATCTGCTACGCACTTCCCATCACCATCCTGCCTCTGGCTCCGAATCACGCCTCCAGACCGCCGCCTTTCTTCTTCCATTTGGTTTGCCTCGCCTCTTGCCTTGCAGGCCGAGTCTATTGGCTGCTGCTCTGCCGAAAAAAGAAGCCGTTTTTAGAACAGTGTCCCTTCTTAGCTGTGGGCGTTCGTGGTCCGTTTGTTGGGAGCATATCCGCCGTCGTACCGTGGCTCTCTCTGTTTCTCGCCCCGTGCAACCCACCGCATCTACTGGTACTGCCTCCCCGATCTGTTTGCTCCCTCTCTGCCTCCTTTTGCCTCTGCGGCTTCGGATCCTCGACAACCGCACGGGTCTATTTATCCCGCCCTTTTGCTCTGCTCTGCCCTCTTCTTCTCCGAACTTGTACTCATGCTTGCTGGCAGCCTCGAGGGTTTGAAGCGACTCCGACAACTGACGTCCCGAGACGAGCGACGAGCTCTCTGACGAAGCACCGGTCTGAGCACGAGAACGAGAACGAGCGCATTGACGACCTTTGTTTCCGCTCCTTGTCCGCCCGATTCTGACGAAAACATACCACTCACTGTCCGTCGATTGCGCAATATTCCACCCACGACCGTAGACGCTCGATACCCTAGCCGCGGCGTCCCTCGCGATATCCTTTTCCTCCCGCGGAAGTAGCCGCCCTTTCGCCATCCCGCCGTATTCCTTCTAGAATTCAGGCGGCTTCTCCTATTCCGCTCCGTTCATCCTCTACTCTACCGGCCCAGGAAAAACATGGGCAAATCGTGAGTGGGCCCGCGCGAAAACTCCCTACAAGTTTCTTGAGTTCGCATGTTGCCGAGGGAGAAGATTGTGCACGAGCATGCATTGACATGGAAAGAGGGGGAGGGGAGAGCAAGGGGAGGCTGGCCATGAGGATGTGCTAGCCTCTGCCGGAGCTGATTGGCACACACGCGTCACCACGGAGACAGATCGTAGGCATGCCGAGGCTGACATTTTACTCTTTTTCTCGACTGTAGGCAGTCAAAACTCTCGCAGGAGCAGCTCGCCGAGCTCCAGAAGTCGACTCATTTTGATAAGAAGGAGCTGCAGCAGTGGTACAAAGGTGAGCATCTCCAGGGCACGGAACAGGGGTGCAGAAGGCTTGGGACCCCTCATCCCCTCAATCTCGTCTGCATCTAAGCTGCCTCGTCTCGACAAATGCTTCCAGTGGGTTCTGACATTGCGATTTTCGGCGCAGGCTTCCTGAAAGATTGCCCTTCGGGCATGCTCTCCAAAGAGGAGTTTCAGAAGATTTACCGGCAGTTTTTCCCCTTTGGAGATCCAAGTTCGTTTGCCGACTACGTATTCAACGTGTTCGATAGCGACAAGTCTGGTAGCATCGACTTCAAGGAGTTTATCTGCGCACTGAGCGTTACCAGCCGGGGCAAGATGGAGGACAAGCTGGACTGGGCGTTTCAGCTGTATGACATTGACGGCGACGGCAAGATCAGTTACGACGAGATGCTTCAAATTGTTGAGGCAATTTACAAGATGGTAAGCAATCACAGACACGGAGGTTTCTGTTGTACGGCGTGTTGGCTGACGATTTCACAGGTTGGCTCCATGGTTAAACTTCCCGAAGACGAGGATACACCCGAGAAGCGTGTTAGGAAAATCTTCCGCATGATGGACAAGGACGAGAACGGCAGCCTGGACATGGAGGAGTTTAAAGAGGGAAGCAAACGAGACGAGACGATTGTTTCGGCGCTGTCTTTATACGACGGGCTGGTGTAGCTGTCGTCGAATGCTGTTTTGTTCCCTTTGTCGAGCTTCTTTTTGTCGCGTTTCTGTTTTTGTCGGCGGTCTAGGCGACTGGTACTTGTATGGGGGAAGCTCTATTGTATGTTTTGCCCACAAAGAAGAGCAGCCTGCTTGTTTTCTCCCTTGTATAGCTATCCCCTTTTCCGAGGGCCTACCTATTCTTCCCCATGACGTTTGGAGTGGAGGGGCTGTGCACGAAGGCGAATCAGGCAGTTTGGTATATGATATTGACATTCTTATTTTCTTGCTCGTTGTTTGCGTGACTGCCTAGTCTAGTACTCAGCCTCGTTCACGTTTCGGTGAGAGACGCCGGTGTGATTCTACTGCAACTTGATTCTCGCATGTCCTCCAATATAGATCTCACATATTCTTTGAGATGTATCCCCAACAGCAAAAGTATGCATAATTTCAAACATTTTCACTCACATCCGACCTATCCGCAGTATGTAAACAGGCAACTAATAGGCATACCAATGAGAGTAGTGAATCAAGGAGGCAAGGAGGGTCATTATAAAGATCTGACATGCCCATGCATGCATCGTTCGATTTGTGAGCAAGATGGCATAAAGTGGAGACTAACTTCTCTTCTTCTGCTACCTTACTTTATTAACTCTTGGTTTGAGCAAAACGCTTTTGACTTACCCTGTAGGCTGAGTGGGTTCCGTGTGAGTTGATGAGTAAATTGTAAATTTCGGTATCCGTGATGAAAGTGTGAGTGAGGCATAATTCACCAGAATTGTCTTCATTACCCGTGCGACAGCGTCTCTGCGGTGTCTAGGTATTGTATGTGTGCTTAGGACTTGTGTGGCTTGACGTTTTCTGAGCCGTCATTCTCTATTACCTGCTCTTTCTTCTTCTTCTTTCGCTTCTCTCATAGATCTCGTACTCACGCACACAACAAAGACAAACGACAGTATCAAACTACCAGCCCAGTGTCAATGGCCAACTCCCTCCAAGACCTCCTCTCCAACCTCGAAGATGAAATCCAAGACCCCGACGAAGGTTCGTCCGCGTTTTCTCATCCAGCATTGCTTCATCTTCCAGTACTTCTACAACCATATATATCGACGACTCCCGTTCTGATATTTGTTCGCTAACATTCATCCCCCCCACCCCTTATAGAGACATTCCTGCTCTACGCCAACACAACCCCCCTCGAAGGCCTGGGCTTCATCGACTCCCGCGCGACAACACTCGACCTCCAACTCAACGGCAAAGATGTAACCATCCATCAGTCCCCCGGAGTCCTCGCCTCGAGTCGAAAAGGCGGCACCACAGGCGCAGGTCAGTTGTCCCCCCCGACCTTTTTCATCCCTCTCTCCTCACTAACCCCCCCCTTTCCCGCTCCATCACACACCAACCTCAACCTCTTTGCCCCATCCATCTACACAGCCTTTGCATCCCCTCCCTAAGGCACTATTCATAAGAAAGCGAAACATACAACTAACAGCAGAGAGAAATGGGGCGTCTTTGAAAAAAAACAGTCCTCTGGAAAATCACCCCCCTCTTCGCAGAATGGCTCTCCTCCCCCAACAACCCACTCACCCCTTTCTTCACAAAATCAGCATCATCCATCGTCGAACTCGGCTGCGGCATCTCCCCCCTCAACGCCCTCTCCCTCTCCCGCAGAGGAGTAGTCTCCCGGTATATCCTCACGGACCAGCCCTACGTGCAGAAGCTCGTCCTCCAGAACCTCGCCGCGAATCTCAAGTCCTTCTCCTCCTCCTCATCATCATCCTCCTCGCACCACGCATCATCAACAACAAAATCCCATCATTCCAACAGCAGCAGCGGCAGAGCCAAGAAAAGCAGCACCACAACGCCCAAATCCCCCTCTCCCCCATCATCAGTATCCCCCCTGAATTCCACAATGGCGGACATCCACTTCCAGGTCCTCGACTGGGAAACCTCCCAAGTAACCCCCGCCCTCACACACTCTCCCTCGACATCCTCCTTTGACGCACTCATCTCCTGCGACTGCGTCTTCAACTACGCCCTCATACCGCCCTTTGTGCAGACCTGCGTCGACATTTGCAACCTACGAAACCAACAAGACAATTCCACCAGCTTATTATCACGAGAAAAAAACCAAGACTCTGATAGAAGTCTTGCTCCTCCTCCTCCATGCCTGTGCATCGTCGCGCAGCAGCTCCGCAACGACGACGTCTTCAACACCTGGCTGACGGCCTTCATGAAGCACTTTCGCGTGTGGAGGGTCCCCGGCGAGAGGATGCCTGCCGAGTTGCGGCCTGAGGCGGGCTTTGCTGTGCATGTTGGTGTCCTCAAGGATTCTCTCTCTCTTGACACTCGGATCCCATGATACTACCTACTCCTATATGTTTGATGTACATGAGATGGCATGGGCATGGTTTACTTGGAACAAAACCTTAGTTGAAGCATTATAAAGAAGCGAGCGAGCGAGATTGAATGGGAGAAAAAAAGTAATTGATTCGTATATAAGCGCACATTTGACGCAATGCTTTTGATTTCAATGGCCCCTCCGGCCGAGCATGGCAAGCTACATAGGCCATGCCCGTTATCATCCATCCCATCGTCGTATCAACCCGCACTGGGCTTTTAATGACAGACTTGGCGTAGACTACTCGTCTCTGAGATATCATAAAAAACGAAAGACGAAACAAAAAGAGCAAACCAAACCAACTTCAGGCTCCCCGGCCAAATCATCACCACTCCAGAGGCTCCTTCTTCTCCTCACCGCGATTCGTCTTGGGCACGGGCACCGCCTTGGCAGCCAGTCTGCCATCCTTGCCTCGCCTCAGATACGCCGTGCCGTCCAGCCAGGGCGTGTGGATGCTCCTCTTCTTCTCAAACTCAACAATCTTGTCGTTGAGCTGCATCGTCAGGCCAATGTCGTCCAGGCCGTTCACCAGGCAGTGTTTCCGGAACTCCTCCACGTCAAACGAGCAGATGGTCTCGCCGGCCGCGTTCTTGATGAGCTGGTTGGGCAGGTCAATCTCAATCTCCCGTCCGGCGCGGGCCTCGGCGGCGATGGCGTCGAGGTGCTCCTTGTTGGAGATTTGGATGGGCAGCATGCCGTTCTTGAACATGTTGTTGTTGAAGATGTCGGCAAAGGTCGGCGCGATGACGCTCTTGATGCCAAAGTCGAGCAGCGCCCAGGGGGCGTGCTCTCGGGACGAGCCGCAGCCAAAGTTGGGGCCGGTGCAGACCAGGATCTTGGACTTCCTGTACGGCTCCTTGTTCAGGACGAAGTCGGGGTTCTCGGAGCCGTCGGGGAGATAGCGCAGGTTGTGGAAGAGGGCTGACCCCAGACCGGTTCGCTTGATGGTCTTGAGAAACTGCTTGGGGATGATGGCGTCGGTGTCGACGTTGGCAAGCTCCATGGGCGCCGCAACTCCCTTGAGAGTCTCAAACTTAGGCATGCCGGCGGAATCCATCTTGGCCGCCAGGGTGTTGGTGTGCGGCTCGCGATCCAGGGGCTGATCGGTAATGGCCTCTCGCTCGTCAGAATCCTCGACGCGCTCGTCGACGTGAGGCGGCTCGACGGGAGTGCTAGGGGCGACGCGAGCCTGGACGTGAGGGCTGGTGGTGTACTCGGCCAACTTGCGGACGTCAGTCAGCTTGCCGGTAATGGCAGCGGCGGCAGCCATGACAGGAGACATGAGATGGGTTCGTCCACCCGCTCCCTGACGACCCTCAAAGTTGCGGTTCGAGGTACTGGCGCAGCGCTCTTTGGGCGACAGAATGTCAGGGTTCATGCCCAGGCACATGCTGCAGCCGGCCTCTCTCCACTCGAAGCCGGCGTCGATGAAGACCTGGTCGATGCCCTCGGCCTCGGCCTGCGTCTTGACGAGGCCGGAGCCGGGGACGACCATGGCCCGCTTGATGTTGGGGGCAATCTTCTTGCCCTTGACGACGTGGGCGGCCGCCCGCATGTCCTCGATTCTCGAGTTGGTGCAGGATCCGATAAAGACCTTGTCGACTTCAATCTCCTCCATGGGCGTTCCGGCAGTGAGCCCCATGTACTCGAGCATCCTGCGGCCGGCCGCCTTCTTGGCCTCGGTGGCAAAGGTCTCGGGGTCGGGCACCTTGCCGGTGATGGGGACGACGTCCTCGGGGCTGGTGCCCCAGGTGATGGTCGGGACAATGTCCTTGGCGTCGATGAAGACGTCAATGTCGTACTTGGCACCCTCGTCCGAGGCCAGCGACTTCCAGTAGGCGACGGCCCTGTCCCACTGCTCCGTGCCGAACTTGGGCGCCAGGGGCCGGCCCTTGAGGTACTCGAACGTGTGCTCGTCGGGGGCGACCATGCCGGCGCGCGCGCCGCCCTCGATGGACATGTTGCAGATGGACATGCGGGCCTCCATGCTGAGGCTGCGGATGACGGAGCCGCAGAACTCAATGACGGCGCCGGTGCCTCCGGCGGTGCCAATCTTGCCAATGACGTGCAGGACCACGTCCTTGGAGGTGACGCCGGGGGCCAGCTCTCCGTCCACCTGGACGCGCATGTTCTTGCTGCGCTTGGTGATGAGGCACTGCGTGGCCAGCACGTGCTCGACCTCGCTGGTGCCGATGCCAAAGGCCAGGGCGCCAAAGGCGCCGTGTGTCGAGGTATGGCTGTCACCGCAGACGACGGTGGTGCCGGGCAGGGTGAAGCCCTGCTCGGGCCCGATGACATGGACGATGCCCTGGCGCTTGTCGCCCAGGCCAAAGTATGTCAGGCCAAACTCCTTGACGTTCTCCTCGAGGGTGACGCATTGTATGCGCGAGTCGTCCTCCTTGATGAAGGAGGCAATGTCCTTGATGCCTTTTCGCGATGTGGTCGGGACGTTCTATCAAGCCACAGCTTACGTTAGCTTTCCTCATCGTCTCGGTGAGATGTTGCCAGAAGATCTTTGGGAGAGAAAGAGAGACGTACGTGATCGGTGGTGGCCAGAGTGCAGTCCGGTCTGCGGACTTGGCGGCCGGCATTCTTGAGGCCCTCGAAAGCTTGCTGCAGGCGACACGTCAGTCCATCTGCATTCGCCAAAAACAGAATTCGTCTTCATTCGCAGCGAAACCGTATCGAATTGCGCGGAATCATAGGGCTGAGGCATACCGGTGATGTCACTTCATGGACCAGGTGTCTGTCTAATTCCCCCACCACGATTAGCTTCAACGGCTCAAACAACCCTCCAAATCGGCAGGAAAGGGAGAAAACAGGAGATAACAACTCACCAATGTAGAGAAGAATTGTGCCGTCGAGCTTCTCATCGACGATGTGGCTCGAAAGAACCTTGTCGTAGAGAGTCTGGGGGGCTCCTGTTGAGGCGGGCATCTTGTCTGGTGCTTTTCCGTGTCTTGTCCGTGGATGGGAAAAGAGAGAAGAAGAGGGAGAAGAAGGAGATGTCAGACGGAATTAAGGAGGAAAAAGGTGACGTTTCCCTTCGCAGACAACTCAGGAACCCAAAAGGAGGGGTGGCCACGGAAGCTGTGGGAGAACAAGGAGGCAAAGCCTTGATAAGCAGTAAGGCCAATGTACGAGTAATAGTGCGTGATGATGGAATGGAGCTCGAAAACCGAAGCTCAGCTGAAAACCACCGCCTGGGTTCGATGATGGTATTTCACCGCTTTACAAGAAATCCGGCACAAAAAGCCACCACAATCGTGTATAGCAAGAACAAGAGTGTATAGTAGAAGAAGAAGGAAAAAGAAGAGAGAGAGAAAAGAACAGCTTTCTTATGTATCTCTTGTCTCGAATTCAAAAGCTTCCCTCCTCGTCCGATTCTTGCCCGGTGCCGCCTCTCCGATCATCGGAGGTGCTCCAAAACCGCATCGCCAATCTTGCTGGAAGCTAAGATTCGCCCCCGCATAACTGCGCACCAGTTCTCTTTGGGCCTTGACAAGCCGACACTTGCCAGCCAGAGGCAGCGCCCGATTGCTAAGGAGAGACGATGATTGGTTGAAGAGGATGTTATGTAATTGCGGGATGGGAGAGACAGGGGGTTGGGTATGTGTCTGTCCGCTTGCTTCATGTCTGTCTGTGCAAAGCTGAGCTCAACTGTGTCTTGTTTCTCTGTCTTAGGTATACGAAATCTCTTTCTACTAGTATTACTTTTCCGTACTACGTATGATCGTATGTCGTGCTCCGTAGGACAGAGATGTGTCTGATTCGGTGTCGCATCGTGTGATGCCTGAAAATCGGCAAATGGGGTCCAACAAGTGGGCATCTGTTGCAAAGTGCCACACGATGGAGATGCTTGCAGGCCGTGGTACGTAATATTGGCCCAGCATCGCGGTGGCATCTTGCCGAGTCCTGAGACTGCTCCGTACTTGATAGAGACCATCTGAATGCTTCTAGAACTTTGGACTCTCAACGTGACGAGAAGTACAACGTCAACACCATCCCACTCCATTCACCATCATATATATCAAAGACTTTAATACGAACATTCACAGATAGAAAGACACATATTGGGACCAAATTTCATAACGATACTCAATACCAATGGCTAAACACAGCGCTCGCGGCTTCTCCGGCCGAAACTGTCCCGACGACATCCTCATGAGCGAAACAGTCCGTAAAGCAGGAAACAGCCGGAAAACAGCCCTCAAACCACGAAATTCACCATCCACAGCCATTTCTAAGCCCAGACGGCCAATCCACCATCCACGTAGCTCATCAGCCAGACCAGATAAATGACAAGTCTGACTCCCTGCACAGCAACCACAAAGCCAGCTGCCACGGCCGGCACTGCGAGTGCTATCGACAAACAGGCCTTCCAAAAGGGCATCGGCCCCTCGTGCTCGACGCGCAGCGCTCCGGGGTCGAGTATCGGCCAGACGGCAGACCAGTACAGTCGACCCAAAGTCTCAAGACCCTCCACAAGACGCTTCGACCCAGTAGCCTCCTCCTGCTTCCCCGATTCAGCATCGTCCTCGTCACTCGTGCCTAGACCAGCAGTCTCGTTGAGCTTCTGGATTTTTCGCAAACGATCTTCGGTGTCGTCTTCGCCTCGGTTCTCTGGGCATCGGCGCTTCTCTAAGCGGTCGTGCATCTGCGTTTGGTCGCCTGCCGAGTCCGACTCTCCCTCCGGCATCAATTCTTGCAGTTCTTGGCTCCTGATCAATGGCTTCTTGCATGGCATCGTAGCCTGTAATATTCGGTCCTGTATAGACGTTGATCTGCGCAACGAGCTGCTGTCCTGAGCTAACATGGCAAGCCTCCTCAAGCGCTTGTTGCGCAAACAATCCTCTGCTGACCGGGTCTTGTCCACCTCCTCCCGATATGTAATGCCTGCTTGTCGTTCGCCTACCGACTCGCCCTCTGCCGACGAGATTATACTCTGCTTGGTTCTCATGTGTTGGTTTGTATGAATGTTGCCCAAGCTGTGCCCCGACGACTTCGCTGTCGGCGCTTTGTATCTCGACTCGTCTAGTCGGGCCATCCTTGGCAGAAGACAATTGTCCTGCAGTACTTCCTGGCGGTAGCCGGAGGGAGACATTTGGTGGTTGCAGCCAGTAGTGATGGTGGTGGGTATGTACGCAGGCTGCTTGGTCACGTTGCTCTTGTCTGGAGTTATGGGCAGGGAGTTGCCCGTCTGCTGGTGTACCACTCTGCTTGGGATTACCGGATGGTAAGGCTGCTCTAACCGCTGCGTGCCCGACATTAGTATGCCTTCTTTCAGCTCTCGCATGCCCTGTTTGATGCCGTTCTTGGTAATTCGGCGTTGGAGACGACGGGAGCACGCGGACTGCTCCGGGGTGACTGGCTCCTCCTGCGGTTGGCCGGTTGCTGTTGGTATCCCTCGCGGGTCTAATGTCAGCGTCTTCTGGCCTTTCACGCCTTTCACCGCCCTTGCTCCGATTGCTTGCCCATCGCTTGGGCTCTGGTTGGCCTTCGACTGGTGTCTCCTCAGCCTTTTGAGTGACTTTGTGGGCGCCAGTTGAGACATTGCCGCCAATGGGCTTTCTCCGAGACGGATCAAAGGAGCCAACCCTCCCAGCTCGATCGGGCACAGATGCGAGCTGTGTCCCATGTTCATGCTTTCCGGAATGCTCAGCCTGCGTCTGAGGTCGGATCCCCGGTAGAAAGCTGGGGTCGACTGGAGTGATTGGCTTGCCGAAAGGGTCGTGCTCGCCTCTGTGCATGGCGTGTCCATGTCCCTTTCGGCTTCCATGCCTAAAAAAGAAATCTTCTTGGGTTGACTTTCAGGCGTGGAATTCACTTGTGAGGCAGGATTGTCACGGCCGGATCGACCCCCATGAAGCTCCTAGGTTCTGAGAGGTGGGTTTGCCAGACTCTGCCGACGAGGGGTCCGGATGACCGTCGAAGCGGACGAACTGCGGGCCGTGGAGGTGCTGGCCTCTGGGGATGAAGCTCTATGATGGCCAGACGGCTGTGTTGAGAGAAGTTCAGCTTGAGGCGGAGTGATACCAAGCACCGGCTCGCCAGTTGTGACGTCCGGTGGACGTTGAGCATGAGACGGTCTCCCTTTCAAACATCTAGGATTAGTAGATGAAAACCAATGGCACAAATATAGAGAAGCTCACGGGAACTTGGAGATGCGCTCTTCAGAGATTGAGCAATGGGACTCAAGTCCGGCTCCTGCAACGACGACCACTGGCCCGCGCGTCTCTTCCACCTGACGGCCTTGCCCAAGTCTTTCACCTTCTGCTTCCCCTTATGTGACCTGGAAAGACTAACATCACCATCTTTGACACGCTCATCCTGGCCAGGCGAGCCTCTCGGCCTGTGGTGTCTGTTGTGCTTCCAGATATCTCGCCAAGTACTCATAACGCTGTGGACAGTCTCCTGATGGCTGACTATGCTTGCGGCACTGCTATCGGTGGGACTCAAAGCGTCCGGCTCTCCGGTATGGGGGTTGACGCCCTGCACGCCGAGATAGTCGCCGCTCTCCTTTAAGCTCTGCCGTTGAAGCCGCCGAGCCTTGAGCCTGGCCCGGAGCTCATCGTGTGAGACAGGCTGTTTCCCCTTTGCTGCAGTCTCTGCACCCGTGGCCAGACTGCTCAACTTAGGGTGCATGCTGCCTCCTGATGGACCGCCTCTTCTATCGTCGCCATTGTCCCTCTGCAGGACCCCTCCCAGCTCAGTGACGGAGAATTCCTCTTCACAATCCTTCTGTGGACTCCAACTCCCAGGCAGCGGCTTGCCAATCGGCGATGATGGAGATTTGACACCCGAGGAGATGGCACGCTGCACCAGCGGCGGCGGCGGCGTCTTCGGCAACACACGCGGCCTGTCCTCCGAAAGATCCTTCGGCACGTTCCAACGAGCAATGTGGTCCGAGTCCACCGATACGTCCCCCACGCTGTACTGGCTATCCGTCACGCGCCGTCGAGGCCGTATCTTACCCTCCTTCTCCATCTGCTCCCAGTACCCCTGCCCTCTGCTCGTGCCACCGCGTTCCGGCCGCTGGCTTGGCAGTATGTTCTTCACCCATCCTCCCAACGAAGTGGAGCGACGACGCTCCGTCGGGGCCCTCGTGAGAGGCGGCGGCTGCTTCTCCTTTTGCTTCTGCTGCTTCTTGGACGCGGGTGACGATGCCTGGGGCGTGGATATGCTCCGTCGAGGGGCCGCGTCTGAGATCTTGGGCGGTAGGAAATACGACATCTTGCTGTTGATGAAGTGCAACGTGAGAACCGCGAGAGCCGTCAGTGAGATGAGAGATACTGGCCGTCTCCATAACCAGATACCTATAGATAATCGACGCGGGATCGCCGCGAGCGGCTCATCGTTCCTTGACCGGGGCCGGAGGAAGGCGAGGGCAGTAAAGATGTATTGCGTGAGTGTCATTGTGCAAAGTCCAAAACTAATCGATGTGGTTGACGTCCGAATATATTCTAAAATCAAACGACGAGCCCCGGCAACAAGGTGATGCAACAAGGCCAATCGTGCTTGCGAATTTGCCCCTTTCACAGCTCCGGGGGCAGGAACGCGTGGTCGTCAAAGCCAAATAATCAGCTCAAATCCTTTGTGTTGTTCATAGTTGAAACTAGAGTTGTCGATGCCAGATCCCATAATGCTTCACCCCGAGGAATAGCAAGGCATTATCGCATACAAGTAAGGTGATCCCCCTCGTACTTCATACCGTGAATCCCATATGCTGCCTCCTTGATAAGGACACGTATAAACACAAACCCCCAACGCCGATGAAATGCTTTACTATACTCATTCCAAACACAAAGATCATCGCCACAAAATTTCCAAATAATACAATTCGTCGTACAACAGGGCGGTCTGTTGCGTCGAAGGTGCCATACGTCTGATCGAATGTTGTGAGACAGAAAGACGGCTACCACCTACTAGACCTGTCTTGCTGTGTCGTCCTATTCGGCGTCATGCTTGAAAAGGGATTCGATACGCCTCTGCCGTTGATGCTCGATGGTCGGTGCGAATCGGCGTTCTTGGTAGGGCTGCCAGGCCGTGCCAGATGCCTCTGCTGCTCCAGCGCCGCCATCTCTCGCGAGTTTCGGGGCGAGGCCGCGTCGTTAAACGTGCCAAGGCCAATGGACTTCTTGAGAGGAGACTTATTGTGATTGTATATGCCCATGTTGCCCCCAAAGTTGGTGGTGTTTGCGGATGTAGCTGAGAGTGGCACAGGGGCCGTGACTGCCGCTGACGCCGGGGTCGGAGTCGAGACCGGATCAGCCATCATGCTCTGCCGGAAAGTAGAAGTAGAGCGAGGCTGGTCCAAATCGGTGGGAAGGGTTTCCGAGCGCCTGGGAACCGTTGAGCTGAACGGTTGCGGATTCATGGCATTGAACCGGCCAGTATACGGGGTACCAATGGAGCCGGCATGAGGAGTAGAAGTGGCTCGCGTAGCATAAGACTTCCTGATCAAGGTTGTCGGTGTGCCAACCTCGACGAATCCACGACCCTTGGCGGAATGCTCGGCTGCAACCTGGGTTCCCACATCTCGGACGACCGGGTGAAGGCGAGGATGAACAAACTTGGTGTTGTACTCGTTCATGACCTCCTTCTGAATGATGGCGTTGTCCTTTGCCTGCTGCGCAAACCGCGAAGAGAGGAACAGCATCTGTCCGGAGAGCACCACCTGCAGGATGAGGGTGTTGAACACCGTCACACTAGGCTGAGGGTCTAGCGGCTCTAGAGGCAAGAAGAGGAGGTAGGCCAGAACGTGCCCCGGGCTGAACAAGCAAACGAGGCGAAGCGATATGGGCAGAGGGTCCCATACGGCGAGTTCCCACACATCTCGCTTCTTATCCGGATGTGCTCGCGCCTCGGCGGAATTCGATGTGATTTTGTCGGTGAGATATTGCAGCGGCGAGGATGTCGTCGCGGGGGATGACTGAAGCTGGACTCGTCGTGCAGAGGGCGTTGACGGCGCTTGCTCGATGTTTGCCTCGAAGAGTCGGTATTTGCGCGTTCGCGTCATGGCGTAAGCCGCGTTGACGAAAGAGAAGAGTACGAGGCCCCAGACAATGGGGAAAGTCTTTCAGAGGGGCAAGCAGCGTTAGTTCACCAAGCGCGACAATATGCGATGCCTTCCTTGACGACTTACCAACCAAGAAAGCAATCCGGAATTGGTCTCGTCGCTGAAGATGTCGCTGTCGGACCACTCAGACGATGACCCGGAGTTGGCGCGCGCCAGCAGAAAGGCGAGATTCATGCCCAGGCCGAGCTGCGTGCCCGCCAGCTTTGAGTCCCAGTCCCTCGTCTCCAGCTCCTCCGAGAGCCACAGCAAGAAGTCCATGGGATTTAGCATCGACGTGATGCGCTCCCAGAGCGACCGCCGCCGCACGAGTCGAGGCATCTTGGCACGGGGGGGATGCAAAGAGAATCCGGCCGGTCGATCAACCACAAGCGACCGAGACTCTGGTATCTGGACACACCGTGAGTCTGGTAGGAAAAGGAAAAGGACGGCCGCTGGTCGGTGGTTGAAGAGGAAGAAGAAAGAAAAAGAACTGGCGGCGAAATGTTTACTTTGGTGAGCTCTTGTGGAATTTCCGCCTGGGGCCTAGCGCTGTTGTTTGCTGCAAACCTCAAGGGGGGTCGATGACATCTGACGGGTACTTTGCTGCCGAGTACCCAAGCGGTATCTTGGAAATCGGTCATGGTGGTTGAGCTGCGGAAGAAAAGCTAGTCTGAATTGCTTGGATATATAGGTAATCAAAATGCTGCAAATAGTAACTTTGTATTTCATGAGTTTGATAATAAGACTAAAGCTTGTCTGAACTGTATCAGTACGGCGTGAAGCGCAAGACAGTAGCCGTTATTCAACACAACCAAGCACAGCAAGGGCAGCCATCGGCTCTACTTGTGCCCTCCGGCGATACCTCTCCCAAAAGTACCCTGATCCAGCTCCCTCACCATTGCGCTCAGCGCGGGGCCACTCAGCGACAGCGCATCTAAACTTCTAGCGGTACCAGGCTGAAGCTCTAGACCTTCCATCTCTCCCCATCTTCATATACACACAGCAGCCCCAATTCTCCGGTCATTCGCAATGTCTTCTCAAGCAGACTACAAAGACCGGGAGTTTCTCGCTGTCATCGGCGACGAGGCAAGTCATTCTCCCTTCCATGATAAAAGCCGCGCAGCTCTGGAGTTGTCCGGAAATGTATCTCGCATCGTCATCGCCATGCTAACGCAGTTCCATTGACACGCAGGACTCTGTAACGGGCCTCTTGCTCGCTGGCATCGGCGTAAGTTGTACCCAGCTGGACAAAACCGAGACTTCCATGTCGGCGGTGTACCTTGCGATCCTCTTCTCACACCAGTTCTACAGCACATCACCACCGGCGCCGACGCACAGAAGAACTTCCTCGTGGTTGATAGCAAGACGGAGACTGCAGCCATCGAGTCCGCCTTCGACAACTTCACGGAGAGAAAAGACATTGGCATTGTCTTGATAAACCAGCACGTCAGTCTGTCCCAAGGCCTTGAGCTGACGCCTATGGTTGGGAAGACATACTGATGAGAACGATAGATCGCCGACCGGATACGGCACCGAGTCGATTCCTACACCGCCGCCTTCCCTACCGTTCTCGAAATCCCCAGCAAAGACCACCCCTATGATCCCGAGAAGGACAGCGTGCTGAGACGGGTGCGTCGTCTGTTCGGAGAGTGATCGTTTCGTGTACTACGGCTTGTTAAGATTACGAAGGGAATGGGGGTAATGTGTGAGCGAGCATCAATGGGGGCCTGCGATACCACGAGACATAGAGCTTTGATTCATGTTATCTAGTTCAGAGGCCCAACAGGGTTCTTCGAAAGGGCCACACTATGGATTGTCTACAGTAAAGGCTGCAAGGCATTACAGTTGTCCATGTTTCGATCAACATGAGTTAGGAACCCGAAGAGCTGAATGATCAGCCAACAAGCCACCCAACCAGGTTTCAACGAGAATTCGATGTACCGAGATCCGATCAGCAGAGAATGCAGATGGACTGCAAACACCTTGCAAGCTTTTAAAGCAGTTGTCAACATGTAGCAGAACCCAAGACACCAAGAATACCAAGACAGTTACATCAGATACAGTGCCAGAGCACAGGTATATAAGGGCCTATCTGGGGAATAACGTACGCATTCTCTAGAGGTAGCAAGCAAGAGCGCCGCAATGATATGCCTAAGAACCGGATCGCATAGCATCACCCGAGGAGAACAGAATAACTCGCCGAGAGCAGAAAACGCAGCCGTAGAATGGCATTAAGAAAACACGCAACCGTCAAAGGGAATTGTAAAACATGAGCCGAATCGTTTCCATCGTCGCAAATTCACCATGATCCCATCATGTAGTATGATACTACAATCACAGTTCCTCGGGGTTCTGGAAGGAAGCCAGGCCCGGTCGAGGGAAGTTAACGCTCGCCTTCAGGCAGGTGATCGGCTCGTCCTCGTCGGAGTAGACATCGGCGAACACGGTGTAGGTTCCCTATCATTATGTGTTAGCAAAACTTCATCGTTCTCGAGACTCAAAAAGGAGCCCTACCGGAGGAATGGCAGTCGGCAGGTCGACGCTCTTGGTGATGGTCATCTGACCCTCATCAAGGGGGCAGTTAAGGTCGACGTTGTCGAGCTGCTCGCACAGGTCTGCGGTCGTAGAGAGCAGTTGAATGAGGCCGTACTTGACGACCACCTTGACGTACGCGCCCTTTTGGATGGGTTTCTTGACGTTGCCGGTCGCTGTGATGAGAAGCGGGTTGCCGCTATCGAATGCTATTAGTCTAAGTCTGGCGAGATGATGGTCGGGGGTAGATTCTTACGCCTTGGGGGGATTGGGAGCAAGATCAACTTTCTGGATCTCGATAAGGTTGTCGTCGCGGTCGGCGGAGCAGAACTCGATGGGGTTCTCTCCAGGGACCTTGAGGTTCGCGGTCAGCGCTGAGGCTGATTCTCCCCAGATGGCGAGGGCCGTGGTCGGAGCGGCGAGGCAAGCGGCCAGACAGGCGACGGTGGTGGAGAAACGCATCGTTGCGGGTGATGGGCTAGTCGTAGGTCTAGCTTAGGATGGAGCAGAGGAGAGATGGCGATGAATCAGAAGTAGGACGAGATGTCGCTTTTTGTCACAAACGAAGGCAAAGCTGGTTGAGGCAACAGATGATAGAGCAGGATGAAGTAGAGGTGAGGCTGGCGCTGCTTGCCGGCGACTGGCTCAGGTAATGCGGCAGGTACCTGGGGCGTTGTACATGTACAGTGACGGCAGCACCGCAAATCATGGCACTCAAGCGGCTTAACGTCACGGGACGTCCTGCTGCCGTGCTGCGTCTGTTGCGGTGGTTGGATGCGTCATGAGACCAGTTTGGCGCCGTCATTGGCCCGATAGCCAGGCCAGAGATCCACTCGAATGGCGCAAAGATAACGCGGACGCAGCGCTGATACTCCCTGCATGAGTCCAGCCCGGTATAGGTACTTCAGCTGCGCAGGGAAAAGGGCCTCGCTGGTGCGGGCAACACCGTGCCGGCACAAAAACAGCAAGCTTGGCAAGTACTCGTGCTAGTGGCGTTGACTTGGGCGCCACTTTTTTACCTTGGTAAGCGCGGTTGGGAAATGGATTGAACTGGATCGAATCTCCATCGCAGTTGCTTCATGCGGTTCTCAAATGACTGGTAACTGTTGCTTTGCCGCTTTAGAAGCCGAGTGAAGCGAGGCCATGACACTTACTTGCTGCGTATCGCTGGGTTGCTCTTGCGATCAAGCACAGAGAATGAGCAAGTTGAGAAGCGATGTCTCTGCCTCACCGTCTCTTTTCCCTGTTTTCGCCCGCAGCACGGCGTTTGCATGAGGCGTTGGACAAGCGAAGGGAGAACTGCACTGATTCGCTGCTGCGGGTCTCCGGCCTCAGGCACCAATCTCCAAGCAAATCAGGGTGGAACAATGCTCGCACGGGCCATGCATCGCTGTATAAAACCATCTTCCGCTGGCCGACATTTTCAGACTTCTTTTTCTTCTTTTCCTTTCTTCATACTTACCTTGTTTCAGTGCCCCGAGCTCAAGAATTCGGGGTACTAGTGCGGGAGGCCTGCATTGCACATCGCGGAGTCGTCCCGCGCTCAATTGTCCTTCGGGGCCATTGGAGGCGTAATTTTTGATTTTATTCCTATCGGACTTTCATTGTGAGCGCAGGCTTGGACTGTGGCACGAGGAAGGCGAAAACTTGGGAGGAGCGAGTGGTGTTTAGGGGCTGGGGGTGCTTGAGCGTGGTTCTTGACTGAATAGTGTTTGCACCGAGGATCGGCTCTGAAGGCGCACAAGGAGAAGGATATTTCGCAGCCGCCCAATCTTGGGTCATGGAGCACACTGCAATCTTGCTGTGGACCCCCAAAAGGAAGGGATTCCGCGTACTACTCTGCACCTCGGCTGTAGCAGTGCTACCTGCAGAACAATTGAATGTACATATGCTACGACCAAACACCTTGCACCGATTTTGCCGTTTGGCGCGTCACAGGGGAGAAGAGTGCAATCTCACATCGACACGCCCATCATCAGCATAGGAGATTACACGACCCGGACCAAAGACACGCCTCGAAGCCATAGATGAAAACAAAAGCAAAACAAAACAATGAAACCAGCAAGGGCTGCATGCATGGCTCTGCAAGGCGCTGAGGCTTCGAGCAACCCAAGGTCTTACCCAGTCAACAACCGTAGCATTGACGGCTTGCGCTGCCAGCCTCATTGGCCAGATTTTCTTCCCAACCCGCCCCCCCGGTTCGCCAACCAAAGCCTGGAACGACGCGATTGGCGCGCCGCGCAAGTGCACCGTTAGCATTGCGCGCTGCTTTGTGAGACATGGCCAATCAATAACCGGTGTCCGTTAGACGGGCAGGGTCTAAAGGGCTAGGATGGCGAGCGCAAGGCTTGCGCTAGTACCACGTAGAGGTTGTTTCTGGCGAATGAGGACGGGCGCTGTGTTTTTCCTAGTGCAGGCATGCTCCCCGCTTGGCAGGATTGTGCGAATGTGAGGTGAGGCGTGCTAGAGCCATTACGAGTACGAAGATGGCGTGAGTGTTGGTTGCTGGGACGGAATTCCTTGGTGATTCCATTCTTTGGGGTGTGAATGGACGCAGAGATACTCGATTCTAGAAGGCCTCTGCTACAGTGATGTGGTGGCCAGTAGGTATGAGTCATGGTACGAAGTAGTAGTAGCATCAGAGAATTGATCAACGTATGCCCAAGTTTGTAATCTTGCTGAGAACGGAATACGGAGCTGCTGAGTTTCCGTTCTTCATCGTACGCAGTCTCGCGTGGATGTACGGAGTACAGGTACGTGAATAAATGCTCCTCGCAAGCGCGCAGACAGACCTTGGACGCATCCAGGCCGGCACTCGCAACAAGTGCTCCCCCAACTGCTGGCACCAAACGAGAGAAATGCAGCCAAATGGAGCAGCTGCCGACACTGTCATCTTTCTCTTTTCTCACATCCGACAAATCCACTCTTCAACTTTATCCTGCGTTGGCGTCCTAATTAATTCAATTTCCCGCTTCATATTGATTGGGTCGATGTACTCCGTACATGCGCTCTCATTGTTGGAATTCACACCAACATTCTCACTGCAACCACACCTGACACAGTACGAAGTGCCGACAAACGACGAACCCCGGAGCGCGGAAGCTTGAGGCAGATGCTGAATGAAGAATTCCGTCTCAACAGGTGAGGTGTGGCTGGTTTGCTCAACATTCGATCATCGGTGACGCCACTGGACGGGCTGCTCTATTTTGGTCGGTGCATGTACCTGAACTACAGTGAGCGGGCGCTAGAGCAGCGCAAGGCGTGCTCCCTGTGAACTTCAAGTGTGCTGCAAGAAACAAACCTACTTTGCCCTGAATTACGATCGATGGATGCTGGTGGTGACAACTTGCGTCCGTTCCAGGTTCGCTGCCGGGCTCCAACTTACTTCACTGCTCCGTTGACCAGAAAGACAGAGGCCAGAGCAAGAAAAAGAACAAACGAACAAAGAACAGGGCCGTCGGGAAACCAGACCGCCTACCTCATTCATTCTGCCCTTGCAGCGCGCAGCCAGTCTCGTTTTTTTCTCGCTTGCTCTGCCTTGTCCGTTTCCGCCCCTTCAGTCGCATACGACATGCAGCTCGCCCATGACACCTGGAGAACAATGACCCTTTTCAGCAGCGCCGGCAGGCTGCTCTCGCCGAGCTGCGGCTGAAACCTGCTGCTAGAAACCATCTGAGGTGCCTTCAGAAGCATCGCCGCCTCATTCCGGCAAGCCGGATGGAGCAGCACGAGAGGCTGCTGGCGTTGTCCAGCCAGAAGCATGTCTGGTGAGCTGCCTGTCCTTCTCTCCTCTCCTCTGATCGTCGTGTGCTTGCGAGGCTGTCCATGCGCCCATCTCCTGTCTCAAGTAATCTGTTCCGGCCCCCCCTTTGGAACCCAAGCACTCGTTCATACACACTCAACGCCGCGTCAGACTCACAGCCTGCCATACCTAGTACATACATCCATCACTGACTTCACCTCCTCCAACCGCAAGACTCTCGCATTACCCACCCCGATTACCCACCTCAAACCTGCTACAGACCGCACTCGCATCTACACGCGCATACATGCCTGCACACACTCATCTTTTTCCTTTCTTAATCTCTTCGCATGTGCTGCTGCCCCTTCCCCTCTCTCGCGCACCCGTCTGCCAGCTCCCCGTCCTCTGCCCTCGCCGGCCTTTTCCCGCTGGCCTGCGTCACCTCATCCGCCAGCCTCGGTACATGCTCCCTTGTACCCAGCCAGCCCGAGGGAGGGCCAGCCGCACTGCATCTCTGCAGCCTGAAGAAGTCGGATGCCTCAGGCAGCAGCAGGCTGCGTCGCGAACCACTGCAACGAAGCACCCGGCCACTACATGCGCACCCCCCGTCTCGCCCAGTCCTCGCCCGCACCCAGCCACGGCTGGACTGGTAATACCAGCCGCGGACACGTTCGCCCGCCGCGAGTACTGTGTACCTGTACAAGGCACTCGCCGCTCCGTGCGGGCACATGGCGCAGCACTCGGTACCGGTACTCGCACGCCCGCGGCCCATCCATGCACCGACACTAAGACGCTTCCCACCGCCCATCCGCCGTTGGGCTTAGCGCCTGTGGCCTCTGTCGCCTGGCGCTGAGATGAGTGTCCTCTGCAGAGTTGGATGCAATGGCTGATGTGGGTTTCTGCGGACGAGAGCCAGAGAGATGCTGCTGCTGCGACTAACTGCTGGGCTGGGCTGCTAGTGCGACTGCGGCTAGCACTCGCACGCACTAACCGGCCCTGTACCGTGCCCTGTACGGTACCTCGAGTTCCGGGCGACTGAGGGCTGCTGCTGCCACTGCACTGCTGGGTCTCCCGTAGTGCCGTCCTCGTACGAAGTGCCCCCCTCAGTCCGGCTTCTTTGCCCTTCTGCCCTCTGCCCGCCCAGGACGCTCGTCTCTGCTTGCTGCTACGGAGCACTGCTACTGGGTACTACTGTGCTCTGCCCTGGGCCCGGAATCCTCGACGCCGGATTGGACTGGACTTGGCCTTGGCCGGCGACGCTGCACGATTGGACACCCTGGCCGGTACGTACCTCGAGGGTGCCGCCGCACTCGTCTCGCGCTGGCTGCAGCAAAGACAGACACCCTCCAGTCTCTGTTGTCGCTCCTCCCATTTCTCCTCCTCCATCATCCCCCCCCCGTTGCCGGTCTCGTTGACGAATCCCTTGCCTCCAGAGCCCGATCAATCACGACCGCCCATCGAGACCAGTCGCTGCCGCATCGCCTCTGCCTTCAGCCTCTCCTCCTATTTCTTTTTTTACGGCCGCTGTTCCCCCTTCTGCATCCCACTCTCGCAGCCCGGCCTGGCCACCGAGTTCCTTCGACCAACAATCCAGTCGCCTCCCGCCCGCTCGTGTTCGAGTTTTCCCACGACCGAGGCGAGAAACATTTCACGCCCTTCAGTGTCCAACCATCGCCCTCGACGCGTATGACAACCCCCATCGTCGTGCTCGTGATCCTCGCCTCCTCTTCCGCCCGTCTTGGCCAATTCTGATTTTTCCCTCTTGCCTTTACTGACGCCCCGACGGCCAGGCCTCTCTGACCTTGAATCAATCTCCAAGCCGACAATCCACCACGCTCACGGTGCCCTGACGCCGCCTGCCGCTTCCTCACGACTCGACCGCACCATCGTTTCCGCCCCTGCGTATGACGCGGCTGGTCGCGATCCTCGGCTGCTCGACGCTCAGTCTACCCGTCTGGCGCGCGTCCTGGCCGGCGCCGTCATGCCCTCAAGACCGCGACTGTAATCAATCCACGCACCTCTTGCGACATCGACTACCCAGCGTGGTCCTCCTTTGGACTATGACAGACAAGCCAGCCTCGCTGTCGACGCAAGCCGCAGTTTCCACCCAGGTCAACCACATCGCGCCCGCGGGCTCAGCCGGCCCCGACGATGTCGCCCACAAGATGGAGGCGCCAGAGGAAGAGCCTTACACGATCAAGTGTATCTGCAATTTCTCTGACGACGACGGAAACACGATATACTGCGAGACATGCGATACATGGCAGCACATTGATTGCTTCTACCCCGAGAACCGGGAGGAGGCCATTAGAGAGGACTTCTCCCACTCCTGTGCTGACTGCAAGCCCCGACCGCTGAATCGCCAAAAGGCGATTGAGCGCACGTTGCGGCTTAGGTCTTCCATCATGGAGCCCGAAAACATTGATAAGAAAGCCAAGCGACCCCCTTCCAAAAGCCACAAGAAGAAAACCAAGCCCAGTGACTTTCCTGTTAATGGAATCCACGGGGCTCCAGAAGGTGGGAAGCACGGTCACAGTGGCGACCACCACCACCCTTCCAAGAAATCAAAAACCTCTCACCGACCCTCCCTGTCCGTGAGCTCCCAGCCTTCGAAGCGAAGTCCTTCGTATGGGAACAACCGGGCGAATCCCACGCACCCCCCGAGTCCCGCCACGACTCCCCCCGACCTGCCTGACGACTTCCAGATCCACCACTACTCCGAGGGCTTCTGCTCCATGTACAATGACGTGCCTGACACACGCACCAACAAGTTTGTCAGCCTCGCCATTCCCGGCGCCTTGATAAGATGGGTAGAATCGTCGTCTGCTCTGGAAAAGGAAGTCGGCCGAACGCCCTCGGAGGTCTTCCAAGAAGCCGTGCCTGCACTTGAGAGAAAACGACCCAAGCTGGAGATCAAGGACGCCACCCAGTTGCTGGACAATGGCACCACCCTGCGCTGGCGCTCTCTCAAGTCGACATCGCCGATTGAAAAGGACGTGCCTCTTATTGAGTTGAATGGCGAGATTGGCTTCCAGAAGGACTACTGCGCCGACATTGACAACCTGTGGGCTGACCTCTCGTCCCCCCTCCCCTTCGTCTTCTTCCATCCTATCCTGCCACTCTACATCGACACGCGCAAGGAGGGCTCTCTGGCCCGCTATGTCCGGAGGAGCTGCAAGCCCAATGCTCAATTGGACACGTTTCTGACGAACAAGTCGGACTACCACTTTTGGCTCGTCAGCGACCGAGCTATCCCTCCTAGCGAGCAAATTACTCTGCCGTGGGATTTCCGTCTGGAGAAGAGCGTCTGCCAGCGCTGGCTACACCTGCTGGGCCTCAGCGACGATGACGGCGCAGCGCAAGACGAGTTTGAGCTCGACGAGTCGGAGTACACGGCCATCTCCAACTGGATCGACCGGATACTGTCAGAGTATGGAGGCTGTGCGTGTGATCTGGATAATAACTGCGCCTTTGCACGTTTTCATCGACACTATCTGTACGGCAGGAGCCAATCGCGCGGCAACAAGAAGCGGCCGCGCAAGACAAAGGCTCACACCATCTCGCCCAGTAGCACTGGCCATGCTACCAACAGCCGTGCCGCTAGCGAGGGTCACATCGACGAGCGTGCCGAGGAACGTGGAAAGCGAGACGACTCGGTGCCAGCGCGGAGCAAGCCCTCTAGCAGAGATCGAACCCCGCTGCGCCAGGGCTCCTTTGACCAGCTAGGGATATTGACCGAGCCTACAGATCGTGACAAGCGCAAAGTAGCCATGGTCGAGGACTCTTTTCGGCGTATGGAGCAAGAGCAGCAGCAGCCGCCGAGGAAGAAGAAGAGGGTATCAGACGGGACAACGACGTCAACATCCTCCAAGTCAAAGTCCCGAACAGGCTCCACGCCTCACATTGGCAGCTATGCCGATGCCAGCACCACCTCTCGGAGCAAGACTGGCTCGCCGGCTGGCTCCGTCTCACCAAATCTCGGAAACCACACCAAGCCTGCGGCATCCCACCGAGGTTCAGCAGATGTACAATCGCCACCCAGGCAATCTTCGGCGCCACCACGAACCGCTTACCGCGACATGGGCATTCAGACGGATCCCGTTGACGACGAGTGGTTCAGCCAGCCGTCGGCTCTTCCTTGTCGCAAGAAGAGAATCATCTCGCTCTCCCAACGGCTCCTCAACAATCGCTTCAAAGCGCGCGCCGAGGTGGACCGCAAACGACTGTCCGTTTCCGCTTCCTCACGGCCCTCAACAGCGGACGCCATGGACGTTGACGCAGCGGAGGACGATGAGAAATCCGACCTGCCAAAAGCCGAAGCGGAAGTTCAGCAGCCGCCGTCTTCTCCTCCCCCTCTCACCTCTTCACCTCACCCTCCGAAACAAGACGGAGATATACAAGTGCCCGACGCACTTCCTGCTCCTTCTTCAGAAGCACCCATTCCTTCAAGCGAGACGACTTCGGCTCTCGAGAAGCCCAAGGGTCTAGAGCTGCGGGTTCAATTGCCCACGATACCTGCGCTCGATCCGACGGCTACTACCCCATCCGCGACAGCGACCACGCCTCTGTCTGCAAGCAGTTCCACCGCGCAATCGGCAATCATCTCCAGCATCTCAGCCGCCAACGGAGTAGTGGCGACTCCAAGCCCGATCAAGAAGAAACTGAGCCTGAGCGACTACACCAAGAGCAGAATGAACAAGGCGGCGGTAAAGCCGTCGCTGAGCCTCATATCCACAAAGCCCAGCCTTGCAGAGGCAGATGAGATCAAGGTGGAGAACGCATCAGAGTCGGCGACGACGGAGAAAGCCGAGAGCGCAGTGGCTCCTTCCACCAACGGCCACTCATGAATGTCAGAAAATCTGGTGATTGTCTCTTACTTTCTCGACTCTACATGTTTCGCGTTCCAATACAGGGAGAACCTCAGCTCTGAGGAGCAGAATGGGGAGGTTGGAGTTTGTTGCATTTCTCATACAAGGCGAGTGGGCAACTCGGATCTTTGCCCCTGGTTTTCTTCCTTTCTTTTCTCTTTTTTTAACTAGGCGTTTGGGGGAAAGGGCAAACGACTTGGGAAATGAAAGATACGACATCTCATTAAGATGCCAAGCCACAAGGTGGATTCAGGGAGTGGAAACTTGACGATGAGGCAATCTACAATCTGGAATTTTTCACCTGTTTCGAACCGCTATGGAACAAAACAAGGACCACCTAGGCAACCCAACGCTCCGGATATACAAAAAAGGAGTATGCTGGACACTCGGGTCGGGGGAATTCTGATGTTTGTTTTTCTTTCTCCAGAGGAGGGGGCGTAACTTCAGGACTTGGTTGATATTTCTCCACGAACTCTTTTCTTCAAAACCAGGTTTTTACTTGGGGTCGGCGTGAAAAGGCTCCTGTGTACTTTTACATGTTCCAACCTTTTTATGTGTTTCCCTTTTCATCATTACGAATTTTAACTGGACTTTCGGAGGTGGATGGCATAGGGGGAGATGGAATAGGATGGAGGAGTGGGCATTGTGTTTCTTCGTTTTCATATCTTCTGCAACGATTCCCTGCTCGGCGGGTGGATGGCATGATGAATGCTTGTGGCCTGTATGGGGGCTCGGATGGGTTTTGGGCTGAGATGACGATTCATGTGAAATTAATGGATGAAGACATCCAAAATCATTAGGTACCCTTTTTTTTTTCCTGTCTGAAGAGAAACTTTTTGAACGGAAGCCTTCTTACTAGCCTGATGAGTGAGGGAAAAGGGGGGATCTAGAAGGTGCCTTTTTTTCACAACATTTACGAAATAGACAAAGTTCTTGAGACAACTACGAAATAGTTTAAAGGAAAGAAAGAAGTATAGGTCTATTCAGTGCTTTTGCCTGCAATTATTCCTTTAGATAGAGCAACGTTACAGACTGAATTATTTACATTAGAAAATGTATGAAATGCATCGCGAGAAGTCTGAGAAATCAAGAGGTATAGAAACGCATCCATCATCAGTTTATCAATGCTGCCCCGTGCTGCCCCAATTGTCCTCCTTAAAGACGAGCAGGGCGAGCTTGTGCCTGACAAAGAGGCCAAAGAGGCCGACGCCGAGCTGCAGCAGGGTCACCTCCCACGCGAGGCGGTTCTCCTTGAGGGGGCCCCGCCAGACGAGCCAGAGGTTGAGCAGGGTGAGGTTGGTGGTCTCGACGAAGATGGTGGCGCCTGTCTCGCTGTCGACCGTGGTGGTTGCGCGGAGGAGGCGCATGCGGTGGAGGAGGAGCAGGGCGCGGGCGACGAGCGGGTGCGGCTGGCGGTCGGGGGTCCAGGGGACGACGGAGGGCTCGAGGAGGCCGGTGCGGGCGTTGAGCCTGGGCAGGCGGTGGCGCGGGCAGGGGACGAGGCCGAAGATTTGTGGTGTGGAGTAGAGGAAGTTGAAGAGCTGGGGCACGAGGAGGAGGCCGAGCGTCTTGGAGAAGTGGCCGAGGATGCCGACGACGGCGAAGACCATGCCGGAGAAGTAGCAGTAGGTGTCGCCGACGAAGACGCGGGCGGGGTACCAGTTGTGGGCGAGGAGGGCGCAGGAGACGCCGACCCAGGGGAGGAGCAGGTAGAGGGAGAAGAGGTGGGAGTCGGTGGCCGGGTGCGGGTAGGGCGTGAAGAGGTAGAGGCAGTCGTTGAAGGCGATGAGCAGGGAGACGACGAGGCACTGGGAGACCTCGATGCCGTTGATGCCGGCGAGCATGTTGATGCTCTGCGGGCAGAACATGGCGACGCAGGCCATGTAGGCGTAGTAGAGGGGCCCGAGGTCGAAGAGCTCGCCGAGCAAGGGTTGGAGCGGCAGCGGGATGACGATGGAGGTGACGTCGAAGTCGACAAAGTAGACGACGAGCAGCGGGATGGAGGCGATGCCGGGGATCCACCACTTGTGGCGCCAGCGGATGTCGAAGAGGTCGTCGCCAATGCCGAGCAGGGCGATGGTCTGCAGGGAGATGATGGCGCCGAGGTAGGAGGCGAGCTAAGTTGTAGTAGGTTATGATGAGCTTTTGACGCTTTTATAGTAGATCCAGAGGGAGGAGAGAGAGAGAGAGAGGTGTTGCTTTGTATTTCCAAAGGCTGTGATATACATATACAATATATCAGCCGTCGTGTTGTTTGTCCATATCTCTCACCTTGTTGTGCGGAAAGCGATGCAGGAAACGGCCCCCCTGATTCGCATGCCGCTCCATCTCAACCACCACATCACGGTTGCCGCCTCCGCTCGTCGCCGCCACAATGTCCTTGTAGAAGGGAAACGGGATGAAGACGATCACGGCGATGAGGTAGACGGCGGCGCACACGGCGCCCATGCACTCGGGCAGCTCCGCGCCGTTGACCTTGCCGAGGTCGCGCCCGCGGAAGCCGGCCTTGATGAAGGTCGGGCCCAGCCAGCGGATCATGGCGTAGCATAGCGAGAAGGCGACGAGGGAGAGCGCGAGGGAGGCGACGAGGGGCTCGCCGTCGCCGTGGAGGGTGTTTGCGAGGATGGCGAGCGAGGCGGCGGAGAGGGAGGCCAGGCTGAGGGTTTCGGCGCGGGAGAGGCTGGTTGGGGAGGAGGAGGAGGAGGAGGCGGAGGGGGCCATTTTGACGGAGGTTGGGGGGGAGGGTCTGGAGAGGGTCAGAGAGAGGCGGGCTGGATCGATTGCATCGTCTGTTGATGAAGCTTGATTGTTTTGTTCGCTCGCTCGCTCGCTCGTTCGTTTCGTTGGTTTGCAATTCGTGGAGAGTTGGAGAGCTTGGGTGGAAATCAGGAGCTGGTCGCAGTCGCAAAGAAACCCGGACACGAGAAGAACTTCAATCGTCCATCAAAGCGCGCAATTGAAACGAAGCGCGCTCTTCCATCAACAGAAACAAGGAGTCGCGATATGGAATTGGGAGGAAGAAAGAATGAAAGGGTGCAGAATTGAAGATGTAGAATCGCCCTGATTTGTCCGTTTCTGCCACGTACTAGGAAAAAGTGACAAGCCGCAGCAGATTGGGGAAATGCAGGGAACAAAAAGTGGCGTTTCGTCATTCGCGATGCCGGGAGGGGGTGTGCACGTGAAAGTTGAACGAGGGGTGTGCATAGGGCGGTGGGTACGGGCGATGAGTGGGTTGAGGTGCGGGTTTGACGCACGGCCGGGGGTGTGTGTAAGAGAAGACATAGCGAAGAAAAGAGGTTGAGACGAGGGAATCAAGCAGTTACTCGATAATAAACATGCCGAGAGGCGTATTGTAGCTCACAGATTGAATGCTAGAGAATGATACTCATAAGGTAACACCGTCAGACATCAAGTGCTACCCATATCCAGATGCAGATACCATTACCAAGACGTTTCTCGTCTGTCCTAAATTAACCCATCAAGCAGGCTCGTATCCCAGCTACCAACAATGCATACTTCGTATATAAAAAGGGGGTAACAAAGGCCGACCTCCTCGCTACTGACCAATTCGAACTCGAACACAGTGAAGCCGAGCTTTGACGTTGCTCTCCCGAGAATCTTGCCCCGATATGCTTCATCGCCTCAAACCAGATCCCACTTGGCTACCCCCGCCCAGGCCATGGCACAGCGCCCCTTCTTGGCAAGGAACTGCTGAGCCGTCACGCCTCGCGCGTCCTGTCCATCAAGAGACGTCAGCTGCAGCACCATGACCGACTGCCCCGGTGCCCCGAGATCTCGCGCATACACGTCGGCCCAGTGCCAGTAGCCATCCGTCTCAATGGGAATCATGTCATCCTTGCGGCCGTCCACGCCGTGGATCTGTAGCAGAAACAACGGCGGCTTCCCCCGGCCGTGTGTCTCCGATTTCCAGTGCTCGCACAACTTTGAGAACTGGAATCGCACGACCTCGCCGCTGTGGACGGGGATCTGCTTCGACGCGGGCTCGACGGAGTCTTCCGCGATGCCCTCTTGGCCACAGTTGCCAAACGTCTCCACCGGTTCGCCCTGGGAGCGTCCGATGATGTATTCCTCCCAAGTGATTGTGCGGCCGTCATTGCGGAACTGGTGCCGGGGGTCTGAAGGGAAATGGGTGGCTCCAAACCGCTCAGCGCTGTTTGTGAACTGTACAGGGCTAAACTCCTTCTTGAACAGGTTGTTGGCTCCGCAGATATGGCCAGCACCCCAACAGGCGTCCAGAAGCCTCCAGACGCCGCCGTCGACTCTGACGGCATTCCAAGCATGGCCAGTTGCGTTAGGCGGCGGCGGTCTTTCGCCCTTTTTCAAAGCAGTGTAGCCGAACCCCTTTCCATGGCCACCGACAACAACACACTCCAAGCCGGCCCTGTTCGCAATGGCCTTGTACGTGTCCGCATAGCCCTGGCATACCGCCGCGCCGTACCGTATGGTTTCTTCAGGCGTCCGTCCCTGAATATTGCCGCTGAAGAAGGCCCTGGTATCGTACATGATGTTGTGGTGGAACCACGTGAAGATTGCCCTTGCCTTGTCGTTGTATGACGGAAACGGCTCGCACAGCACGCGGGCAAGGTATCCAACAACGTCCTGCTGGGGAAGCCCTTGTCGGGGGTACTGGGCGGCTACGCCATCAGGGCCGCTCCAATCTCGGCACGTCCAGCAATCATTGGATACCACTGGAGCAGGCGGTACTTTGGAAGAAAAGGCCTGAATCTGGGCCATGGATGGTCGGGAGGCCAGGGGAATCGGAGGAGGGGTATCGGCGGCGGCGTCGACCTTTGGTCTGGCTGGCATTCGAGGCGGGACATCATCAGCCGCTGCATCAATCTTGGGCCTCGTTGGCATCCGTGGAGGCTCCGTCCGAGTGCCGAACCCTCGAATCTGAACCGTCACAGGTGCGGGCTTCGGCACAGGCTTCGGTACAGCCTCGGTGCTTGCCTGGGTCTGGGGGTTGGCCGGCCTTGAGGGCAACCTGGGGGGAAGGCTGGGCCTAGCTGAATAGCTGGCCGTGGTCCTTGCGGCGCTTTGTCTAGCAGCCTCCTCCCTCTCAGCAGCATCTTCCTTTGCCTTGGCCTCTATCTCCCGTCTCGTAGGCGGGAGAGGTGGTAAGCTGGCCATGTCACAGACAGGTGGCAGCTTGTGCACGACAGTCCCGTTGGATCCATTGCTCGTGGTCGACGAGATTGTCTTGGTCAGCGACAGGGATGACATGGTAGACTGCAACGAGGCCTCGGACGAAGCAGAGTTGCGCCGTCCCGAGGGCTTGGGGACAGTAATGGTCGATGTTCGTCGCGGCGGCAGCGCAGGTGACGCCTGGAAGGAGCCCGTCCGCGATGGCAATGGCGGCGGTGCTGAAGTATCCGATGGGCTTGCATTCTGCGTGTTTCGACGCGGCAGCGGTGGCGGCGCATTGGCATTTGCCCTGGCAGGTCTCGGAGGCTGCTGCGGCGGTTGTTCGTGGGCTGGGCCGTTGACCGTCACGACGGGAGCAGTCTGGCTTCGCGACTCGGCTGCGGGCCGTCCAGGAGGCGGAGGAGGAGGAGGCTTCTTGCGGGCAGCTTCAGGAGTGCCGACGGTGCTGAAGTTGTTCTGTTTCTTCAGAGCAGCTATCCTCTCCGCCAGCGTGTTGAACTGAGGTTCCTCGGTATCTGCCATGGCGCTGTTGATGATGGTTTTTTTTTTCTTTGGATTTGTATCAAGTCTCTTCTCTCTTTCAGTTGATCGTTTCCTTCTTCTTTCTTCGTGCCAGCGCAGGCCAACAATTAAGATGCGAGCTTGATGGGAAAGCTGGGGTTCAGAGGAGGTGGCAAGAAGCGAGCTTCGTTAAACAGGCAGAGAGAGCGAGCGGATGTCCCAGCTTGGAGTCACAGATGTAACGCAAGACAAGTGCCTGAAGCAAAAGGATGCAGATGAAAACAACGAGAATAACCCAAAGCAAGAAAATAAAATAAAAGAAACAGAAGCTGCTTTATTCCGTCTTATCAGGTATTATCCACGCATCATCAAAGAGCGACAAGGCCAAAAGGAGCGGTGCTTGAAACGGTGGACGGAAGCGGGAGGATCGAGGAACTGTTGGAGATTTTAAAGCCACAGACAACTGGAGGCGGGCTATTTTTGTAGGATTCGGACCCCATTGCTTTTAGCTTGTCTGAGATGCCGACTAATAATAAGAGCTCCAACAACGTTCTGCTCTGCACAGCCCACTTGGTTCATGGGAATCAAGTCATTTGATGTCACGGATACCTGCTGATGGTGCCGGGATCCGTGTCGTGCAAGGTATAAGTGGCCACCGTGAGAAGTAGCGGGTACGGGGAAGTGCACAGGATTTTTCAGTCTGCAGTGATTACCTGGAGATTTTAGGCAGATGAGGGAGGATTCAGAGCTTGCGAGCCTGGAAGTGGTTAATACCGAAATGATTTGTATATCCACGTGTTTAAATCGCTTGCAGGACCGGGTAGGAAAGGAAAAGAGGAGGAGTTTGCGATTCTTTGCGCCGTTTGGTAGGCAGATGGAGGGTCGATAATACATGTATGGGGGGCGGCTAAAGCAGGGCGAGTGGCGCCATGTTCGGCAATTGCCTAACCGGGCTGCATTGCATTTGCTGGGGGATTTGTGTACATAGATTCCTTTATAGAGAGAGGTGTGGTTGATTGACGTTTGACGACAGTATCAAGAGATGAAATACTACTACCTAATCGATGGATATTGACTGAGAATTCTGTCTCCTCAAAGTACTGCTGAAAAGGCTGGGTTGGAATGTACCTATCTGCGTCTAATAGGTACTATTAGAGAACGTGGTATCCAGGTAGCCAAGTTGTTATGTGCATCTACTATGTACTCGGACCTGACCAGGGCCATGTGCATATGACTCACCTCATGCAGGTCTCGTCTTAGATGATACAGCACAGATGGTGGACAATACTAGCATCAACGAGCGGCATATATATCAACAACAAAGTGTTTCGACGTAGAGCACGTCGACAAAGACCAGAACCTCGGTTGTTGTTGGTACTACGCTCGTCCCTCCCTATACGACTGACCTTCGTCAGTCCAGCAATCAACACTCTTCGATATATCTCCTCTTACATGAACCATCTTCCAGGTTCCTACATGGCCAAACAAGACGAGCCTATTGAGTGATGGATAACACGCAATGGCAGTTGGTTGATACAGCATGTCTGCTCAGTTTCAGGTTACACTCTTACATTAGATCATCTCTCATTCAATACACGTACTGATAATCACAGACTCTCACATACAATAGCTGCTCTCAATGATACTCCTGGTCAACGGGGAAAGCCATTGCCATCAACGGACGCTTCTCAGAGACATCACGATCAGGACCAGTCCCCGTCATGTACCGGTACCTACAGACTCGCACCGGCTCTAGGCCGCAACACCTCATTCAGCCGCTCCAAGGCCCAAACCTAGCCTCAGCCCCGCCGCCCAGCCCCGACTCCGGCTCACCAGGACGCGGCAATACCACCTCGGTCTGACAAGCGCATGTACGGATACATGAACACGTGCGCCTTCCCTGTCCTCTGCCCCAGCCCCAGCCTGGATTCCCGCTAACGAGCCCCTCCCCTACCCCCAAGCGAGGCGCCAGCACACCACCCCCATAATTACAGGGCCAAACTCTCCAAAAGTTAGCGCCAGCCCGCCTAAACCATCGCCCTGTGGCCCATCCACCCCGCTGGACCGGCCCCTCTACCCGCCTGGGCCCATCGTCATGTTTCGGGGCAAGTCATCCATGTTCTGATTCTTCATCGCTTCAGGTTCCTCCGCCCGCGCCCGCTCTCCAGTCTGGATTCATCCCGAACCTGGACAAACGAGGACAGACGCCTTCGAGTCTCGCCAAGCGCCGTTAAACGCCTTTGTTCGAACCGACAAACGGCGTCTGGCGGACCGAATTCAGCATTATTCCCCATCTTTTTCTCCTCTTCTTTCTTCTCCTCTTCGGCGACTTCTGCCCATCTTTTCTCTCCATCTCCAACTCTCCCACCCTCTCTGCCGTCGCGACTCCAGCCATCGCATCCACGCAATCAGTCCGTATCGGTAGACCAGCATCACCACCAGGTATCGTTATCAGCATCACGTCGGCGTCAAATCCACGACCCCCGCCTGCCATCTTGCCGCCCTCTTGCGCCGCAGAATCCTCCTCCGCCCTCGTAACGTGGCCTACGTCGCCACTCCGCATCGGGCAGCCTTGTGCGCTTCTCGCAGGCAGGTCTCGCCAACTGTCTGGACAATTCCCTCCCGGCGTCTCGTCCTCATTGCTCGGCAGTGAGGAGCGCGCCTCGTCTTCTCCAGCGTCGCCCCTCTCGACTGCCTGCTGCCGCTCGACCGGCGAATCCCAACCATGGCCACGAGCGATGCCGGCGACGAGGTGGTGACGCCCAGGTCTACCAGAAAGCCGCTCACCTTCATCGACCTGCCCACGGAGACGCAGCGCGAAATCTTCTCTCATGTATGAATCCCACGATCTCCAAGCCCACATGCCCGAGACATCACTTGCTATGCCCAAGGCACCTAAAACATGCTTACAATGTCCTCCGTTGGGCCGTCTTGTAGTGCTCCCAGAGCGATTTGATATGCCTCGCGCTCGTCTCGCGCCACTTCCACGAACTGGCCTCGGCTCAGCTGTACAGAAACTTTCACATCATCTTCCCCGACGATGACGACCTCAACTTCGATTCCCCCATCGATGGTCTGGCTGGTGGACTTGATACTTTCACCACCAGCAATTACGACTATGCGAAGCACCTGAGGGATCTGTCCATGGACACGCTCAGCGCTGGCATTAAGGGAGAGTGCTGTTACCAGTCCTATCTATACAGTGCCAGCTGCGGAAAGTTTTTCAACACGCTCCTTCACCTCACGCTCAAAAAGGCCAGGTCCCTTGAGGTTTTCCGGTGAGTTGCCATGCCTGCATCGTCCCCTTTGGTGCGGAGCATCAGGCCGCTTTTTGTTATCGGAGAGGCATGCTAAGTCTTGGTGGTGGTAGATGGAATATCCGGGTGGAGCTCAGCAGGCCTGTCTACCGCGAGCTGCACAGAATCGCATCCCTGAAGAAACTGCATGTGCGGATGCAGGCAGGGGAATCATACTATGTGCAACCGCCACCGCTGCCCGTCTCGATCGACCCTCATCCCCAGCCAGAGCCTACGAACCACTGGGGAAGCATCCCGCCGCTCTCCTTGCTGGCTCCCCAGCCCCCGGGAGCTGTGCCGCCGGTTGTCAGCGGCCCCCCGCCTGCTCTGCTCCCGCCGTCGTACAAGTCGGCATCGAAGAGCAAGGCCGGGAAGCGCGTGACTGGGGCCAAGGAGCCCTCTACCTTTTCGGGCTTCAAGAATCTCCAGAGCCTGAGCGTCTTGGACATCGAGAATCTCGATATTGTCAGCGAGCTGAATACCTGCATCCGGAACTCGAGCTCGACCCTCACCGAGCTGCAACTATCCTTTTCAGATGGTTTGGCGAATCGGGCGCGTAAGCAGCCACCTGATTCCGACGCAGACGATTCCGATGTCGACGACGAGTTCCAGGTGCTTCCCGCCTCGCAGCAGAATACATCCGGCAGCGCCTTCGACAGCAAAACCAATCGCGTACTCGAGGAGCGCAGACTTCAAGAGTCCGTGCTTGCTCGAATCTTCCAGCCATTTCCTCTGGAGCCCAAGGCAGAAAACGACGAACCCAGCCAGGAGGTTGACCAGAAGGAGGAGGAGCAAGGAGAGGCTCTGCCGACGGACGTCAGGGAAGCATTCATTGCATCCATCAAGAGCGTCTCAAGCAAACTGATGACCATCACGGGAGGATCTCCCGGTTCCACTGCCGCAGCACAGGATATGCTTGATACCATTGCCAAGGCTGCTCGGCATTATGTGGAATCTGTGGAGTCCTCGGCCCAGCCAAGCGGCCAAACCAGCGGCCAGCCCAGTGGTCAGTCCAGTCTCGCAAATGAGAGCGAGACAAGCACAGCCGGTGGTGTCTTGCCCCAAGGCAACTCATCAGTGGCGGCAATCGCCGCGGCTTTGGGACTCAAGCCAGCTGGAGATGAGTCAAGTGCCAGGGCAAACGACGCTGCCACATCTGCCGTGGGCTCGTCCAGCAAACTGGCAAAGAGAAAAGACAACGAGGCTTCTCCCGAAGATATCGACATTGCTCACATTGAAGCTGTTGACGATGTTTTTGGAGAATCAGACGAGTTGAATCTGTCGGATAGCGCTGATGCCAAGCTCACGGAAGGAGATGCCTCCGAGACGGATTCTTACCAGCCCGGTTCCTCCACCGGCTCTACTACTCCTACTCCTGCATCCGAAGCGCCTGAAAAGGTGACCAAGGCAACTGAGGCCCAAAGTAGTCACACTGCTGAAGTTACTGGTCAATCTTCCGTGCCAAATGTACACGTTGAGAACCTCATGACTAAACTTGATTACTTCCGAGACCTGAACGAGGCCATAGGGAAGAAGATTGACTATTTGCGTGCTGGGGGCTCGGGGTTGGACTACGCGCAGATCAAGGCCGCCGATGCCCAGCTCAGGGGTTTCAGCGCCATGGTTGCTGACGTCCAAAACGAAATTCAAGTCATTCAAGAGCATATGGATGAAGCGGAGCGGCGGGCAGCGGGCAGCAACTCGAGCAGTATGAGAGATTATGTCCGCCGCACAAGAGGCCTGATGCTTACGTCCCTGAGCATCTACCTTGTCCCGGTCAAGGCATCCGTCTTATCCCAGACGATCAACCTATCGTCTCTCAGACAGCTGACGCTTCTCAATGTTGGCGACCAAACGGCCATCTGGGCTTCTCTCACCAAGGCGAACAGGGTGCGGCCGCTGCCGCTGAGGAACATCTTCACCGACCATGTGACCAATCAGTTCCTCGCCTTTGCCTCCCAGCTCGAGGAGATACACGACCTCTTCCTGCTGGAGCGCAGCCCCAAGAGCAAGCCCGAGAGCACTGCTTTGCCAGGCTTCACCACCATGGACCAGATTCGCCGGCTCGTGCTCAAGAAGCACATTGGCAAGCTCAAGCGACTCATGATCAAGGACGAAGCCAGCAGCAGTCGCTGGGATTGCAACGAGAAGGCTATGATTCTCATCTGCACACAAGGGCGGAACCTCGAAGAGTTGGCGCTGAGCATGAATATTCAGGCTGTGGTAAGTGAAGATGGAATGTTAGTTGGGCATCTCGGGGAAAGGCTAACTTGTTACAGCACATATTTATGCAATATTTTTCGGGTCTCGTCAAGCTTCGGGCCATCAACATTCTCCATTTCCGTAATAACGATACATGTATCTGGGTCGTTCGAGAGGTCCTGAGGTTCATCGTGGACAACCTGTCCCACTACCCCGAGCTCAAGCTGGAGTGGATCGCTATGGAGGACGATCGCGTCGACCGCGTCATCCGGCCGTCGGACGAATCCAACAGCGCACCGGACGAGCAAAGCAACGACAAACGAGCCAAGAGCAAGAGCAAAGGCAAGGCTCTGACGACGGCCACTCCCGGCCTCCACAACGTGTTCCCACCTCTGTCGCTGGATGGCCTGGATTCGGAAAGCGACAGCGATGACGAAGCGCTCAACGGAGGGTCACGACTTCGCTATAAGACGGTCGGACCGCTGCAGTTTTACGACGTTTGGGGGGTGAAGATATTCGAAAAGGAGATTCGCAGCGGGAGGCTGTGAGCCATCCGCCTCTCTATTTTTTCAGTTATATCTCTTCTGCCGTCTTTTCAGATTTCTTCTCTCATGATTTCTTCGCTCTTTTTTTTGCTTTCACGGGAGTAATCTATTGTACATACGGAACCGAATCTGAACTCAGGGCAGCTGGATGGGATGGAGCATACAAATGGTATAATAAATAACAGCACAGGCGTCTATCGGGCGAAGAGCGCGCGCAAATATCTATGGGAATGGCGGAAGGGGGAAACAACATATGGAAGTTCTTGTCCATGCCTACGTTTTTCCGGTTTTTTTTTTCCCCGTCGCTTGGGTAGGGATGGTATCTTATGGGAAGGACGTGGATGGGGTTTAGCTTACCAGGGGGGAGCAGAAAACGGCGAGTTGAATTGATGTTGTTCTGTAAAATGGGCGAGATTGGCGCGTGAAACGTGAGCTTGGTGCTGGTTGCGTTGGCGTTTGTGCGTACCTACGTATGCCAGAGATTTGATGAGTTTGAGATGTTTTGCGCTTTTACGCATGCCCACATGTTTGGTGATTTGATAGCCAGGGAAACATCATGATCTGGATGGGCTGGCTTCTCTTGTGGTGGCCTAAACTACTGTACATGTACCCAATGTACCGCTACCATACCTAAGGCATGCGTAGTAGCCCTTCGCCTATAGAAGATGATTATATGATTTGAGATTCATACATGTAAACTGTTCACTTACAACCTAAGAACCTACCTTGTTTGCATGGACATTTGTCTTATGATGTCTATGTTTGGAATATGAGATGAGACACAGAAATCTCATGCATGATTCGAACTCGCAGAGAGAAGTGGTCCTAATCAATGTCCATGACAAGTAGTAGATTAGGTAGGTTAGGTAGGTAGGTAGGCAATATAGGCTTATAGCGAACACCCATCCTCCTTGCATTGCTGGGCCGATTGTGTACGTTCTCAAACAAACCACATTCTACTCGGACAGAAAGAGGGGAGAGAAGGGGGAAAAGAAGGTTGTCTGGAATTCCCATGTTGCCTTCGAGAGCTCCAGTGAAGTTATTTCAGGGCAAAACCATGGGTTTCCAGCTCCCTACCATGGTAATCTACACTACCTCAAGACGACGCTGCGGTTGGTGAAGAGTGTATATAGCTATGGATAGGCAAAGAGCTGTATAGGCTAAGTGTTTGGGATTCCGAGGTAATAATGGCTTCTAGCCCAGTATGCGGGCCAGATTGAATCACACAAGAGACGAAAGACATCGAATATGCAGATGCTCGGAGAAAAGAGAAGATGAGACGTATGTTCGGGGTTCGGGTTCGTGTGGTGGCTGCCAACTTGTATGTATGTATGTAAGAGGCCACGGAAGGTTTATGCAAGGGAAAATGAAACAAGAACAGTTGTCTGTCTTGAGCAGTGCACATGGAGTGTCGTCACATTGAGTGTGATGAAACAGGCGCTTTGCAGATTCTTATCGACTCATGTTGAACAGATCCTCGACGAAAAGAGGCAATATATGTCTTTTTTTTTCAAGCATTGAGTGGGCTGTGATGTTCACGTGTTGTGGATGGAGACACGCCCCCTCTGGTGAAGAAAGGATTCGGCAGGGGACAGGGGAGAAAGACATGCGGATGCTGTTCATTTCTCGATGGAGAATATCAATCGGTACAGTTGTGCAGATGGCGAGACGCACTGCTGTGTTAATGACATCGGACTTGATGTGGGAACGGCAGCCGAAGCCGGAGGGATCCATGAAGTTGTCCCGGCGGATGACCGGTGCAGTTGTCTTTCGACAGACTCTGTTGAAGGTGGGATTGCGTGCTGCAAGTGTTTTTCGTATGTTCTGACAGCATCGTTGGTATTCTGCAGGCTGGATTATAAGTGTGCAGACAAGAGAGAGTGTGCACGTGTGATGCTTGGTGGGTAGCCTGATGGATCTTTGTCGTTTGGACGACAGATCAAGGGGTACCCCAGGTTGCTGCAACGTCTGGTGATAGCACTGTGCCCTCTTCACTTGTCCCAACACTTACCGGGATCTATACTCAATGCCTGATTGCCGTACTTATAGATATCAGCAGGCAAATCGGGAGCCTACGTGCCGAGGCCTCCCATACGCCATCAGCCAATCAATGTCTCGTTGCGAAACAGGGAACGCCGGGCTTTGAATATGCAGCCAGAGACCAGCGAGCAAGGCCACCTGACTGATCGATGCATTGCCAGTTGCTCGACCATGCTGCCTCACACGAAAATAGGGACCTTTTGTGTGCCAAGTATACATATGCAGCATGTAGATGAACGGGCGTCGACTTTTGTGTAAGTGGATGAAACGCAGAATGGGCGAGTTTTGTCACCGTTGCCCATTCATACCCGACAGTATGACTCAATGACAAATAAACGAGTTCGAAAGGGTCAATTTCGACAGGTGATTCCATGAGAGAAATGTAATACTTGAACACAGCCGCTTACAGCGAGCTTTGATTGAACCGCATTCATGGCAATCTTTCGACTGGGCGACGAATGAGCTAAGCCACGCATACTCCTCGAGGGGGGAGGGCTTGGCCGATCCAACAAGGGCATGATCGTTGCATCAATGGATCTGGGCAATCGGGGCATTGCTTCGATTGTCCAGGACCCAATCGTTCCGCATCACTCCGTGGTGGAGAACCGATGGGTGCCCGATGAACGAAGCGGCTGGATGCCGATGAACAACAGGCCGGCCGGAGAGAGGACCCACGACGCTTGGATGCGTCACAGGGGGAGGCGCTGTAGTCGTCATTGTACAAGTAATCGCAGGACTTCTGTCGGGGCCGCTAGCCAGCGTCGCTCTGGATAGACATGTATGAGTATGCAGTCGAGTACGTTTAGGCCAATGACCTGGCGTCTGGCTGTGCACGATTCCTTGCTGCTGGCGATGTACCCGTACGTTGATAGGTGCATATCGGCACGTAGCATTGCTACAAGTTTGAGAGGGCTCCCGCTCTGCAGCCAATGCCGAGAAGCTCGACGAGCAGTCTCGTGCCATCATCATCACGGCCCACACACATCTTTGCCCATTGAAACGCTGATGTCTATGCAATCGACCAAGGGCAGGGAGATGATGCTGCTGTTGGTGGAGAGGAGACCATGGAAGGTGGTACCGCTGTACCAATGTTTCCGTAGGAATTCATACCGGTGAGGGGTTTCAAGCACACGTCGGGAAGAAACGCGGCTCATACTGCTTGATGATGGCCATCGGAACTCGCCGCCGCTTAGAAAGCAGATTCGCACGAGAGGGATTCTGTCGCACAGCAGCGGCAACACGGCAGCCTTGTCGTGCCTGCAGTATCTCCCACATACACCAAAAGATCAGACGTAGCCGGAGTGTCGGAAGGCAGCAAATCAGGCGTCTCCCACCCCACGGCGATGCTGTGATTGTGGCTTGCTTCTGTGTCCCGCGTTCGTGGCATGGCGCTGTAGACGGCGGACAACACGTGAGAGGTTGACATTGTCTGTTGACGTCGTTGTGGCTTTCCGTTTTCCATTCGATTGTCGTGCAATGTCGTCCTTGCATGTATCCTTGCATCGTGTTGCGGTTCTTTCATGGGCACAGCACTAGAGCTGGCGCCGTCGTCGATCCCTGGCCATCTATGAGGTAAACGTACATGGAGTCGAGATCAAGGAGAGCGGCTCAGTCAAGCCTTTGCGAGGGTTCGGCCAGACGAGGTGGATTGCGCAACAGCTACCGAATTCTTGGAAGAAGGGGAAGCCAACTGTTGCCCGCGTGGGCATGCATTCTTGCAGCGAATCACCGAAACCATCCACTCCCATTGTCTTGTGCCATTCCGACGCGGCTGGCCCATCCCTGTCCATACTTGTGCTACCTCCCGGGACCGCTGGGGTGCAATGAGGCTTGCATGGAGTCTGGAGTCTGGAGTACCGAGTATGGAGATTTTAAGCAGTGGAGCTCCATGCCTTTTGCTCTTCATGTCCTTCTTTTGCCCCGGTGAAGCTTCTATTTTTGCGTCAGAATGTGAGACATTGTGCGCTGGGATAGCCAACAGTCCGGTTGCCTTGTCGTAATCAAAGGGCTTCTAGACCAGCGCCTTGGAAACAGGGGAGGCTGGAGAGCTCTGATGTATCAATCCACACGGCTGAAAGGGCTGAAGAGCTGGGAAGCTGGGACCAGAAAATTGCTTTGTGGCGTCAGGGCCAGGTTCGAGATCAAGGTCCGGAGGCAAAAGACGTGAGAGTCGCCGGCGTCATGGCCTCGATCAGATCAGCTCAGCTCGTCCCAGCTCGAGGTCGAGATTCCGCTTCCGGCGAGACGCGGGGCGAATGCGAGCACCTGGGCGCCCAATTTACCCCAGACCAGACCAGACCAGACCAGACCAGACATGAGCGATAGTAGATACATAGAGCGGCACGCTAGATCAGAGACAATTCGGGGTGGTGCAGCGTGGTGGCCCTGCTGATGCTGGTGCTGATGCTGGTGCTGAATGCGGCGCATAATGAGAAAATGACTGGTGATGGAACCAGGTTGGTGGTTGCTGCCATTGGCCTGATGGAAGAGGGGTCGTGCTTTGTTAACGACACATGACTTGGGACTTGCATCAAGTCGTGTCTGTAGTGGTGGTCTCGGTGTTCTCTTATCCAATGTTGCACCAATGTGTGCATCGTTTGATCGGTTATACCTTCAGTTTGGCTCTGTCTCGTGTGTGAGTGTGAGGTGGGCAATAAATACACATGCATGTATGCAGTTACATATCAATTGCAGCACTTGAAGTGGTACACAAACGCTGTCGACAGCCTCCCGTGACTGAGTAACAAATGCAGCGAGAGATGTCTCATGGGAACAGACAGGTCAACAGAATAGATACGGATAACAATCAACTGGGGGTTTCAGTCTGGGACAAGTCGAGATAATCGCTCGTTCTACCTCCTTTTATTAACATATCTAGAGCAACAGCAAGCAGCCACACATGCGCTGCGCACACGTTACGCGCCCGAATCCCGTCAGCAGTGGCTCCGGACAAGGGCCGCTGCATTGGATGTATCATACCTAGCATCTGCATATATTGGATGATACCCATCCAGAATCGTCTGTGAAGAGTGAAATGTGAAGCATATGTAGACTGGCTCGATGGCTTCTTGTCAAGATTCTGCCTTTGCCTCTCTGATCATCAGAGCGTCGACACGCGATATTCCGAGACCTTGTCTTGCTTGTGCAGGGCCCTCGTCATGGCTGGTTACCGTACCTAGCCACCCTTTGAGGCCCGAGTGAATGGATGAAGAGTGCCCAACAAGCTGCAGGATTTGATCTAAATACTACCGTACGATATTGATGTAGTAGTGACATTGAGTTTCTGATTTATCGACGCCATTCACATCTTGTGCCGGGACTATTGCTTCTTTGAGGGCATCTTGTGGCTGCATCATCCCGTTCATGCAGATAAGGTGTAAACCGGTGCAGTCGGCCTTGCAGGTGCCACTTGCAAGTACATACATCGGTCTTCACTCTTCACAATACCATCTCAAGGATAGAACGCAACGCAAACATGCCTAACCGATTGCTTGAATCCAGTTGACCTTTTGTGCTACAGAAGAAACGCTACATCTGCAAGAACATGGCTGCGCAAACAACGAGTCGTCGGTAAGTACATGTACTCGTACGCCCAACGTTGTTCGTCCGTCACAGGAGTGGAGGGCGTGCACGCAGAATATCCACTAAAGCTGCCAGGCCACAGGGGGGCTGCAGGGGGCGTCTCGGCACCTGTGGACGCCCTGTGGGCGCCTGCTGGGCTCCGCCAATCCGCCAACGCACCCCCTCGCTGCGCCCACCCGCTTCCTGTTTGGGCAATACGCAACGCTGCCAGAACCCCCGAGATAAACTTGCCGGATGTCCGCTCGAGCTTTATTAGCCTGTGCATCGTCTCTTCATGCTTTAGGGTTTTCTCCTCTTTTGCCATACAAAGTTCTCTCGTCTCACGATTTGCGTCTCTTCAACTCCTCCTGGCCTCTTACTCCTCCTATCTCATCACCTGCTACATTGACCGGATTCGATACTCGACTGCAACTGTCGAGCTTCATCACATAAACACCTCGACCAAACACCACGAGCCCCGCCCTTGGTGACTCTCACGAGTTTCCTTCTCTCAATCTTTCTCTACCCAACTCCCTTTCATCATGGATCAGCTCCTGACCAATCTCTGGACAAGAGGTGGCTGGTTCCGTGCCTTTACGCCTCCAGTTGTCGAAGCGGCTCCCAAGGGAACCCCTATCCTCAACGTCCCGTCCGACGTTCTGCTCCTCGTTGGGGACCACTTGCAGGACTCGGATGTCCTCAGTTTCAAGCTCGCCTGTAGAAGCACCTTTGCGCTGTTTCCTCACACTTACAAGACCCTGTCGCCCTGCGCGAAGCAGGACTTCCTTGCAACCATCGAAAGAGACCCCCTAGGCAAGGGGACCGTCTACTGTCACGTTTGCAACAAGCTTCACTCTTTCCAGGAAACCGCTGGACCTCACTACGACGTCGAACTTGAAGAGGCTGCTGAAAAGAAACTCAAAGCTGACAAGTGTGTGAACCGGGATCGATTCGCGCCGACCGGCAACCCCTTTACGCTGAGCTATACCCATGCTCGACTGGCCATGAACAGGCACCTGTACGGGCCGGAGCACGGCATCCCCCTGGCCAACCTCTGCGTGGAGCAGAGCGAGCGCCGAGACGCCATGGCGATCCGGTGCTCGACGTCGGCCAAGATCATGGACGACGAGCTGTTCCTGCGAGGCACCTACGTCCTGACGGTGGCCGATGCCGACGTGGCCGAGTTCCGCAGCTGCACCGGCGCGCGCGACCTGAAGCTGTGCGAGCACACCTCGCTGTTTGCCGCGGCGTCGCCCTTCCGCCACTCCATCCCCGAGCTGCAGAAGAAGCCGGCGGCGGGCGACGACGGCCTCGTCCCCTGCCGCGAGGCTCCGGGATCGTGTGGCTTGTGCCTGATGGACTATGACATCACCATCGAGCACTGCGCGGACGAGTCCTCCTACCGCATCGTCATCCGGGCCACCCACCAGCTCGGGTCCTGCCGGTCTCCTCGCGACTGGAAGTGGGCGAGGTTCACCGAGTGCTACCGCATGCACGTCTTCTATCCCAGCCGGCCCAACAGGCGAGGCTCTGTGTACGGGCCCGGCGCCGTCCAGAAGCGATGGGCCGACGACGAGAGGGAGGCTTGCGCAGTGCTCGACGGGCATTCCAGCAGGGGTCTCTTTGGCTTGGCTTTTCTCAGCTAGAGAGGGAAGGGATGATATGGCTTTCCATTGCCGGTTTCGAACAATGGAAATGCGCGCTACGAGGGAGTGCCGTTGGTGGTGTTACACGGAACAAGGCCGTCACGAGACAGCAGCGGCGCTGTCTGCCGTGTACGTTGGTTGGCCCTGCACAGCCACATGGGGGAGAGCAATCATGCGACCACAACAGCATTGGACGAGGCGGTGGCCTTTCACTTGCATTGGGCTGGAGTTGGGAAATACTTGGGATTGTGATTTGGATTTGCCAATGTTGGCTTGTTTTTGTCCTCTTCTTACGGCGTATGTTTGGGACATGGGCGCACTTGTAAGCGGATTGGCTCGGTTGTCTCGAGGGATTTGAGACGTCACGATTTACGACCACCATCATCATTTGTCTCGACCATGAGAGCAAACTTGTATTTGTATGCATGGCAATTCTTCCCTTTCATTTCTTTTTCCAGTTATTTCATTCCGCTCAGCACCCGAATACCCCGCAAACAATGAAATCATCTCTTCTCAATCATGTCCCTCCAGAGTTGCTCCGTCTCATCAGTGCGAGCAATCTTTACAGAGGATAATACCCTGAATGGGTTGCGTATATCGAACCCCGTGATACCCAAGGTACCCAGTTGAACTCAAAGTTCCAATGTATGTACCGCCCCGATGGGAACTTCATGCATTGCATCGATTCCTCTACCTAGATGCAGTGCTACCACGGGTTGCAGCGTGATGACTTTATAAAAAACAAGGCCAGTTGTAGCAAAAATGATTTCAAATAGTGCACATGTCAGACATTTATCACAAAATATCTGCAAACAAGCAACCTATTTTTCCTTTTTTTATTTCTCTATTATATGTTTCTTATTCTTTGCTAACCTTTGATATTGGACACTTTTCGTCGTTTTTCTTGTTTTGAGATTTTGCGTGGGTTAAAGTACGTTGATGAGAAGATGTTGGATTTCTAGGGTACCTTTTTCGACCGACGTCATTTTCTTCGAGCAGGCTGAGAGCACGACGCAAGGAGGTGCGATATCTAGGTAGTATTACCCTATTGCAATACCTACGAAGCAAAGGCTTGAGGTACATGTATGCCGTTACTCATGTGTTTATAAATGTAGGCTGTGCATTTTGCGCGGGTGTGGTAGCATGTGAGAGTGCAGAAAACAACGTGTGGTCGTTCCTCTATCCTGCTGTGTTCCTACATAAGGTACTTCCGTCAAGGTCTGTCAACGCCAATATGCATCAAACAACTCATCCGAGACTTACCTGCAAACATACGGCATAGGGGACACAGACACTTTGATCTTTTCTCAAATTGTTATTTTTTTGGTGTGTACTTTACCATGTCGTAGCAAAACCCGAGCAACGAAGCTCGCAATCTCGCTCGTACATGCACACGTTTCTAACAAGTTTCGGCAAACAATACACATATTCTAAACCGCTCTCCTCTTCCTCTTTTTTTCTCTCTTTCCCCTGCCCTTTCGTACAGGCTCCTCCCCGCTGAGTATTTTTCTTCGGTTCGGTCCTCAAATAGTGAATGCTTGCTATGAATCAATACCCTTTGGAAGAAAAAACCGTGATAAAGAAGACAAGAACCCTTCATGATGACTTTTGAAGAAGTATGGCGAGTAACCTGGGGCGTCCGATTATGCAGCATGACACCCCAGTTACGTGGACGAGTTATTTGATGAGTTCGCGTGAATGGTGGGTTGTGTGATGGATAGGCTGGCGTGGTCCTGCGGCTGCTGTAGAGGTGATCAAAGGTATCTAGGTAACAAAGAGTGCTTTCTGCCCCGTTTACAGCTTCTCAATGATGGCAGCGGCGTACTCGTGGGTCTTGGCCTTGCCGCCCAGATCGCCGGTCAGAGCCTTGCCCTCGGCCAGGGTGTCGAAGATGGCCTTCTCGATCTGGTTGGCGTGGTCGTTGAGGCGCATGTGACGCAGCATCATGATGGAGCTGAGCAGCAGGGCGGTAGGGTTGGCGAGGCCCTTGCCGGCAATGTCGGGGGCGGAACCGTGGACGGCCTCGAAGATGGAGCACTCGTCACCAATGTTGCCCGAGGGGGTCAGGCCGAGACCGCCAATGAGACCGGCGCACATGTCGGACAGAATGTCACCGTACAGGTTGGGCATGACGAGGACCTTGTCGTTGTAGGGGTTGGGGTCGGTGACCATCTTCAGGCAGGTGTTGTCGAGCAGCTCGGCGTCGAACTCGATGTTGGGGAAGTCCTTGGCGACGCGCTCGGCGACGCTGAGGAAGAGACCGTCGGACATCTTCATGATGGTGGCCTTGTGCACGACGCGGACCTTGGTGCGGCCGATGGACTCGGCGTGCTGGAAGGCGAATCGCAGGACGCGCTCGCTGGCCTCCTCGGTGATGAGCTTGATGCTCTGGACGACACCGTCGACAACGACGTGCTCAATGCCAGAGTACTCGCCCTCGGTGTTCTCTCGGATCAGGACGGTGTCAACGCCGTCGTAGGGGGTCTTGAAGCCGGCGACGGAGCGGCAGGGTCGCAGGTTGGCGAACAGGTTGAAGGTTCGGCGCAGAGTCAGGTTGAGAGAGACGTGGCCCTTGCCGACGGGGGTCTGCATCCATGCGTAAGCAACAGTTGCATCATCATCACGGCGCATCTCGGGGTATACCTACGGCCAGAGGACCCTTGAGGGCGATCTTGTTCTTGTTGATGTTCTCGATGGCGGCATCGGGAATGGCGGTCCTGCCGTCCTTGATGATGGGGGTGACGTCGATGGGCTCCCAGGCAATGGGGGTCTGGGCCATTGTTAGCCATCTTTCGTCCTTTGGGAACTGGTTCAGGTTTTGAGCAGTCGTACCTTGGCGGCAGAGAAGATGTCCTTGACGGACTGAGCAATCTCGGGGCCGATACCATCACCCTCGATCAAGCTGACGAGGTAGTTGCCCTATCGACCTCTGTAAGCATCCGTACCTATCCATCTTCGAAAAGCTGCGCAAGCAACAAGCTCTGCGACTTGAGTGCGTCTTATATCCCCCTTCTTCCCTCGGCTCGTGTTCGGTTGACGTTGAAAAGACGCAGCAAGTCGTACAAAGAGAGCCGCGGATGGGAGACATGTGCGCAATATTGGGCGGCGAGAGGACATACATTGGCATCCTTGGTACCCTCGTACTTGGCAACTCGCTCCTGGGAGTAGAATCGCTTGGCCTGGACCTCGTGTTAGTTCGACAACGGGCATCGAATGCTTGCTTTGCGCCTGTCTCATACCGAAATCGACCAGGTGGCGGCAGCGCGGGGAGCTGCTCGCAGGCACTGCCTAGCAGGGCTGGAGAGGGAGCGGATGGCCAGCATTGTGAGGGTTTGAATATGTATATCGTCCGAAGGAGCTCAGTACGAAGAGGGACGAGAGAGGGACAAGACAGGACGAGGTCGGCTGGTCTGGTATTATCTCAGGGGAACCAAATAAAAAGGGAACCAGGAAAAAAGAGACAAGCCTCATCCGAAAGATTTTTGTCTCGGGCCCGGCATGGGCGAGACGTCAAGAGCCGGCGATATGCACCGCTCCAGCCTTGGCTCCTCCTGCTTTGCTGCGCTGCGAGTGGCTCAAACGGCGGCCCGGTGGGGGGCACCAGCCACGGCTGCTGTGGCACAGCTGTCGAATTTCCCTCACTGCGCCGCTTTTTGCGCTCTGCCGCTTCGGTCACACGCCTCGGAGCCGTTCGGTTTGCGGCTGCATGCGCCGAGCTACGCCTGATTGGGCATGGACGACGTATTTTCTGCTGGAGCTTTTTTTTCTTTCTTTTCTTTCTTTTACCTCGGCCTCGTCCCCTGTGTCCCAGATTGTGCACGACTCGAAACGACAGCCAGTGCGTCATAATTTGGATGACTAAGGCGCTGTGGCTGGTGACGGATGGCTTCAGGGCCTGTGGCTGGTGATGCTCAGAGGTCTGAACCTCGTGTGGCTTGTCGCAAGTACGGGGTACGTCAATCGCTAGGTAGGTATGTAGAGCTACCACCTTAACGGGAGGCGGTACCTGATCTTGCATCTCATCTCAACGCATCGCATCGCATCGCATCCCACTCAAGCAGCTGCTGCTCGCGTCGTCGGGCTGGAAGAGCTTCGGGCAAGGCAATGGTTGCTCTGCTGCTCTGCGAGATATCCCCCCTGATCCCCTGAAGACGAAATCCGACCATCTGTCTCTACCTACCTCTAGTCGTACCCTCTGCGCAAGCTTCCACTCCTTGATAGCATTGTCCACAGCTCCCAAGCTTCCTCCGCATGCCCACGATTGCTCCAATCTGCCAACATGTCCGACTACGAACGAACCATCCTCGAATTCTACCAGCTGCCCACGTCATACCCCTCGGAATGGCCCGCGGAAAAGGACGACCAGGATTCGTCCGGAGACGAAGCCGACACGAAGAAGCACAGCCGCCAAAAGTCGCGATACCAGGCGCTCGAGGCAGCCACTGGCGATGGCAAGGTGGCATCAGCAAAAGGGGCGGTCAATAACTTGGTCTTGAAGGACGAGCCAGACCCGTTGGGCACCACAGACAGCGTCGTCCGATCGCTGAGAGAACTCGGGCTTCCGGCACAGGATGACGTGCGGCTTCGTGAGTCTCCCAGGGCGTTGCTTCAGCCCGCCTTGAGACTGATCGCATCTTACCTTAGGCAACCGATTCATGCTGTCCTCGACCACCTTCTCGCCCACCCTGTTCCTGTCCCAGGTACACGCCAACGCCGACACGCGCACGCTGCTCGAGGGCTTGGATATCCTTTCACAGTCGATTGATCAAAAGTCCGCGTCTCTCAAGGTCCTCGTGGAAAGCAACTTTGAGAGATTCGTCAAGGCAAAGGCAACTATAGACAATGTGTACAGAGAAATGAAGTACCGCGGAACGGAAGCCGGTGGAAGAGCCTCGGTCCATGGACGCCATGCTAGTCGCACGAGCCTACGTGGTGGCAGGGGTGGCCTCAACAACCCCATGGCTCTGTCGGCCGACTCTCGAAAGAAGAATGCCTTGATCAAGGAAAGCGAATATGGTGTCCTGGGCATCAAGGTGCCACTGCTGGACGTTTCCGCCAAGGCTGAAGATGTGTGGGGGCCGGCTCTGGGAGGTAGAGAAAAGGAGGAGCACTTGAGAGCCTTCCAGCGATACGTCAACAAGTTCAAGGATCCGCTGGAGCTGAGCACCACAATAGCCGACTGCATCAAACGGAAAGACTACGAGACTCTGGTGGAGGCATACAACCGCGCCAGGAAGTTTGCAGACGATGCGCGGGCCTTGTCACAAACCATTGACCTCAAGACGCCGGAAGACGACCAGCTCTATCAGATCATGATAGCGGCCCGGGTGTGGTACGACGTTGATCACCAAATCCAGAGCTTCAAGCGGGACGCATGGAAGAGGTTGGTTGCCTCACACACGCTGGCAAAGTCCGAGACTCAGGTTGGCCGAAGTCCTGATCAGCATATGGAGATGATCAATCTGTTACTGGAACTCGGTGTCGACGATAGCCCGATACGAGTATGGCTCATGAGCCGTCATGACTACCTCAAAACCAAGATTCAGTCAACGGCCGAGCACACAAAGGCGGAGATTGAGGTGCTCCGCCGAAGACTGGCAGCTAGCGAGAAGCCTTCAAGTAAAACTGTGGCTACTCATTTGCGTACACTGGGTCGACAGAGCCTTGAGAGCAAACCGACTCACAGCGACTCCGCAGACGTGATTGAGCTGTGGGAGAAGATGCTTGCGTTCCTGAGCAGCCTCATATCTCCCCAGGGCATTCTTGGGGACCTTCTCGAATTTTGGCAGACTGCACAGGGCTTCATCGAAGGCAGGATACAGAAGACGCTGCCCACGGGGTACAATGACGAGTCCCGGGTGCATCATCAGCTGACACAGAGCAATGTTGCGGATATTGAAAAGGGCATCGTTGAACTGGTCGATCTGCTACGCGGACACATCCATGACTTCTTCGCAGCGCCCCCGCCTGAAGACCTTAGTGTGGTCTTCTCGCCGCTGCCAATCTCGCCCAACTCTCCCGCATCAGGTGGCGGGTACGGCAGCAACCTGAGCCCTACTTCCACACGGGATCCACGATTCAACTTTGACCCGAACAACCCACCGCCGTCGTCGCCGAAGAAGGGCGAGCCGTGGGAGAAGCTGGCCTTTTGGCCCCCTTGGTCCAACTCCATCAGCGGAGTGTACTATCTCTGCAGAATGCTGGGACTGGTCGGCTCAGGCGCGTCTGACCTTGCCACCATCGAACCCATTCGCTCGAGGAACAGCCAAGTTCTGGAGCAACTCAAGTCCCTGACCGGCGTGTCTAGAGAACGGTGCGTGACCGCTCTCTGCGCCGCCTGGAACCGGGACGCCGAGAACATGAAGTTCATCGAGGACTGGCTGCCGTCTGCGGAGTCGGGCGATGTCACGCGAATGCCTGCCAGCTTTGCCGCATTTGAGGGCGCTCTCCTGAGCGGCATGCAAAAGATCCTCTACATCACCGAGGCCATGTCGAAGCCGGGCGCCGGTGATATTGTCCTGCCGCCACCGGCCAAGCTGCTCCAGATGGTCCGGAGCCAGTACGTCAGCACCTTGTACAAGGCCCTGAGCGGCATGGTGGAGAATGCGGAACGATCAGTCAAGAAGACGGACGACGAATGGTCCATTGGCCAAGAGGGAGGCACTTCGGCTGCATCGTCAGTGGGCAAGAGCACGCTTGATGCCGGAGACCGAGTAAGACTTCAACCCCTCCCCTTTTCCCCTTCTTTTCATCCTAGTGGCCCAGAGCTAATCCCGTATAGAATGTTCGAATGCTCCTCACTCTGAGCAACCTGCAGGCTCTGCGGTCCCAAGTCGTTCCCAACCTGAACTCGCAATTTGAGAATGCATTCTCCGTCAAGCTCACGGACGAGTCCAAGACCATCAAGGACGTTCTCGGGCAGATCGATGCCCGCCTCTTCCAGTCTTACACCAAGCAGTCCACCGAGAAGCTCCGCGAAATCATCCACGCCGGGGTCACGGATCCCGACTGGGCCCCCGGCGTCGGCGAACGGCCGCAGACGGCGAAGCCCTACGTATACGAGACGCTCCTGACGCTCGTGCTCGTGCACTCGCAAGTCTCCACCACGGCCGCCTCCCTGACGCCCCAAGTCCTCTCCTTTTTGCTGGAGCAGACGTCGCTGCAGCTGCTCGACGCCTTCCGCAAGCGCTCGCGCTACTCCCTCAGCGCACTCATCCAGGCGACGCTCGACGTCGAGTTCATCGCGCAGACGCTGAGCCACTACACCACCGACCGGGCGTCGGAGCTGCAGAGCCAGATCTACCAGGAGCTCGACAGCCGCACGGACAACGAGGCGCGCGCGCGCCTGCAGAACGAGCTGCCCGAGATGCGCAACGTGCTCAAGAAGCTGCGGGAGGCGAGCAAGAACGAGTTTGCGTGCTTCAAGAAGCCCAAGCGCGCTGGGGCGGGGGGCGGCGTGTCGAGGGTAGACAGCGGGAGCATGTCGCCGACGACCAAGTTTGGGTTCGAAGGGCGTTGAAATGTTCCATCATGGGTTGAGAGGGGGTTTAGTTAGATGGAGGGCCAATTGAAGGACTTGTTGGAAACATGGGCGGCGAAAGGGTGAGGTTCGAAAAAGAGAAGAAGCATCATATACCGGTACATTTTGCGCCAAGTCTCACGTGAAGTTCCCTCTTGTTTGCTTGTAGCGTTTCAATGAAGTCAGATTTTGGCGCAGATGGCCATTTCAGCGTCTCAACGCCGGAATTGCGCCGTTTCGCTTCTACGTAGATGAAAAGAGTACAAAAAAAAAGAACCGAGACCGGACATTGAAGAAACGAGAACAGAGATGAGGAAGAGGGGGCCCCCTGTACAAAAGAAAGAAAGAAAAAAGAAAGAGTCCGAAGTGGCCATCCATCCATACGTCCATGCTTCCAGTCATCTACCCTTTGCCATCTATCATGCTATTATGCCTCGCCGTATGAAAGAAAGCGCAAGAGAAACACAGAGATAAAAAAAACAGAACAGAGAGAGAGAGTAAAGAAAAAGTAAAAGAGACAAATGAATAACATGAAAATATGAAAAGATCCCAGTAAAACCATGGGAAGTAAACCAACGCCGAGTCATGCATACTTGTTCTTGAGAGGGAAGAAAGGGGTCTGTGTGTTTTGTGTGTGTCGGTTGAGAATGAATTTTGACCCCCTTGAAGTTGTTTCCCTCCAAATCGGTGAAGTTGTTGGTGTGGCTTTTTGTCTATGCAGCGTGCACAGGTTGTACACTCTTTTCGCTTTCCCGCCCTCTAGATACGCCTCTTCCGTATTTTTGTGGAAATAGTCAAAGACAAAATGGGAAAGAAAAACAAATGAGGTGAGAAGATGGGAAAGAATCTCTCTCTACGCCAGTGAGGGCAAGGTCGTCTGAGTCATCTAAATGGCAGTATCGGTGATTAGACAGTGGACAAAGAAAAAGAAAATCGCGTCAGGTCATAGTCTCGTATCTCGTAGGCGCATTTAGGGCGTGTTGGGGAGTAGAAGATGGGAACAAAAGGCGAGTTCCAGGGAGCGTGAATCGGCAGGGGAAAACTGGGAGCTTTTTTGACGGGCTTCGATGGCGTCAACTGCGAGATTGTTAGTATCTGCTGTGTTAAGCTTAAATGATTTGGAGAAACAACTCACAATCGAGGTCAAGGGTGTGAAAGTATTCTGTAATCTCCGGATCGTTGTCTTTTACTGTCAACTTCCCGTCCACGCCCCTCATGGTCTGAGGCAAGGCTTTGCGGATGGATAGAAGCATCTTCAGGAGCCCGGCCAGATTGCCGCCTTGCTGGGTGAAGACGCTGGGATCTCGCTCAAGGGGCCAACCCGGGCGGAGATGGTCTTGCTCCCACGCCTTGAATGCCCAGGTCGACTTTTCCACGCAGTTGAGAAAGATGATGGCGGTGAGGTAGATTTTGAATCCGACCTTTGTTTTGCTGTCCGTGAGCAGCCTGTCCATGTGATTCAGCAGGCTCTTGGAAGTGCTGTTGGCCTTTCGTTCCGCCGCGGCGTTGAGCTGCATGCAGATCATGGTGTAAATGTCCGCGTCGTTCTCGTTTTGTGCCTCCTTTATCCATCTCGGCTCTTCTCCCTCGGCACTCGGTTTCTCCAGTATCGTCCACTGTCGCTCTCGATCAATGCTTTCCACCAGACCCCACAGCTCCAGAGCCTTTCTGAGAAGATCATCTTCTCCCTTGGATAGCTGTTGACATGCAGCCTCGAGCGTCACTTTCATAAATCTTGACGGCTCGCGCTCAATAAAGGTCGTCAGCACATCTCGCATGTACGCCTCGGCTTTGGCTGGGATATCCTCTGAATCCTGGTCAATCATGATGACTTGATGAAACGGGCGTTTGTCTTCACGAGCCTCCGTCTGTGACTCGCTCAGTTCCAATGGATACACCAAGGCCCCAAAGACAATCTTTTTGCCCGCTTCCGGAAAATGAGACACCTCAATCAGGCTTCCATCGTTGGTGAGCTTCAGCTGGTCCTTGATAAGGTTGATGCGATTCTGGGACAAGACGACCTGGACGCCAGCAGCATACAGGTCAAGTTGTTCATGTAGGCGGGTGCGGACACAGCCAGTCCTCCAGACACGTGGTGCCAGGACCTTGCGGCAGGTATCACAGGGTGTCCCTTTGCCACAGTTCTTTCTCAGGATCCGACACCGAATGCAGGCCCCTATCTTCCTGACCTCTTGGACTTCCTTACGTCTCGCGGGAGTGAATCTCGACCGTGCATGACGCGCCCTTCCGTTGATGAGCCCATCGCTGGTGTCCATGCGTACCCCCCCGCGGCTCATGAGGGGCAGCGCGGGAGAACTCTCCGTCAGCAGGGGGATAGGGTTCGTCGTGGTCAAGTATGTCATTTCACCCCACGGCTGGGAGACGCTTGTATCAGGTAAGGAGGTGGGCAAGGAGACTGGTACTGAATCGATGGTTGTCTGGTGGTTCTCGACGATGGGTGGAGACGAGGTTGGCGGTGGAATGTCGGTGTTGACGAGCTGGGGGTCGAGAAAGGTTGTATTCAAGCGGGCTGTGGCGGCAACCGCGACGGATATGTTGGTTGTATCTGGTGACGCTTCGCTGGCGGGGAGAAGAGCCTGAAGACGCTCTTCCGGCGAGAGCTCGGGAGTCGGTGACGGAAACTTGACCGCGGCGGTGCCCGCAAAAGCTGCCAGGTCGGGCCCCCCGCCTGACGACGATCGCGGAGGAGATGGGTGTGGGTGCGAGCCCTTCTTCAGGCTGGTGCTCGTCTGTGGACGGCTGTCGTAGGTCGTGGGGGGATTGTCGAGGGTAAACTGCTCCTGCAGCTCCAGTCGATCGGGCACGAACCCACCGCCGTTAGCAGGTGGGTTGGCAGCGGGATCGGATGTCTTCTGGCCGCGACTGTTCTCGTTCAGATCAACCTGGCGGGATGCCTCAGCGAGCGTCTCGAGGGCACTCCATCCCTGAGGCAGCGCGAGCTGGGCAGTGGGCTGGCCATTGACGGGAGGGCCTCCCTGAGGCCGGTCGATGGCCGCCCTGGCGGTGGTGATGCCGTGCAGCTCGAGGCAGGCCCGCATGCGGTCCGAGTCGGAGATAGCGGGGCATTTCTTGGTGATGTGCGTCGTCAGGCTGTCGATGCGGCCCTTGGGGAAGTTCTCGCCGCACTGCTTGCACGTGTGAGGATAGCGGTTGCTGTTGTCGTTGAGCTTCGGCCCGCGGACGAAGTACTCGAGGATGAGGGGGTTCGGCTTGCGACCCATTGCGCTCGGCTCGCCTCGACTGGCGGCGATTGGCTCACAGTCTCTTGCGCACACGGGCCCGGCGACTCGATACCGCCCGGTTTGGCGTCAGAAGCGAGCGCTCGGCGATGAGGCGGCCTGGATGAATCGTTGTCTGGCTGGTGGCAGAAAAGGCGGAATGCAGCAGCTGCAGATACGCCTAACAGGATTCTGCCCGCGTTATCGACAAAAGTTGGCAGACCGCCTTGATGTGTGCTGGCCCGGAGGCAAAGGCGGTATGCAGAAAAAAAGAGGGACTCCGCGCCGGACGCGCACCTACATGTTTGAATAAAAGCGTGCAGAAGAGTGGCAAATAACTGCGGTGAGATGCCTGAAAGATATTGTCGCCATGTGTGGATTATCGAGAGTCAACCGCCCGCTTTTTTGTGCAAGCCACACTTTTGTGTGCGCCCCGGCACTACGTTGATCCGGCCAAGCGAACGAGATTGGCCTAAATTCCCCGATGCCACGATAATCCGGCTTACCCCATCCTTTGAGCAACAGTGACATCCGACATTGGCTGATGGCCGCATTCCCCCACATTACTTTATGGCTGTTCTAATGTCACTGGCGATGTTGCATTCGGAAGAGAACAAAGGCATGTGGCAATGACGGAGTCTGTCCGGCGCTCGTGAGTTTCCTATTTGGCACTTGGCCCGGCCTCTCTTTCGTCTGGTGATGCTGCCTCAAGCGCTAGAGTTGCGTCTACTGATGAAAGCTCGGTTGGAAGAATAGTGGTGGGACATGGGATTCTTCAACTTGGCTACCCTCACGATGTGATACTGGGATACGAGGTGCCTATCGTACAACAGCTGGTGAAGAGACACCAAGCAGATAGAATGACGATACTCTGTCCTCGACTTACGGGATTTGCTGCCGAGCCGGAACCACCACAGCGTTCCTGAGCCTAGCTTGTTTGGGCTTGCGCCACGAGAACAAAGTGCCTCGAGGCTTGACCCTACTACTATTGTGAACGCCATCCAAGCCTATCGCCAGCTCTTCCCCCCCGCAGGACTTTGGTCGTCCGTGATGCCTCTGTTGGCTTGCCGTCCCAAAAGTCAGGCGACCTGGCCGTACGCTCATTTGCCGGCCGAATCCCAGGTACACAGGAGGCGCGTGCTCTGTTCCGATGATGTCCATTCACCAGCTTGAACGGCTCTGAGAACGGTCTAAGCGGCAAAGGATCAATGAGGACTCGAAGGTCTAGAGCGAGGGCGGCTCGTTATCGCCGTGTCTTGCCTGCTTCTGCAGAGAGAGAGGGGAACAGAGAGAGAGATCAAGTTCCAAAAGTCGGCACCTTCTGCTCCGGCTTGGCTTTCCCTTGCGTTTCCTGGCGTTTCCTTGCATTGTGTGTTAAAGCGCGCATGTGCATCGGCTGCTTTGCCCGATATCTTGACCGATACTATCTCGCCCAATGGTCGGACCATCTCGATATCTGATTGATAGTGTCGATGCTGTGCCACAGCGGCATCCAAACGCCTCACCCTCGCAGATCTTCCGGGCCTTGCGACTAGCGTTTTCCTATTTCAACACGAACCCGGGGCCCTGGACCATTCAGACGGCATGCACCTCGCACGTTGGCCCTCCGACGCCGCCCACTCATGATTGAACCAACAGGAACGTGACTGCGCTTTCGTGATGCCTTGTTGCAACCATGCTGCTGCTGCAGCTTCTCGTGCGGAGCTTGCATTGTCGCGTTTCCTTTTCCCCCTTGCGAACTCTGTCAAGGGCGGAGGAGGGAATCTGGATCATGCGTGCCAGAGCTGTATAAAAGGCCAGCACGATGGACGCGTCCAACGGCTCGTCTCTGCGGGCAGAATGCTTGATATCCTCGTGCTGTCCACATTGATAGCCGCAATGTATTCTTTACTATTGTTATTGCCCTTGTTTTCTCCGCCGGTCAGGTCCGCTTCGATTCGTTCTGCGGATTTGGCTGGCTATGTCTTGACCGATGTAAGTAGCACTTTGAGTCGCGTCTCATCTCGAACCGAACCGGTCTGATTCTGTACAGACGGGATCCATCAATGGAGGAAACACGTTCCCTGGCGTTTCCCGCCCTCTGGGCATGGTCAAGCTCGGTCCTGATCTCTACTCGGGCACCGATGCCTACTCTGGCTATCTGCCGAACGGCAACTTCACAGGCTTTACCATGCTCCATGAGAGCGGCACCGGGGGCGCTCCCAAATACGGCGTCGTCTCCCAGATGCCTGTCGTTGGAACCGTTGAGAACCCTCTGAGCGATGCCATGAATGACACTCGTGCCGCGCCTGATGTCACGGAGATTGGCTACTACAAAGCAAGCCTTGGCTCTGGGACTGTCCTGGAAATGGCGGCCACCAACAAAGCCGGCATGTTTCAGTACACATTCCCTGCCGGCAGCGATGCTCGCAACGTCCTTGTTGACGTCTCCCACGTCCTGTCCTCCTACCGTGGCCAGGGTCTGGAGCAGCACTTCCTGGGAGGCAGCATCAATATCCACAGCGACACCAAGGTCGGCTACTATTACTATACCGGCAATGGAACTTATGACAATGTGAGCCAGTATGCTGTCTTTTTGGTGTCTTGGTCTGTAGACTCACTCTTGATGAATGCAGGGATGGAACCGAGCTGCCCCCTGGACAGTCTATTTCTGTGGCTACTTCGATTCGCCAGCTACGTATAAGACCTTCATTGGAGCGGACCGAACCTCGGCAACCTTGGTTGAATTTGCTCAGAAGACAAGTTACAGCTCCACGACCGCCAGACTCGGCGCCCTTTTCTCATTTGGGAAGCGCTCTGTGACCTCCAGGGTTGGAGTCTCGTTCGTGTCCGAGGCTCAAGCCTGTGCCAATGTCAAGGCTGAGATTCCCCTTGGTACCTCTCTTGCGACGGTTCGCCAAGGGACACGAGATGCGTGGAACTCGCAAGTTCTGCAAAAGGTGACAACCAGCGAAACCAATGTCACCAAGCTGAACCAGCTCTACACGGCCTTGTATTTCATGCATTTGCTGCCGACAAACAAGACGGGCGAAAACCCTCTGTGGGAGTCCCAGGAGCCCTACTATGATGACATCTTCACCTTCTGGGATACCGTAAGTTTCCCTCCTCACCATTGAGCTTCGAGAAAAACCATAATCACTTACCAACCGGACAGCATCGTTGCACAACCCCTCTGCTCCACATCCTCCAGCCCAACTATTATGAAGAGCTCATAAGGTCCATGATCGACATCTATCGCAACGAAGGCTACGTGTCGGATGCTCGCTCCTCCTTCTTCAACGGCGCAGTCCAAGGAGGCTCCAACTGCGACAACGTGTTTGCCGATGCGTTTGTCAAGGGAGTGCGCGGCAAAGTCGACTGGGAGGGCGCCTACGCCGCCATGGTCAAGAACGCTGAAGTCGTTCCGCCGAACAACAATGATCCGCGAGACCCTACCAGCTCGACCAAAGAGGGACGAGGTGCTTTGCCAGACTGGCTCAACTATGGCTACATCACTCCTACGTATGGAAGATCTGTCAGCCGAGCGGTTGAATAGTAAGCTACTCTCTCCCCCTTTCGTTGTATGTATCTCATGTGTCCAACCGTATTTGCAGCTCGGTAAATGACTTTATGGTGGCCACCGTCGCCAACGGCCTCGGTCTCCAGAATGACTTCCAAAAGTACCTCAACAGATCGCACAACTGGCGCAACCACTGGAACACCAACATGACCGCCCTCGGCTTCTCAGGCTTCCTCGGCCCACGAACCACCAGCGGCTTCCTCGCCCGGGACCCCCTTTCCTGCGGCGGCTGCTACTGGGCAGACTACTACTACCAGGCCCTCCCCTGGGAGTACTCCTTCAACGCCCACCACGACCTGGACACCATCATCGAGTACTCGGGCGGCGCGGACACCTTCGTCAAGCGCCTGGAGATGACCTTTCAGCCCGGCACGTACTCGGGCAACGGCGCCTTTGGCAACACAATCTTCAACCCCGGCAACGAGCCCAGCTTCACGACCCCGTACCTGTACAACTTCGTCAACAGGCAGGACCTCGCCGTCGAGCGAAGCCGCTTCATCGCCAAGTCGTACTATGCGCCCACGCCGGGCGGCCTCCCCGGCAACAGCGACGCCGGCGCCATGGAGTCGTGGCTCCTCTGGAACATGATCGGCCTGTACCCCATGACCGGCCAGACGACCTTCCTCATCGGCTCGCCCTGGTTCAAGGATCTGACCATTTCGCTGGGCAGCAGCGGCAAGACGCTCCGCATCACGAGTACGGGCGGCAGCGAGGACGTGTACTATGTGCAGTCGCTCAAGGTCAATGGCCAGCCGTGGGACAAGAGCTGGGTGACTTGGTATGACATCTTTGCCGAGGGGGGCACGTTGGATTTCGTGCTAGGTGCTGAGCCTGCGAATTGGACGACGGGGGCGACGCCGCCGAGTCCGGGCAGTGTGAGCGTTGGTGATGCCAAGAAGATGTTGACGGATATGTCCAAGGGGAGTGTGTCGGAGCTGTGAATGTTGGATTACAAAGGGGTTGGATAATGGATATTTTGTATAAATGAGAACAGTACATAGGACATGGTAGTATATTGTATATACCTTCATCACAGCAAAGTAGCCTACGCTCAACATGTGTTTTTGTGTTCTGTCGACGGACTTGAGTAACGAAACCGGCTTGTCAAACGTGTATGTAGAAGTATGAGAACGGAAAAAGATAGATAGCATGAAACAGCAAAACAGAACAAGTGCTAGCTGGACAAACGGCGGCTGGTATATAGCTGTTACATATCCGCAACATCAAGAGCAGAGAAACAAAAAATGAGATACAAGCTGGTATTTCCCCTTCCACTCCCTGATTATGTCCGACACCCAAAAAAACGCCTCGCTATGCCTGTTTGGCCCAGGGTAGACACATAGATTTGAACTTGCTCCCACAATCTTGGTCTTCTTCTTCTCTTCTCTTCTTTTTCCGGGGCACAAACGGCGAACCGGAAATTTACACCGACTGCTACTGTAGTTTTATTTATCGCCGTCCCAGACGTTGCGGAACTCGTCAGAGTCAGAAACCTGGTAACTGGGGCTATGGCGGTGTTCATCTTCGTGTTCGGCAGAGGCCCATGGCGTGTCATTGTCCTTCGCGGCGGGACTTTGGTACCCGTCGTAGCCCTGTGATGCTGCTGTTGCTGCTTTGGCGCTGCTTTGAGCTTCGTGGTCAGATGTCGATGGCGAGTCAGCCGGGGCTGGTTCGGGAGGTGGTGCAGCAGCCTTCTTCGACTTCTTCTTCTTCTTGATGACAACCACCGGGGGTAACTGGTCAGAATCAGACTGTTGGCCGTGCTGGTGTGATGGATGTGTTGAGCTGGCTGCTTTGCTGCTACTACGTCCCTGCTGTGAGGTGTGTGATGGGGAGGATAAGATTCTGGTCTCCGATCTGCTTGCCCAGGACGCATAGCGTTCCCTCAGTGGCTCGCTCGCAGTGATGACTGGGTACTGTTCCCGTGGTGTAAGCGTAAGCACATGCGCAGTTCCGGAAGATGAGCCGTCTTGACTTACATTCCAATCGCCGAATTCCAGCTGCCGGGCCTTGGCGTATATGTGTTCCTCATCAGGATCAATCTCTGGCTCCTCAAAGGTACCGTGGGTATTCTCATTCATCTGGTCAACTCGAGCGGAGCTGGATGATCCATTTCCATTACCATTGCCCAGCAATGGAGATGTGGCGTTCACCTCTCCCGGCTTCGGAATCCAGTACTTCCCCTTACCACCCCGTTCGTACCGCATGCCTTCCTGCAGTCGAGCGTATCTTGACCTGGAGTCTTCGTGGGCCATGATCCTGTCGCCAGAGTCGAATATCCGGTAGCCGTATTTGTCTCCCCTGAACGTCTCCTTGGAATCTTCAATGAGGTCTTTGATACCAAAGGCATCCCGGATGGCATAGTTGAGTGGCATGCGAGCCGACTGAATGCGATTATCGGCAAAGTCGTGCCAGGAAAAGGCATACCAGTGAGCTACGGCGAAGATAGGCATCTCCACGCAGATGAGAGCGTCTTGTATAGCCGCGGCGAGGTTGTCGCGAGTGTAGCCCTGAACATCGTCGGGGATGGCGCCGAGCCAGACAAGGATTGATAGGAAAAATCCCTGCCAATAGGAGGCAAAGATGATGAGCTTGATACACAAGAACTTGGGGACGGGCCGAAACGGTATCAGGTCGCGGTGCATGCAGACCCAAAACAGCCCGAGCGAGTACAGGCTGATGGTGACACTGATGTTGTAGATGATGCCGCTCCAGAAGTAGCCGGACTTGGCTCCGATATATCCCTCCTGATAGGTGCCTGTAGCCTTCATGATGATGGCCGCGAGAGCTAGGATAGGCTTGAGCCACGCATACTGAAGGATCCCTCGCTTGATGGCCAAGAAGGTATGCGGATCCGAGATGTCCACCTTGGGCAGAAAATGGTTCATGGGCCACAGATGATGCACCGGGGCCCGGCCGTGGGTCATGATGATGACGGCACGCTCGCCGCCCAGGTAGTTGATGAGCAGCTGGAAGAAGGTGTATATCGTAAACGCCTCATAGATGTCTCGGATCGGGTCCACGAAGGCGGCAGCCCGCAGAGACACCATGCTCGTCCACGACGCGATCGAGTAGATGGGCACCATGAGCAGGATGCGGACGACGTAGCGCTGCAGCAGCGGCTTGCGATAGTTCTTTGCCTGGAGCCATATCGAGCTGTTGATGTCACTGATTAGCGCCTGTCGACAGAGAGCGAGAGCAGAGGCATGGGGAGCTGACATTACTGATAACACCGTTGCGACCACTGACGCAACGCCTGCTACTATCGTGGTGGCAGTGGTGAACTTCTGGCCGGTGCCATGATCCGGCATGATGGCGACGACGCGACTCTCTGAAGATTCGGAAATTTGGGGGAGAGCCGGGACAAGGTATGGAGAGAGAGGGAGCAGGGAGGCAAAAGCTGGCAGCTGTTTAGCTCATGGCTATGCTGCAGAGCTGCGCTGGCGAGGGGCGAATCTGGAGCTGTGACACAGCAAATCTTGCGATAACGGCAGCTGTGATGGGAGTACGTATGGCAAAATAACAAAAATCAGGGATAACGAGATCCAAGTGTGACGAAGCTCGCCAAGATGGGGGAGTTGTGAGAGACAAAGATCGACTTGTCATAGTGCCCCGTTGGACTGAAGCACAAGGGCCTCGCGGCCGGAGCTTGGACCGGGGCAAGTACCCGCCCGCCAGCGGTTGGCGCGGGAATACCTTCAGATGATGCACAACGCATGTGCACATGCAGCTTGCATTTAGAGGGAGCTCCACTGGCCGCTAGTGGCCCTGCGGCGCGCGACCCCTGCTGGAGACGAAATTTAGCGGGCAGCTCCAGTGGCTGTAGGGGGGGGCTGGAGCTAGCCGGAGCTGACTGCGGTGACAGATATTCAAGGTTCGGGGCGGATGGACGCCAATCCCAACAAGCAGCGATTCATCAGCCTTGCACCGCCAAGACGAACAACCCAGGTTCTCTTCTCCTGAACATACTACTACCGCCTTCAGAGCCATGCACAAGAGCAGCAGTGCTCGAGCCTTGAGCAGCGACAGACGCCAATTGCGATAGCCCCGACTCTCGGACAGCGGCGGCGACGGACAATGACCCAGGAGAGCTGGTGGGCTTGGGGAAGCTCTGCGAAGCTGTTGTAGAGATGGCGGGCTTCAATTAGTGAGGGAACCTGGAGGGATGGAATGGTCGTTGTGGTTGGGGGTGCATACTGACAAGTGCTTCCGTCTAGCGAGTTCCTCGTCTTCATCATCGTCTCCGCGGCCCTTGCCATCTTCTTCCTGCTGTACTTCAACCGACTGTTCGGCTCCATCGTCTCGTATGGCATCAGGACCTGGACATGGCATCGATACCGCATATACCTCGACATACAGGCGCTGCAGGTCTCGCTGCTAGCCGGCCGTATATTCTTCACCGGCTTGCGATACCACGGCGCCAATGAAACCTTCCTGGTGCAACACGGAGACATCACCTGGCGATACTGGCTGCGCCGCGTGCGGGAGGTCAGCATATCCGCGTCGAATGCGAACAAGGAAAACGTGGTATCGGAAAGGGAGGCTTCTCCTACTCTACCATGCCGCATCAACGTGAACCTTGTCGGCGTCGAGTGGTTTGTCTACAACCGCAGCCCGGCATACGACTCGGTTCTTGCCGGCATTATTAACCCGACCTCGCCCGGCTCGAGCTCCAGCACAGGGACCTTTGACGAGAAAGGAGACGCAGGGTTACGATCGCGAAACACGAAACACGATGACTTGTCCGAACGAGAGCCGCCGATATCCCGGGACAGGAGCAACAAGCCGCTTAATGGAAACGGGAGGTCAGAATTGGGGAGTCGACCCAGCACCGGCTCCAGCAGCAGCAGCAGTAGCGATGAGAGCGATCATGACGAAGTTCTCGAATTGCCATTCATGCTCAAGCTTTTCCCTATCCAGATCGAATGCCAGAAGGCTGCGGCGGTGATTGGGAATGACAACACAAAGGCAATCCTCATTGTGAGGGCCGATTCACTTTCCGGAGTCGTTGATGCCACAGAGACCACAACGGTGGATCAGTACAGACAGGTGTTCAAAATCGAGCTGGACCATCCCGTGGTGGAAATGCTGGACAACCTCGACTATAAGGAAGATCAGGTGACGCGTGCCAGACGGGAGCGGGAGAGCGTTGCCCGTGAGGCACATCATGCTCCCAGGAAGTCGTATTTCCGTCAGCAAAGGCGTAAGGCGCTTAGCTCCCTGCGAAACCTGGTGCCGTACTGGCGAAGATCTGTCGAGTCCTTCTCGAGCGATGCTCGGACTGTACGGGGCGCTGTGGCGGCCCATGCCCCTGGCGTCATCCAATGGCAAGGCTTAACACGATATCTCGACGATCAGGACATTGATGACAAGACTCGCTGGGCGCCAGTTGAGTACGCTGCCGTTTCGACCATTCTCGACAGCCCTGCCTGCCAGTTGACTGTGTATTGGGATGCCGTCAGCAAGGTGACTGAGGATGCTCATCGCCAGAGGCAAATGAACCCTTCTTTGAATATCAATGGACTGGAGCCGCCAGCTTGGGGAGTGCAGATTTCGGTGAAAGGGGGGACCATGAACTACGGACCATGGGCCGATCGGCAAAGGGCCGATCTGCAACGCGTGTTTGTGCCCTCACTCTGCAAAGATGCCACTGCCGCCGGGCCTCTTCCTGTTGGTGCATGGAGAGTGCCTACGCAGTTTGACCTGCTGGTGGAACTTGATGACACAGTCACGCTGCGCATTCCAATACGGGAAGAGTCCAAGAACTGGCGCTGGCGTGGTAAAGAGCCACTCGTCAAGCAGGAAACGGCACGAAATACGCGCAAGCAGCGGAACAGAGGCAAGAAGAACTCCAAAAGCGAAGCGGTCCAGTCTCGACCCTCCGGCTGGCTCGAGTTCAAGATCCCTCAAAACTCGACCGTCCGATATTGTATGGACATGGTCCCGAGCTCAGCTGGCTTCAAGACCAAGCTGAATGTCCACTTGCCGACTACTGAGCTGTGGAGTAGTGTCAACCATGACTTGCTCTGGCGATCTGGCCCTCAACAAATCTCGTGCGATCTGTCAACTCCTCTCTCGTGGAACACGCTGCGTAACTGGCATTTCAACGTGGCCTGCGACGGCATGGACATGTTTCTGCTGAGAGATCACGTCTTCCTGATTGTTGATTTGGTGGACGACTGGGGAGCAGGGCCTCCCGCCGAGTATCTCGTCTTTACCCCTTTTCTCTACCACCTCCACCTCAGCCTGCAGAATGTGAAGATCTATCTCAACGTTAATGATGAGAACATTATTGACAAAGCGACGGCAATGGATGACAATACCTATCTTATCCTTTCAAGTCCGGAATTGAAAGCAGAGACTTGCATACCCCTTGACAAGTTTCGACCGAGCAGAAACAGTATTCCTTTTGATGTTCGCGCAGACACCCTCGACTTGGCACTTCACGCCTCCCAGTCAAACACGCATGCGAGCTTTGTCAAGTCTTCGGAACTGGGTCATATCGAGGGTTTGGGAGTCGTCGGAAGCTATCAATACAACGCCACGACATCGCCCGCCAACACGGACACTTTGGTTTTGGATGTCCATGCCCAATCACCTTGCATCCACCTCTACGGATTCTTGGTTCGATACTTCATGGTACTCAAAGACAATTACTTTGGCGAACACGTACATTTTAAGACTCAGGACGAGCATCAAGAGCAACTGCAGGCCAAGTTGCAGAACCCAGATGCCGAGTTGCCGGCTGTCCGCCCGCCTCCCAAAAAGTCCAACGATCTCGATGTCATGTTGGCCATCAAATTGGACGATCCTCGCCTCTTGGTACCAACGAATATCTACTCTGCCAAGCGCTATCTGCAGGGCGAACTGGCCTCTTTCTCTCTAGACCTGCGTTTCACAAACTACTACATGGATATGGAGCTTGATCTCAGCCCGTTAAGCCTGTCTCTGGGTAGCTCGGATAGCGATCGAGACTCCCGGAGCGTGTCTTCCTCCGATACGCAGCTGTTTATCGATGGCATCCGCGTGTTTGGCCACCGCACGTTCGGCCTGCCACCAGCAGAGCCGACGTATCTGTGTAACTGGGATGTTTCTGTCGGCGCAGTTGCTGGAGAATGCACAACTGACTTTGTAGCCGCCTTGACTAAGGCAGCGCCAGCATTCGGCTTCACGTTTGACGATGTGGAAAACGCCCTGGTTCCCTATTCCTCTTTGGTCTTCTACGATGTCACGTTTGTTCGTCTTACTGTTCAGTCAATACGTCTCTGGATACACGTGGAAGAGAGCGTCTTCTGCTTCTACACTGATGCCATCGACGTCAACAGCAATGACTGGGCCCGGTCACATTACTCTAAGCGCGCCAACATACTCATACCGAATGTTCAATTCTCGTGCATCAACGCGGAATCGGCAGCCAGGCACAAGTTACGTCCCCAGCACCCTGTTGAGACCCAAGCATATCTGAAGACGGACGTTCGGCTTGCCACCGTCGGGCGGAAGTTCAAGTTCTCAGAAGAACGCAAACTACAACAAGACCTGATTCGTCGCGAGGATCAGCGTACAGGCCGGACGCCGTTCCTTATCCTCCCCGGTACAGGCGGCGATTTTATTCCTGAGCAGGTCGACCCTCCTGCACAGTGCATGCCCCCCCCTCCCCTGCCCCTCGTTGATGCGGACTACGACAAGCTCTCAGCGCCGAGTATGATGAGCTCTCGCTCACGGAGGGTCACGCGCCAAAACTCGTTTCTCTCCTTCTCTAGCTCTTCAAGCGGTAGCAATGCCCGTCCGCGCAATAATCGCCGTGTTAAGCCTAGGCCCTCGAGGTTTGGAGACAATTTGTCAATACGGTCCGCAGCCATGAAGGGTTCCCGCTCAGCAAACGATAGGGGGCCCTCTCTTTCTCCCGGTAGACGATCGTCCTTTTACAGCACTGTCGGCGACTTCTCCGCACAAGAGAACCCTGAACTGTCGCCTATTGCCTTCTCGAGCCAGTATTTCACTCCAAACTTTCCTTTAGATGGCGTCAGGCCGGACTCTCGAGATGCCGCTTTCCCGCCCATTGAGGACGAAGATTTCGAGTTTTTCAACCGACTGAAAGTGGATTTGAGCGATATTGATCCGGCCGATCTCAGTGAAGACCATGCTCAGTCGAGTACCATTATCGAATTCCCGTCTGGAATAAGCGCCTTTGTCACTCCTGAAGCCATTCGCCATGCGACCATCTTGCTGGCCGCCTTGCAACCGTCTGAGCCCGAAGATGTGCTGGACTCTCTCCAGTCCAGCACTCTTAGCGAGATATTCAAGTCCAGAAAAGAGGCGCACATTCGTGGAGAGATGTCTGATCTAATGGTCAAAGCACCCAGAATCAACGTTCGGTTTCTAAACTCGTCAACCCTGGATTCACCGGATCCATCTGAAGAAGAGCTGGACCAATATGACCTGACGATCTCAAAGATCTCGCTCATGAAGAGAACCGCAAAGGAACAGGGCGCCGCCGACTCCAGGACATCCATGGACCTGCGTCTAGGCTCCATCGAAATGTCCGCCTCGGAGCGCCTTTCATCTGTCCAGAAACCCCAGGCAGCCATGATGCTACAGATCGATGGTGTCAGAGTCTCGTTGGGGGCCAAGGAAATCACGTATTTCGATGCCGACATTGGCTCCGTCGTTGGAAGCACTGCATCAGGAAAGATTGAATATCTGGCTTCCTTGATTCACCGCACGGGGAATGTTGCCGCAGAGCTGGGCCGGCTGCTGACAGAAGTCAATGAGCACCATTCCACTTGCGTAAGGTACTTTGTCCTGCGTCTTTTGCAGGTGGGAGAGGCAACAAACGACCCTTCTTTCCTCATACGCCCTTCCGCCGTTTTGCGATCCGCAAAGCAGCACTTGAGAACGACAGACTCCTGGAAGATGATTACGCGACTTCGCCAGATCTGGGATACCAAGAATGAGCCGGAGAAGTCTCGCCTCATACAAGAATGCTGGGGCCAATCGCTGACTCTCCCATCGGATACAGTTCAACGTGTAGTGAGCTCTTTCGAGAGATGGAGGAACTGGGACCTGGGGAATGTCTCAAGCGCTCTCCTGCTGAAGAAGATATTCGGCGATGTCCACACCGACGACAGACCAGATGATGAGTTATATCCTCTCCTTGGTGCCTGTAAGCTTGGCAATATCTGCCTTATTCTTGATCCGGGGCCGAAACAAAACAAGATTGGCCTGGTGGATCTCACTGCACGAGTCGAGAGAAAAATGGCCGACCCTGCCGCTGCCGTTTTGAGAACTATTCCTGTCACCGTGTTGAATATCTGCTGTGGCGAGGCCGGTGTCAACTTGAACTGGGAGCTTTGTGTTCTTGCCGACGATATTCTGCGGCTCTACAACAAGAACCAGAGCCAGGGTCCTTCTGTGCCCCTTCCTGTCCAACAGCCACTTAAACAGGTCGCAAAGGCAGCAAAGAAGAAATCGTCTGCATATCATTTAGCTCTTGAGCTGATCAAGGGATCCATTGAGCTCGAGACAGTCAATCTGAGTGCAAAGACGTTAGGCGATGGACTCAAAGCGTCCTTGCTCACATTTGATACGGTGGATGGTGCAACTCTCACAAGTCTCATGCTCAACTGCGATGCCGTCACCTCAATGCTGCACAGTCATGCTCATCAACTTGGCATGTCCCAGTTTCGGAGACCAAGTCTGTGTGTCTCTCATGAGTTCCGAACAGCTGATGAAGGGCCCGCGCACAAGATTAAGGCGACGGCTAGTAGCCAGAGCTTGACTCTTGCCGTCAAGCAGGATCCCATCGGTCTCATGGAAGTTCTCGACCTCCTCTTCAGAGACGAAATCGCCCAGCTCTACCGCTTGAAGACTCAGTTTTCAGAGTCGCCAAAGCCGCAAACCTCAGAGGTCGAGACAGCCAATCGCCCCTCCAGCTTCAAGATAAACATCGCCACGTTCCTCGATGCTTACGAGATCAGGCTACCTCTGATACCAACGCTCACGTATCAGATCTCCGGTGTCGTGGTGCGAGCAGCGTGTGCGGCCAACTCCTCGAAAGAAGTCATCTTTGACTTTGACATCAAGGAGAATTTTCATGAGATGCAAATCAATGTAAAGAACGAATCTCGAACTATATCTTTGTTACAAATACCGCCCACCAACGGACGGGTCACACTGAGCCAAGGCCAAAAGGCCGAGAGTATCTTGAACGTGCTCTGCTCCGTGGAAGTCATGCGCCTCGATGCGTCGGCCATATATAACCTCCTCACGGCGCTGAACCGACCACAAATCTCCACTGCCATTGAAGAGGTACAGCAACAGTCCAAGGCCATACAGGAGCATATAGAGGACATCTTTGGAGCCAGCGAGGACAAGAAAGTTGAGGAGAAGTCGAGCTCGAATCTCGTGTATGCCGTTCATCTTACTATGGCAGGACTGCAGGTTGCTGCCAAAACATCGTTGAAGAATGATACGGAGGCAATTGCGCACGTTCTCTTCTCCATGGATAAAGCATATTTGAGAGCGTCCAATCGCCATGAAGTTCACGGCCCTATTCTGAAGTATCCAGAGATCCATTTGAACCTCAGGCACGTTGGCTTCGACATTGAAAGAGGAAAAGAGGGCAATATGAGGTCGTGCGGCAACTTTGGCGCGAGCTTCACAGTGTCTGCCAGCTCGAGTCCTGGGGAAGACGGCAATGACGAGTGGTCGTTCAATTTCAGAAGCGACGATTTGGACGTGAGCTTGTCTCCGGAAACGACCTCGACGACTGTTGATGTGCTGGGCTACCTTGGAACAAAGATCAAGGATCTAGACACCTCCCTAGAATTGGACTATCTGAGGAAATTTCGACAACCGAGGCCGCGTATCTCTCTTAATGATGACGAGGTCCTGCCAGAGTATCCAGATATTCTTGATTCTATCTTGGGGTCGGTTGTGTATCGCTTCGAACTGCGCAACATCCGCGCTTCATGGAACGTTGCAGATGAAAGCGGTCATCAGGAGAGCGATGAAGAAGATCTGGTGCTCTCCGTCAGGCTTATTGAATTTGGCACAAGGACCAAGCGATCCGCGCGACTGGCCATCGAAGACTTTCAGCTCCAAACTGTGCCCCCCGGCCAGGACCGGAGTATCCGATCTCTGCATTCAGCGCTTCTCCCGCAAGTCATTTTCAACATTGCTTACTTTTCCACGCACGATGCGCGTCGTCTGGCATTCCAAGCTGTGGGTGCGTCCTTGGATTTGAGATTAACTTCGGCCTTTATTGTCCCTGCGGCGAACTTGGTGGAATCGATTTCGCTGTCAGCGAAGAATGTGCGGCGAGCATCAGTGCAGTGGAACACCGAGGCGGCGCAGAACAACAGTAACAGTAAGAAGCCTGCGAGCGCGCCGCCGAGGACGGAGAACTCACGGAGCGCCCTTGGCAATAAACGACTGGAGAGCTTGCTCATGGACGCCGATTTCGCAGGCGCGGTCGTTCATGTATCAAGCGCCAAGTCTGCTGCTCATGGCTCTGCTCGACTACGCAACGACCGCCCATCGCTGGCAGGGAAGTATGGCCAATTCAGTACAGACGACTCTGGAAGCGGTGCGGTACTGCGCAGTCCTGGGCTTGCGTGGAAGGCAGAATATCGAGACAATGGCCGGGATAATCCTGCATTGTCGGGCGAGATCAAGATTGACGCTTCGAGCAACATTCTTTATCCGTCGGTTGTTCCTCTTGTGATGGATATCGTGTCGAGCGTTAAGGAGGTGGTGAGCAAAGACAAGGACAGCGAACCCGCTTCGAAGCCCGAGCCGCCAAAGATGAAGCCTGAAAAGTCTGGAAATGAGGACAACATCCTCACAGCGGACCCTAGTTTGATGCTGGGCCGTGTCAAGCTCAACCTGGGCCTGCGCATCTACAGACAGGAATTTTCGTTGAGCTGCCAGCCCATAGCGCGGGTTGCCGCAACGACGAGCTTTGAAGACGTTTACTTTACGCTCAACACGGTCTCGTCGCAAGAGCACGGAAATTTCTTTGCCATATCTGGTGTTCTCAACAAGCCGGCAGCTTCGGTACAGCACGTGTACTCGAGAGAATCTACTGCCAGCTTCGAAGTCGACACCGTCACCCTTTCGTTCATGAACAGCAAGCACGTCAGCGGGACAAGCGGAGTGTCGGCCATCCTCAGCGTGAGCCCCATGAAGATTGCGGTCAATGCCAAACAAGTACAGGACTTTTTGCTGTTCCGTGAAATCTGGTATCCCAAGGACCTGAGAAACGCAGACGCCGCAGCACCGTTGCCAAAGCTGGTCACGGAGACATCGCAGGGCCATTTGGTCCAAAGGTACCAGCAGGTAGCCGCGACAGCAGCCTTCCCGTGGACGGCAACCATATCCATTGCGGCTCTCGATGTGAGCGTAGACATGGGACAGGCGATTGGCAAATCAGTCTTTCAGATCAACAAATTCTGGGTGTCATCCAAGAAGACGTCAGACTGGGAGCAGAACCTCTGTCTCGGGTTTGAAAAGATTGGTATCGACTGTACCGGTCGCCTGAGCGGCTTCGTTGCGCTGCGGCACTTCCGACTACGAACCTCGATCCAATGGCCGAAGCGGGAGGAAGCACTCAACGAGACGCCCCTTGTACAGGCGTCCATCGCCTTCAACGAGCTACGTATCAAGGCTGCGTTTGACTACCAAGCCTTTTTGATAGCAGACATTACTTCGCTGGAGTTTCTGATGTACAACGTGAGAGATGGCAGCCAGGGTCGAGGAGACCGCCTGGTGGCAGAATTTGTTGGCGATGCTGTGCAGGTGTATGGCACGTCGACGTCAGCCGCCCAGGCCGTATCGCTCTACCAGGCTCTACAGAAGCTGATGCAGGAGCGGAGGGAGAACTTTGAGTTGTCGCTTAAGGAGATTGAGAAGTTTATGAGACGAAAATCTACAGCGACACGACTCTCCGTGTCGGCAGCCACGAGGGCTCCCAAGCTGCCAGAGGACGACACAATGGCCAAGTCTCCGATCTCGCTCGATACAGATGTGGTCGTGACACTGCGGGCACTCAACCTGGGCGTGTTTCCCAACACGTTCTACGATCACCAGGTGTTCAAGATGGAGGCGCTGAATGCGTACGCGCGGTTTGCGGCCAGCATCGAGAATCGGCGGATTCACAGCATGCTGAGGATGACGCTGGGACAGCTTCGGATCGGACTGGCAGGCGTCAGGAACATTGAAGCACCGAAGACGCTTAGTGAGATGTCTGTGGAGGACGTGGTGCAGCGGGCCACGGGATCACGGGGTGGTACGATCCTCAAGGTGCCTCAAGTTGAAGCGGTCATGCAGACATGGCAAGCACCGAACAGCAACCACATCGACTACGTGTTCAAGAGCGCCTTTGAGGGCAAGGTCGAGGTCGGGTGGAACTACTCGCGCATCAGCTACATCCGGGGCATGTGGGCGAAGCACAACAAGTCGCTGGAGGAGACGTGGGGCCGGCAGCTGGGGTTGACGGCGGTCAAGATCACGGGCGTGCCGGAGGCGGAGGAGGGCCGGCGGGAGGGCGGCGAGCGGCAGAAGATCACGGCGGAGGTGACGGTGCCGCAGTCCAAGTACGAGTACCTGGCGCTGGAGCCTCCCATCATCGAGACGCCGCAGCTGCGCGACATGGGCGAGGCGACGCCGCCGCTGGAGTGGATTGGGCTGCACAGGGACAGGCTGCCGAACCTGACGCATCAGATTGTGATTGTGTCGCTGCTGGAGCTGGCGGGCGAGGTGGAAGATGCATATTCGCGGATCTTGGGGTCGTCATAAGGTTGACGGAAGGAGGCGTTTTCGGTGTGAGTCAACTTTACAGTAGTTTGGCGAAGGGAGTCAGTCTGTGGCGTTGTTGTCATTTGTGTTTTGTGTATTCTACATTGCTTTCAACTTGATCTACCTTTTCCACAAGAGTTGGACGGCGAGTGACTGGTATCATGTGCAAGCACCTAGATCTGAGTAATGTGTCGAGAGGTGAAAGGAAAGATGTACTCGGTATCTACTTTGGATGTTGGAGCCCCAACTTGTGGTGTAACAGCTTCTTGCAACACGCTGCTTAATACATACTATACTTTTCACTGTACGAGCATGATCTGAAAGCTCTCCCGAGCTTCATCAAGCCTCGCTGAGCTTTTGCCGTTGTATTACTGTACGAGTACGATCCATTCAAGTCCGGCTTGAGCGGCGCAAAAGCAGAAGCGGCCAATCAGAGAGCTGCAACGGAAGTGCATGGCACGAGGGCCCGCTTTTTGCCCCTCGTGCTGTGAGAAGCCCCTCTATTTTTGCTGCGGATCAATTTGCTGTGATTTTTTTTTTCCTTTCTTGTTGCTGCTCTCGGCGGAGGATCGTTTTGTGTCGATGATGACAAAAGGCTGGATGGAGCTGCGGTGGCGAATTTCTGGAGGAATTGAAGAGCGTTGATTGTGATGATGGTATGATATGAGTGAAAATTTGGGAGGAGAGAGGATGGATGGTTTGGGGGGAGAGGAGCTGTGAGAGCTGTGAGGATGAGCTGCTGATTAATGACCGGGACAGCACATAGGATGAGATGCCTCAACTCGTCTACCTTATTACCTATGGCTGCTGCTAATACCACCTGCCTGAGGACGGGCAATGCTGAAGCATTGGGGACTCGCTCGGTACAACTACTACGTGCCCAGCAGATAAGCCCGGCTGGCTGGCTCAACTCCCAGCTTCCGCTTCCAGGCATTGATTGCATGTCCCCATCGAACGACGAGCGGGTTTTAGGCCCCGTATCACCGTGAGGGCTTCTGAGCCCTCCACTTGTTTTTGCGAGCAAAGTTCCCTCAATATTCCTGCTCGGCTCTTTGTGCAAGGCCATAGAAGGACTAGCGGCTGTTGCTTGAGAAGGGCAGCCCTAGCCCTGTTGGAGCAGTGTGTGGGTTCAGTTGACGGCAATGAGCTTTTTGCGTCAGGATTTGCGGGCAAAGCAGGCAGGGCAGGACATGGCCACTGGGCCACCTCGTGTCTATTGTCTCTCCACCAGACAGGGATTGACAGCGGTAAAAAAAAAAGAAGAAGCCAAAAAAACTGCAATCAGAGAAATCATGATTATTGAATGATTTTATCAATTATTCTTTTCATTGAAACGCATTGGCCGTTGGACAGAGATTGGCCCAGCCCAGCCCAGACAGACGCTGCCCGTGCCAGTCATACCTGAGCCACTGAGTGCCTCACCTACAGCACTGGCGTGTCCACCCACAGCAAGCGCCCAAATCTGTGTGCCAGCCAATTTTTTTTTTCCCTGCCCCTCCCCATTGATAAAAATCGCAGCCCACCCTCTTTCTTCCCTTCCCAGCTCTCCTCCCATCAGAGAGAAGGAAAAAAGTGTGCCTTTTTCTTACTCTTCTTCTCTGGTAGTGCAACAGTGATCGATTCGCTGTTTTTTCCCTGCACCAGTCAGTTGTTTTTCTCCCCCTTTGCCACTTGCTTGTTCCCTCATTAGAGGCTCGAGCTTTGTGCTGACGCAGCAGCAGCTTTTTAGTAACCACTTGAGCATAAAGCGCGGGGTCAAATTCTTCAACCCCGCTTTGCTCTTTTTCTCTTTTTCTTCCTCCTACACCACCAAAAAACCACCCTCAAGTTTTCCAGGCAGGCTCCGAGCCGCAATACCGCCAAGATGGTGAAGTAAGTGATTTACTCTGTTGCTTGTCTTAGCCATTTGGTGCTCCTGTCTTTGGCCTTCGTCATCGTGTTCTTCCCTCTGTCTGGCATGGCGTTGTGTGTAGCTCGAACTCTCTTGTCTCGAGTGGCTTTTTTTTTTTCCCCAACCCATTGGGCTTGCGGCCGAAATTTTTTTTCTGGTCTGCCTACACATGCTGTTACTACTACTCTTGCAATCTTCATGGGTAGCTGAGAACTTGAGCTTCAACTCTTGCTCACTACTCCTCTCACCTGTTCCTCGGTGCCGTGTCTCCTGCCATGACCATGTTGCTGACCGCCGGCTTCCTCATGATAGCTTCACAGTCGACGAGATCCGGGCGCTGATGGACAAGCCCACCAATGTCCGAAACATGTCCGTCATTGCCCACGTCGATCACGGCAAGTCCACCCTGACCGACTCGCTGCTGGCCAAGGCTGGTATCATTTCCACTGCCAAGGCCGGTGAGGCCCGAGCAACAGATACTCGTGCCGACGAGCAGGAGCGTGGTATCACCATCAAGTCCACTGCCATCTCCCTGTTCGGCCAGCTCGAGGACGAGGACGACATCAAGGACATTGTCGGCCAGAAGACCGATGGCCGTGACTTCCTGATCAACCTGATCGACTCCCCCGGTCACGTTGACTTCTCCTCCGAAGTCACTGCCGCTCTCCGTGTCACCGACGGTGCCCTCGTCGTCGTCGACACCGTCGAGGGTGTCTGCGTCCAGACCGAGACCGTGCTCCGACAGGCTCTCGGTGAGCGCATCAAGCCTGTTGTCATCATCAACAAGGTCGACCGTGCTCTTCTCGAGCTCCAGATCTCCAAGGAGGACCTGTACCAGTCCTTCTCTCGTACCATCGAGTCCGTCAACGTCATCATCTCCACCTACCTCGACAAGTCCCTCGGTGACCTCCAGGTCTACCCCTACAAGGGCACCGTCGCCTTCGGTTCCGGTCTGCACGGCTGGGCCTTCACCGTCCGCCAGTTCGCCGTCCGCTACGCCAAGAAGTTTGGTGTTGACAAGAACAAGATGATGGAGCGTCTCTGGGGCGACAACTACTTCAACCCCCACACCAAGAAGTGGACCAAGTCCGGCACCTACGAGGGCAAGCAGCTCGAGCGTGCCTTCAACCAGTTCATCCTCGACCCCATCTTCAAGATCTTCTCCGCCGTCATGAACTTCAAGAAGGATGAGATCACCACCCTGCTCGAGAAGCTCCAGCTCACCCTCTCCCCCGATGACCGCTCCAAGGAGGGCAAGCAGCTGCTCAAGGCCGTCATGCGCACTTTCCTGCCCGCTGCCGACTCCCTGCTGGAGATGATGATCCTCCACCTGCCCTCTCCCGTCACTGCCCAGAAGTACCGTGTCGAGACCCTGTACGAGGGTCCCATGGACGACGAGGCCGCCATTGGTATCCGTGACTGCGACCCTAAGGGACCTCTCATGCTCTACGTCTCCAAGATGGTGCCCACCTCCGACAAGGGCCGCTTCTACGCCTTCGGTCGTGTCTTCTCCGGTGTCGTCCGCTCCGGTCTCAAGGTCCGCATCCAGGGCCCCAACTACACCCCCGGCAAGAAGGATGATCTCTTCATCAAGGCCATCCAGCGTACCGTCCTCATGATGGGCGGCAAGGTCGAGCCCATCGACGACATGCCTGCCGGTAACATTGTCGGTCTGGTCGGTATCGACCAGTTCCTGCTCAAGTCCGGTACCCTGACCACCAGCGAGACCGCCCACAACCTTAAGGTCATGAAGTTCTCCGTCTCCCCCGTCGTCCGACGCTCCGTCCAGGTCAAGAACGCCCAGGACCTGCCCAAGCTGGTCGAGGGTCTCAAGCGTCTGTCCAAGTCCGACCCTTGCGTCCTCATCTCCACCTCCGAGTCCGGTGAGCACGTCGTTGCCGGTGCCGGTGAGCTGCATCTCGAGATTTGCTTGAACGACCTCGAGAACGACCACGCCGGTGTTCCCCTCATCATCTCCGACCCCGTCGTCCAGTACCGTGAGACCGTCCAGGCGAAGTCCAGCATCACTGCCCTGTCCAAGTCCCCCAACAAGCACAACCGTCTTTACATGGTTGCTGAGCCCATGGACGAGGAGCTCGCCAACGCCATCGAGGGCGGCAAGATCGCCCCCCGTGACGATTTCAAGGCCCGTGCCCGTGTCCTCGCTGACGAGTTCGGCTGGGATGTCACCGATGCCCGAAAGATCTGGACCTTCGGTCCCGACGGCACTGGTGCCAACTTGCTGGTCGACCAGACCAAGGCCGTCCAGTACCTCAACGAAATCAAGGACTCCGTCGTCTCTGGTTTCCAGTGGGCCACCCGTGAGGGTCCCATTGCTGAGGAGCCCATGCGTGCTATCCGCTTCAACATCCTTGATGTTACTCTGCACGCTGATGCTATCCACCGTGGTGGTGGTCAGATCATCCCCACTGCTCGTCGTGTCCTGTACGCCTCGACTCTCCTGGCTGAGCCTGCTCTGCAGGAGCCTATCTTCCTGGTCGAGATCCAGGTCCCCGAGACTGCCATGGGTGGTGTCTACGGTGTCCTGACCCGTCGTCGTGGTCACGTCTTCAACGAGGAGCAGCGTCCTGGTACTCCTCTGTTCAACATCAAGGCCTACCTGCCCGTCCTGGAGTCCTTCGGTTTCAACGCCGATCTGCGCCAGGCCACCTCCGGCCAGGCCTTCCCCCAGTCCGTCTTCGACCACTACCAGGTCCTGCCCGGTGGCTCTCCCCTCGACCCCACCTCCAAGGTCGGTGCTATTGTCACTGAGATGCGTAAGCGCAAGGGTATCAAGGTTGAGGTTCCCGGTGTTGAGAACGTAAGTTTTTATCCTCTTGTCTCGTCCCACCTGACATTCGATGCTAAAATCTTTTCCCCTAGTACTATGACAAGCTGTAAACGGCTCCCTTATTCGCCGATAGAAGTACCATTCGTGTCGAGATGGGCACACAATGTCAGCCAGCTGTTAGCGAAGATCAAGGGTCACTACTCGTATCTTGGAGGGCTCGCCGCCCCGCTAATCTGAAAAGCTGATGGACGGTTGACGAGAAGTAAAAAAATACCCGTTGAAAGGAAAAAAATAAGGGAAACCCCGTGGATACTAGGCTGAGACCGTAATCAAAGGAGGTCAAGCTTGGCGGCTTATCATGCATGTAGTTATATGCCAGGGGAAGAATGAATGAAATTTATGAGAATTCAAGTATCTTTATGTTACCTATCCTCGTGAATGTGTACAATCTAGATGGCGTAAGAGCATGTTCTTTGCTAGCTTATGCCGTTTTCTAACCTTTGTATCCTTCACTGTAGCATATTCTTTTTTGATATATGTCAGTTCCTCAGTTTTGGATCCTTCTCTGTAGACTGTTGATTGAACCTGGGCAAGGGCTGAATAGATAGCCGTCGTAGGTTAGCCGCTTGCAGAGCTTGACGAGCTATAGAAGAAGTCGGAAACAGGGCCAACAGTCAAGGAATGGGAGACGCCACGCAATGTCCCCTGCGCCTGATGTTCTTCTGCCCAGAGTGGGTTCATTATATCCTGAGGATCCAATGCCATTTGTATCATTACTGCAATCGTAGAAACAGACAGCTGTTGAGCCAGCAATCAGAGAGCAGTTGAAGCTTGTCAGACAGCAAAGCCTGTCAACTGGAGTGGCGGCCCCCACTTTACAAGCCACGGGCGGCACCTTCCATCGGCCATCGTCAGGCGCAGCCTTGCCATGAGCTTCCACTTTGTGCCAAGTCCAAACCTGGAGTGAACCAAATCCGAGCTCCCACCTCTTTTCTCATCACTTCACCTCTTCACCTTTTGCTTTGCTCACAATTGGATGAGCTTGAGAGGTTTCGAATTGATAATCTCTTGGACTATTTCTAGCGCCCGACGCACCATCTCGTCCAATTACTCGTTACATGATATTCTTCAGGGTTCATTGATCATCACTCTTCCTCCACTACCTACTTCTCCCCATCTGTTCTTCCATCCGCCTTCGAATTCTAACCTGCTCGAACGATGCTGTTCCCGGAAGAAGATGCGCCGTTGTTGAAAACTTGGATTGTCAAGCGCATTGAGAACACGTTTGTCTGCCCGCAACCGAGGACGCGACGCTCCTCGAGAAAGCCATCCTGCTCTCTTGCTACCAATGCTGACCTCTCCTCTCTCTCTCTCTCTCTCTCTGTGCAGATCAGATGCGGACTCCGATGTGCTTGCCGACTATGTCATTGCTCTGCTGAAACACGATGGCGACGCCGAGTCGGTGCGGAAGCTCTGCGAAGCTGAGATTCCCGACTTTTTGACCGAAGGTTCGTTGAAGTTCTGAGCGAGACGCGCTTGCGGTGCTAGCCAACAAGCATTGTGACAAGAATGGCGCGCTGACTCTTGATTCTCTGTGCTACAGATCCAAAGACTTTCCTAGACGACGTCTTCCAAGCGATCGCGTACAAGTCCTATCGACCAGGTGCTCCACCGCCTCCGCAGCCTGTCGCCAGTGCCATTGGCGCTCCGGCTCCTCCTCTGGCTACGTCCTCGGGAACATACAGCGGTGCGCCGCACCCGCCGTCGCGAAAACGAGGACTACACGACGACGGCGGCCATGACGGCCACGCGGCGTATGGCAGACACCACAAGCAGCCTCGACGAGGCTCAAACCACGACTCGGCCATGGGCGGCTACGTGTCTGTGGACTCCATGCCCGGCATGAAGCACTTTGACCCCAAGAGCGCCCTCGAGACGATCATGCAGATGCAGGCCATGGGCATTCCGTACCCCGGCATGGCCGAATTCATGGCACAGATGCCTCCAGCAGGTGGGAGAAACTCGCAACGGCGGAGAGGTCGCTGCCGTGAATTTGATACTAAGGGATACTGCTCTCGCGGAAACCAGTGCATGTATGATCATGGAAACTCTGTCTATGTTCCCCCCATGTTTTCCGGAGTCGAAGGTACGTACCACGAGAATTCCAGGACCCAACATCTGAAGAAGCGTTCAGACTAACGCTCACTTTTCCTCCAGAATACGATCCCAGCAACGCTGTGATTGGAATGGGCGCAAACCCCTACTCCTTCCCCATGGACATGATGGGCGGCCGTGGTCGAGGTCGAGGCGGTCGTGGTGGTCGTGGAGGCCGCGGCGGCAAGAAAGGGGGAGCGCGAGCCCCCTTTTCGGCAGAGGGCCCCGTCAACGATCGCACCAAGAGCACCATCGTCGTCGAAAACATTCCCGAGGAGAACTTTGACGAAGAGCAGGTCCGCGCCTTCTTTTCGCAGTTTGGCGAAATCGTCGACGTTTCCATGCAGCCGTACAAGCACCTGGCGATTGTCAAGTACGACAAGTGGGCATCCGCGAATGCGGCATACAGGTCGCCCAAGGTCATCTTTGATAATCGGTTCGTCAAGGTGTTTTGGTACAAAGAAGAGGGCGCCAAGGTAACACCTTCGGCGGCATCGGGAAGTGGGAATGGCGTGCTATCTAACCTGAACAGCGACGGGTCTGCTGCACCCACAGGGCACGAGGCTGATGACGTCGACATGGAAGAGTTTCAGAGGAGGCAAGAGGAAGCACAGAAGCAGTACCAGGAGAAGGAAGCCAAGCGACTAGAGCTAGAGCGGCAGCGTCAAGAACTGGAGAAGAAGCAGCAGGAACTCCTGGCGAAACACAGAGCCGAAAGCGAGAGACTGAAGGCGAAACTGGCAGAGAAGACTGGTTCGACGGCAGATGGCAAAGCCTCGGGATCTTCGTCATCAACAGAGATGCTACGTGCCCAGCTGGCAGCGTTGGAGCAGGAGGCCAAGATTCTCGGCATCGACCCGGACGCGGCAGAGGATGGACTCGGCTACAGCTCACGGGGCCTAGGATACAGAGGGCGCGGCCGGGGCAGCGATCGAGGGTTTGCGCCTCGCGGTCGCGGCTCGTTCAGAGGTCAGGCGGGAAGACATGCAGCCTATGCGCAGTATTCACTGGATAACCGCCCGAGGAAGCTGGCCGTCACCGGCGTTGACTTTACGCCTTCGGACAAGGATGAGGCTCTTAGGCATTTTCTCCTGGTAAGTTCCGAAACAACTCCTCCTGTGAAAGAAGAACTATCTATATGGGACCGCTTTGCTGACTTGGGACCAGAACCTGGGCGAATTCGAGTCTGTGGACACCACGCCTTCCGTTACGTACGTGTCTTTCCAAGATCGCAAGACTGCCGAAAAGTTTTACTACAGCCTGCACGGAAAAGAATTGCCCGGCGTCAGCGGCACGCTCGACCTCTCCTGGGTCAACACCCCGTTACCGCCCGCTGGGTCTTCCTCCAAGAAGAACGAGGATGCCGAAGATGGAGATGCCATGGCGGGGATGAATGACGATGACGGGGCTGTGGATGCTGGCTCGCCGGGAGAGCATATGCGGGAGCAGCGGCAGGTCGATATGGATTATGATGTTGGTGAGGAGGAGGGAGAATGGGTTGAGTAAACGCGACCATGGGGAGGCAGAGCGAGGAACATGGAGAGAATGAATCAAGGGAACAGAGCTGGTCAGCTGTTGTGTATACTGTATAGATTCAAGGGGAGACATTGTAAATACGTGTACCGGAATATGCATGTTGGTTGCTGCTATTCAGAAGCTTGAGAATTGGAAGCTGTGCGGACGTGATGGACACCGTATACGTTCCTAAGCTGAACTTGTTGGTTAGATGATCGGTTAGAGAATGGGTGTGTTGCTTCAGAGTTTCTGTGTGGCAACGGTTAGAAAGTGCAAAATGAGGGTTCTGAATAGGTCATGCTTGACTTGGTTGATCTATTCCCGGGATGACCGTGGGTGTATATGAAGTTTTATAGGCGATATGTTTTGCTATACCGAGTGCTATATACTGCATTGACTGACAGATTCATACATACACAGGTACACCACATATATAACCCAGTATCGTGCTTCCGTCGAGCCATTCATCCATGTAGTTTATCTTTCATCGCCTTCACTTCCCAGTTCTTCTTCCACTCGAGATTCATCTGCTTCCGACCCTCCCCTTCTATCTCTCACTTCTCTCTCCCTCTCTCTACCTAACTCATATAACTAAAAGACCAAAAAGCAAAAACTAAAAAAGTCCGCAGGCGGGGGTATCGTTGAGATATAATATATGCAATCATTCCAAAATGTAGAACCGGGCTTGTTTTTTTTTTTCCCATGCCAAAGTTTTTTCGTTCCAAACACATGTCTTGTAAACCGTTTTTTTCGTCATCGCCTGTTCCCGTTGCGCCCGCCGCCCGGGGAGTAAAACACATCCCCTATTTTCAAAATGATACTTACTCGGTGTGAGCTTTTTGTTGAAAAAGACACCGAGTTTAACGCGACTGCAATAATAAACGCCGCGTTTAAGAGTGCGCCGAAATGATGATCAAAAGCCGAAATGCAGAAAAAAAGATGGAAGAAGAAGAAGGTCTGTGAAGTGTCGGATTAAGCTGTGCCAGAGGTGGTGCCAGAGGCGGGAACGGCGAGGTCCTTGACTTCGAGGCCTTCGAGCAAGGCGAAAATGGTGTTGTTCTCGCGGAAGTCATTGTTCACTGTATCTCATAGTTAGTCAACTGAAGCATGATGGAGAGGTACAGAGGGTGAGTGAGAAGAAAACATACCAATGTTGACGAGGTACCAGTTGTTCATAATGTCCTCGATAAGAGCACGGCTGGGGGTACCGGCGTCGAAACAATGAGCCCAGTCGACACCCAGGCGGAAAGCCTCGTCTCTCCAGGCCAAGAAGCTGACAGACTCAACGATAGTGGGCTGGACAATCTCCTTGCCGGGGAAGACACCCCAGGTGACGGCGTTGGGCCCGTCCGAAGGTGCATTGGATTTGAGCTCGCCGTTCTTGGTTACGGCGTAGTAGGTCAGGTTGGGGAAGTCGTCGAGGCGGCTGATCATCTCGTCCAGCAGGTAGGGCGGCATGAGCAGCTCGAGGTACGCCTTCTGGTAGACGTAGCCGTTGGAGGGGCCCCAGCCGTGGACGGGGTGGTTGGACTTGGCGCCGTCGACGGCGGGCTGCGAGTTGATGGTGAGGAGGCCGCGCTTGTTGAGGGCGACGAGGTCGTCCTTGATGGGGTCGGCTTCGGCGGCGAGAGCGGACTCGCTCCACGGGAGGGTCTCGATCTTCTTCTCGAGGTACTGGACAAAGGTGGTGGCAATGTCCTGGACGGACTGGGGCTCGCCCCATTTCTTGCGGTTCGACTCGTTGGTGCCGGTTAAGCCAATACCATAGGCATCGAGCTCTCCGAAAGCGGGAGATCGAGAGTCACCCCATCGACCGTTGGGGAACTCGTCCCAGTCCTGGGTGCGGATGACGTACGACTTGTTGCGGTTGCGCCAGAAAATGGGACGCACGTCCTCGTCGCGGCGGCCAAAGCCCTTGGACTGCTTCCAGGGGAGGGCCTGCTTGAGTGGACGCTCCGGCGAAGGGGTCCAGTTGAGCTCGTCGAGGACCATGCGGGTGGCCTGGGCGAGGTTCATGGTGTAGAAGTGAAGATGGTGAATGCCGTTGGCGAGGAGCTTCCGGCACAGGTCGGCCACCAGCGTCTTGCCAATCTCACGCACGGCCACGTCGTCGTTCTTGACGGGCTCGAGCTTGGCCATCCAGTCGGGAGGGATCCTGCACTGCATGTGCTTGGCACGACGGAGGAAACTGGCATACGTGGCAATGGGCATAATCCCGGGCAGGATGGGAACGGTGATGCCTCGTTCGCGGACCTTGCCGACCCAGCGGATGTTGTCGGCGTCGTAGAACATCTGCGTGACGATGAAGCCGGCGCCCATGTCCACCTTCTCCTTGAGGTGGTCGAGCAGCTGATCCTCGTCCTTGTTGTCGTCGCAGCCCTCGGGATAGCCAGCAACGCCAATGTCAAAGTGGTCGCCGTATGTGTCGCGAATGTGCTTGACGAGATCGCGAGCGTACTGGAACTTGCCGTCTGCGGCCTTCCACGAGGTCTGGTCACGGGGAGGATCGCCGCGGAGGGCAAGGATGTTGGTGCAGCCTGCCTTGTACGCCTTCTGCAGGGCGTCGTTGACCTTTTCGAGGCCCATGTCGGTGCAGGTGAGGTGCATGCAGGTCTCGAGGCCATAGACGGCCTGGGCCTGGACGACCATCTCGCACGTCAGCTCTGCGATTCCACCGCCGGCTCCCCATGTGATGTCGATGAACTTGGGACCAAAGTTGTTCATGCGGTCCATGCGGTCGTAGAGGTTCTGGACACCCTGGGCGGTCTTGGGCGGGAAGTACTCGAAGGAGAAGGACGGAGCCCCGGATTTCTCCGTGTCGGCGACGAGGCTTCTGATGTGCATGATGGGCCACGGATGACGGGCAGATGGGGCAGATGCAAAAGAGTCAACTTAATTGCTCATGCGCCAGCGATGCCTTCTGTTCTCGGAGGGTGAAGGTGTCAGCAGGAGAAGAGAAGAGTCGGGAGATTGGAACGGCTGGAGACGACGGGATCAACCCACCACAAACACAAGAGGACGAGGGAATCAGAAACGGATTCGCCCAGCCTGAAGCAGAAGAAAACAAAGAAATCAAGTTGCCAGAGTCGTCGCAATTCTCCTCGCAGGGCCAGGCTAATGGATCGACCAACGCCTCCGACAGTCCGCCGAGTTGCGGGTCGCAAGTCTGTCGAGGATCGAGCCGCTCACAAGAGGGCAATCGGAGCAAGAAGAAGAAGATGCAAAGGAGGAGGGAAAACACAGGACAAGAGAGGTGAAAGTGCTATACTGAGGGAGAATCCAGCAGAGAGGAGAGATTACGGTGTGAAAGGAGGAGGAGGGGGAAGAGCAGAGAAGAGCACGATGGTCGAGTAAAAAGAGCCGTCAGAAACAAAAATATGGCCGAAATTTGGATGCGGAACAATGAGAATGACAGATGCGACTCTCCGAAAGATGGCGGCGCTGTGATTGGCCAGCCCTTGGTCACCGCCCGCCCGATTGGGGATGGCCGGGGGATGGGTACTTGCAGGGTACGAGGCGCTAGGACGGACTTGAGGTACCTTTAGGTTAGTACAGCAGGGACTGCATGTAAGTGCCTCACGCTGGCATGTGCTTGGAAACGGAAGAAAAGGCCGCGTGTTGTTGTGCAGTTTCGAGAAGGGTCTGCAGTGTGTAACTTTGAGTGCATTGCCGAATTATCTGTTGCTGATGGCAAGGGTGGCGGACGCAGGCCTGTTGCGCATGTATGTAAGAGTGCTAACGTCGGGATACCTGCAGGATGCGAGCATTGCTGGTACACCCACTCGTACCTGGTACCCCTCCATGCCGCGAAACGTGGGATTAGTAGTACTTGTACGACCTCCACGAAGTTCCAAGGTTCCAAGTTTCGAGTACAAAACACAAGGGGTAGCCATTGTCGCACTCGGAACAACTGCATGTGTCTTGATACAAAACCAACTTGAAGCAGCATTCAATCATGCCGTGTAAAAGCACTATTATTCCCAAGAGACATTCTTTTCAAGGATTCGCAGGTAAGAATTCTGCTGACCATCCATGACGCTGCTGAGGCGACGGAAAGACGCAGCCTGGGCTGTTTCTTCGGAGTATTCCGTACTCCGGACATGCATGGGGACCAACTCCGAGTCCCACGATGGATGGATTACCAGATTGCATTATGTATTGCGTCCGGTACGGATTAGAGATACAGAAGCAGACTGCCAGCGTTCTCTCTATATCAATGAATCATTCTTTCAAAGCAAGAAACGAGCTCCAGTTCCTCACCACTCTACTCCGTATCCTCACGCACAAGTACCTATGGTGAATGAATGGCTTGTGATTCCCCCGAATTTGTTGAGCGGCCCCTCCCCCGCCCTCGCACCTAAAAATCGCATGTGGGAGGTACCTGGTACTTTTGCTGTACATGTACCACCAACTCCGTCTGACAGGATCATGGATTTTACCCGCTCTTGTTTCCCATCCTTTGGCTCCGTGCTCGTACAGGAATCACACCGTGCTTTGCAAATACTGTCAGTTGTCCTGTGACTTCAAAGTGCTGAGATAGACTTTGTATTTGGGTTATCAATCAGTTGTTACCTAGAGTTGGATCCATATAAGATAATCCCAATGGTTCAATTGGCAGTCGAGTTCTCAGAACAGGAGCTGGATGGAGCTTGTCGTATTCGGGACGGGCTCTCCACTGACGGGAGGATCAAGCCAAAACAGGTTATAGGTACTCCCGTGTACAGTGCGTCAAACAACCGTCAATAAGCAGCATCTCAACTAAGGCTGCAATTACCCAGCCCGTGGGTCCCATAGGCGGCCCAATGGGCTTATCCAGCCCATTAGGTAAGCCCCAAAATAAGTGGGTTTGCCAAGAACCGCCCATTCTTATCTTATCATACCTAAAAGCGTGGGCAGGAGCTGCCCAAATGCCAAGAGATACCTTTAAGTATGCTATTAAAAATCTACTAAATAATAACTTTTATTATAAAAAAAGGTAAAAAAAAATAAAAAAAAATATAATTAATATTATTATATCTTAATATATATAAAAATATTTTTTATTTTTTTTATATATTTTATTTAGCTTTTTTTTTAATTAATATAGATTTTAGGTAGAATGTAGGGTAATTAGGCTGGTGGTTATCGCACCTTATCACAAAGCCGCCCAATTTGGGCCAATTTAGGCTCGGGTAATCCGTGGGCTGCCAAGCCGCCCAAAACCTACCCATGGGCTAAATTTTTGGGCTAGCCCATGATTACCCATGGGTTATTGCAACCTTAATCTCAACATCTGATCTCAACCTCGCCTCTTCTATCCGTCCCCATGCAGAATTGCCGACAGCCAGACTGTAACATCTGCTGCGCCTCGGAGCATCGGATAGGCTACATCTAGTACTAAGCCAGATTTGCGACATGATAAAATACACGGAGTACGCGTACGTACTACTGGGTCATCGTCACATATATACCTATGTATGGCAAATATACACTTCATCAGATCGTAAGGTAAGGTATGCAACGCTCCTTGTAGGCGCATGTAAGCCAAGTCATCCGCCATGCAACTCCGAAATCCACCGACAAAATTCACCGAACGGGCCACGTCTCTCTGAGCCTGCTTTCGGAACGGAACCTCGCCGGGAGGGCGGCTGCGTAAATGCATGTCTCTCAGCCGCTGTTTGGACCTCCTGCGTCGAGCAACTGGAGTTTTAGCTCATACAAGCACGTTTGTTGTCCACCAATCGTGATAGTTGATGCAGGCACCCGCTCATTCTGGGTCTCATCTCTAGTAGTATGTAGTATATTGATGTCTAACAGCCATGTCTCAGACAAAGCGTACTATTCAGATAACATCAGCTAAAGTTGGTTTGTAAGACACACATCGGCCGGGAGATCGCATCGTAACCTTCACATCCAAGTCCTCCCTTTCACCAAGCAAGATGGAACCTGAAGCTCTTCCTCGGCATCGATAGTTCATCATCTGAATGATATGTAGGCTAACGCTATGAGCACGGCTGCGAGCTGTCAATAGCACACACAGCGCCCTTCCTAACTTGACGCCCCCCTCAACACCAGCGGCGGTGCTCCCCTCAGTCGTCGCCAGCGGTTGCTATTCTCAATCACATCCCGATCAAAGATAAACCACCACCGCTCAAACAGCACCTGTCCCACCTCCCAGCAGCTCGCATCGTACGGATCGCCCCCATACACCCTCACGCCCTCCGAGTTGTCCTCAAAGTCATACGCAAAGTTGACCAACGCCAGCGGTCCCGCCGCATGAGGCGGCCTCATCCCCTCGGGCATTGAAAAGATGCTAATCACCCTATCGCGGACCTGCGGCCACGGCAGGAAATCCAGCAGCGGGTGATGCGGCACGAGGAGCTGCGAGGTCGTGGGCTTCCATGCGGGGGGCAGCTGCTCGGTGGGCGTCGCGGTGCCCTGCGTGAAGGGGGAGACGGCGTCTAGGCTCCATATCTGCTGGGGGCAGCCGATGCGCTCTGCGATCCGCGTGATGGCCCGCAGGAGGGTCAGCTCGTGGACGGGGAGGAGGTAGCTGTCGGCGAAGCTGCCGTCGGAGGACGAGGGTGACGTGCTGCTGTTGTTGTTGTCCCACGGCGGTGACGGGCCGAGGTTTGCGGGTAGCAACTCTGTTAGGTGTTGTTCGCCTAGGCTTGTTGCGTTATTGAAGAGGAAGCCTTCGTCTGCTGAACTTTCGTCTGTAACCGCTGCGGAGGCAAAGTTCGACGCGTGTAAGGCATCTTGAAACGACAACGGCAACGGCATCGAAGTGTTGCTGCTGCTGCCAAACATGCAGGCCATCCATCCCGCTGAGCCTGGAGTATCCGTCTCGATCAGACTGCCAGAGGGGAGACACTGATCTGATGCGGGGATAACCTCGGCGTCGTGTTCTCCATCATTGCTGCCTCTTGATGACTCGACTGCGTCGTTGTCGTTGTTATCCTGGGGCTCTTCTTTGTTTCTCTCTTTCTGCCGTCGTAGCCGCTTCTTCTCTCCTACACTTCACGTGTAAGTCCACGTTAAGACAGAAATAACTGTGACAAATCATCTATTGCCGGACAAAGGTAGCACTGACTGTATCTGCGCTGTGCTAGCACATTGAGAATCCGTTTCCTCTCTGATGCATTTTCTTCGATGTCCGGTACCTCGAGGACTGGCGCGGGCTTGTAAGTTCTCTGTCGTGAGCGTGGCTTGTTCCCACTGCTGTCATCTGCTTGTGGTGAGATATTTGCGCTCATCGTATTCCTTTCGGCCCGCCAATCGAAGTTTCTTTCTCGTCGTCAGTATTCGGTTCGATATAGACCAAAGAATAGCTCCGCGCAAATTGAGTCGACTTGCAATGTCCACGTCTTTGAGACCCTTGCCTGGGGTGGTCGGCTATTTCTCTAACTTCGTAGCTATGTATAAGAAGCAGAGCATAACGCTTGAGGATTTAGAATGGCGCACTGTGACGTGGCGGCATAACGGATATGGTTTACTTCTTGGCCCATAGCAAGCTAATGCATACTAAAGTATTTCCCATCTCCCAAGCAGCTGAAACAGTTGGGCAACAGCCAGCCGTACGGAGCATCCCTTCCCTCGAGGCTGGTTGGCTGGGTACATGTATGCTTATTGGGCAAGGTCTAAGCAATGCAAGATCAACATGGTTTTGATACTGGTCAATTCTTGTCCAAGATATCCTTACATTTGCATTCCACGACGAAACCCCCTCATGAAGGCATCTCTCGACGTTGGTTGTCGCTTGGGCTCCGAGTTCGTGCATTGCGGTTGAGATGTCTAGCTCTGTAAGCCGGGCGAATTTCAGTCCGATCAATAAATATGCATGGTATAGTCACTTTTCGGTTATCGCTGGATATCAAGGAGCGAAATAACGAGACTTGCCTTTTAAGAAAAAGTTTCCTCTAATGAGGTACATAGTCCGGGGAGAACCAAAACCTCGAGAGTGTCGTCTTTGTTCAGTTCCCTTTTGTAAACGCAGGGCTCCGATATCTGCTCAACTGGATCCACGCAAACGAGGTCTACATGTAAATAGCATAGGTATTAGGCTTGCTTGCATCCCCAGTTCCATGGTCAATACCGTACTTCACCCTTCAATCTCTGAATGACTATGTAACATGTCTTCCATCTTTGGACAAGGCTGTTCTTCCGGAATAGGCTGTTTGTTCCCTATACCGCGATATCACAAAATGTTCCGACTTCATACGACTCAGGCGACTATAAAGACTGGCGTGCCCGGGCCTGGATATCTGACAGCGGGAGCACATTGGTCAAGGCCATGCGTTGCATCGTAACACTATGGCGATGTAACATAAGAGCGAAATCTGAATGATGCTTTCCTATTCATCCGTGTTTTAGCTTCGCGCGAGTCGACGTCCCCCTCTCCTGAGGGCAGCTTGAACTCATCTATCACACAATATCAGAGACCTCGGCAGAGATTTGACTCATCATGAATGGGAACAGTGTGCCGACCTCCGTTGTCTAAAAGTACTTCGTCGTCATCGTCGTTTGACTGACACAAGATGGCCGCGAGCTTGGATTTCAATCTTGCCCAGTTTTAGCTGGTCAAGGCCCGTCATCAACTCATCCTTCACCAGGCATACATATCTCTAGCAGTAGACAGAGAATGCTTACCACGGACACCTCTTGGAGCACCCTCCCGAGTTAAACCATCATCGCCCATTCCCAATCGGCAGTGATGCCGATGTACTCTCAGTCAATAAGAGCCTATCTTAGCTATAAGAGACTCGAATGCTACCCGAATCTTGCTCTCGCCCCTTTCCTCTTTGTGAGCGCGCCGGTGGTGCTGCTGCCTTAATCCTGCATGGAGAAGCACCAACACCTCCAATGCCTTTGACCCACTACGGCTTCGGTATTTGCCAACCCTTGTGTTCTTCACGATTCTGAGAACAACCTTGTATGTAGGTGATTTCACCTGGGTAATAAGATCACGTCATAGTAAGACATATCCATCACTCTTGGCTATAGCAATCTAGATCGTTAGGATTCTCAGCCAACCAAATAGCCAGTCTTGCCCTACTCCCTTCGTATTCTTGGCAGTCGTACCGTCCGTCTTACCCAACGATCCGAAGCCAGGTAGCGCCATGTCATCATCCCGCCGCCTGCCCATGCCACTATAGCTTGTAGGGAGCAGGTAGGAACCAAGCAAAACAGAGGGCTCCCGCGCGGTAGGTGGATACCGTTGGTGAGCGTAGAGCAGCTGTTGTTCCTTCTTGCTTGTGATGGGGGAGGCTGGCGGATCTGCGTCGGCGGCGATGCTGGCACTGAGAGCAGAGAGCCGGGCTGAGGAGTGCTCGGCAGTGACTGGCATCTCCAAAGATACTTTATTGTTAAGAACGGGGCATCTACGTAACCTAAGACAAGGCGGCTGTGTCATTGTTTGGCAGTTGAGGCTGCCAGAAGGATGTGTGCTGGTTCCCAGGGCCCAGTTGGAGATCCTAACCGTTCGTCTTGCAATTGTAGCACGTGAGCGCAATCAGAGAAGGGTAGACGACTGTGAGGTGGACCGGATTGCCCTCTAGAGTGCTGCGGGCTTGGAAAAACTGTTGGGGGATTGCTCCAAGCAACAGCTCAACGTCTACGTGAAAGTAGAAACCCTCAAGTGTCGATACGGATTACGAACGATCGACGTCGTAGTAACTTCAAATCACATACGCTGGACGAATCAAAGAAAGACGGACAAAAGCCATGTGTGGATAGACGGAGCAGTGATTGTAGGTAGCTTAGACTTTCTTACCTTCCCGATAACAGTGTGGCAGGTCCAGCCTCAGTCTTGAGATACCTGATACTTGGCGCTCCTCCAGCGGTGCCTTCTACCATTGCTGCTTTCTCCACTCTCCCCGAAAGAGTAGCACACTATGTTCGAGATCCTGATGGGCATGACTGCATCTTATGGTGTTGTTGGTGGCGTTGGGTATGCACAGCTAGGGCATTGTGAAATAGAAGTGACCGCATTGGTGGTTGTGGCCGCGCAAATTGGGTTGTGCCAAAAGCTCTGACTGACACTATGGCCGCAGCCGTAGGTCGTGATAGTTATCGAACACATCTCTGTCTCGGTACTCAGCTCGGATGTCTGTACATGGCACGACTCGCGAATCGAGATACACCTACTCGTCGAAGTAACTTCACTGGGATAATGAGCGGCAGAGGTCGAGCTTATAGAGCAAGTAAAGGATATCCAGGAGGATAACAAAACAAGATAGAGCAATGATACCGTACTACGTATGTATATGAGTAACGCCTCGTTTGAGCGGGGTCAATTGGCCAGAAGAGAACATGAAGCAACGCTGATCCCGTGATGCTCTGTTATCAGCGCGCTGGTTTCGTGATATATGGTTGGCACCCATAGGTTACCCAAGTGTGACGATCAATCATCGTGAAGTGAAGGCCGTGCCGTGTGACAGCCTCTGTCCATGGTGCCTTAATTCTTACCCCTCATCTGTGGCATCGATGCGGCTACCTTTGGCGACGAGGAGGCCGTGCCAGGCAAAGCTGTCCGGGAGCATACATTGATACTTTACAGCCTGAACGAGTAACCGTCCCAGCCTTGAGCAGGTGAAAGGACCGCTATTGAGAAGCCATTCATCAACAACTGCGAGACCTCGCACATGACAGTCAAAACGTTGGCCATGGAGAGCAGAGATATCAAAGGTAGCACCACGACGCACCGGACGTTGAGGTGGAGCAAAGAGGTGCCTTGGCGCAATGGGTAGGTAGGATCCCACACAGATAAGAGTGTTTGAATTCCTGTATTTCGTGCTTCTCGTCCAGAACCCTTGTCAAGAATGCAGATATAGCTAGACAGCCCGTCGAATATACCCGCCGTACCTGGCCTTGAATCCTACCCAGCACTGCTATGGTCCTTAGCCTTTCTCCTTGTCTGTTTGTACCGACTGCGTAGCATCTTCGTTTCTGGATTTGTCCAACATGTGAAACTGCTCCAGCGCTGTCTTTGATTTAGTATTCGCCAAGTGGTAGACGTTCGACTTTGGACTTGTCACTCACAGTTCCTTACAAAGTGGGCCAATGTAGGGCGCGCTTCCTGCCAATGACCCTGCCACTCAGCACCCTTGATCTTCTGCACAAAATCGACCTCGAGGATTCCGGCTGTTGCGTCGTCCCCTGTGGCTGCTGTACGGGTGAAGAGCAGGAAATCCTTGTGATGAAGCTTCATGGCCGATTGCAGATATAAACCGGCCGACTCGGAAAGCAGAGCCCTCGAAACCGCCTCCCCGATGACAGACCAGGTAGAGAACCGAGACTCCTCAGAGTGTAAGCGCCCTAGACCATCCATGATGTGCTCCTGTTTGCGTGAGGAGAGAGACACCACAGCATGTTTCCAGCTCCCGGGGTTGGGTGGCAGGACATCCGAGAGAATCAGGGAGACAGAGTGGCTGGTGGCGGGAGAGGAAGCAGCGGGGGTTTGCAGCTTCTCGTGAGACATGCTCTTCAGCTCTATGGCAGAGTAGTGCAGAGGAAAAGAACAAGTTTGCTGGGTGTTGGCGAAGCTGAGAGAACCGCAAATGTACTGATTTGTCGGAGGCAGTGAATACATGTGCTGGAATGACTTGACGTGGAGTGCGGGGCGGAGCCCGGGAGCTTAGTGGCTATAGTAATATAGTACTCGTACCTTGGAGATCGTGTAAGTCGGAAGATTGGTTTGTATTTCTGTTTTCGGGGGCCAACCCGTCAAGATCTCGACGAAATGAATGATGCAGGAGTCATGTTCTCGTGACTATTTTGTGATTCCGAGAGCTCTTGGCAATCGAGAGTTCAGTGGGACCCGAGGCGGTATTTTGTAGCGTCCGTGCTTGCGAGAAGTGTCTTTGTTCCACGGGTGTTGTGTATCGATGATCTCCTCGCGCTTCCCGCATTCACCGCCTGTGAGGGTGTTGTCGCCATGTTCTTTCGCCAAGTCTCCTGCATTCCTTAAGGACGGCCGGCGCCCCGAACTAAGCCTTTGGGGCTGCGGCGTCAACGCATGGTCATCCAGTTGGGTCATGCGATACTCCGGCCGCCCTCCGGGTGTCGCCGGCGCAGTAACGGGGTCAGTCCCGGCGTGTTACGTCGGGCTGAACGTGCGGGTGTTGCCGTCGTGGACTGGCTCCACCTCGTCGTAATTCAACTTCCAGAACGGAGTTGTTTACCACCGGTATATCCTTGTGTCTTGAGGGGAGAAGCATCGGACAGCTCAGGCCGTCCTCTCGAAATCCCCTTGTCAAGCTCGTCGATGTAAGCCCTGTCAAAGAGGTCAGGTCGGGGCTTGGCGGCGTCCTCTATCGTGATGGGTAGGAACTCTGGCCATAACGTCAATCTCAGACTCTACATCTTGATTGGCTCCCCGGAAAAAAATTGAATTGTCCGTCTGAGAATCATCCGCTTTACGGCACGCGGCACGTCTCGACATGCGAGCATCAAAAATCACAACGGGCAGGGTAGGCCACCGATCGATGCTGTTCTTTGTTGCCTTGACCAATGCGATGCAGAACCAGTCTTGGAGGGATGCTCTCGCGTCTCAACCGACATCCGATGCTTACAATATTCCGGACACACTGGATCTTCAACTGATGTGCCCCTTATACTTTCAAAGAGAAGCCTATAAGAAAGACGGTATAGCGCGAGGATAATTGTAACCATGTTGCTAAGGTCATACCTCTTTCTATTTCGTTAATCATCAAGTGTTTCATATAGCAGCTCATTCAAGGGATCCAAAAGTCCCCTAGTAGACCTTCAATAGTTGTGTGTAATAAGATAGTTAGGTGGGTAGGTTGTGGCTTGAGCCGAGTTGGATTATGACATGCCAAATCTGGTAGATACACAGAAGCCACCTGCATAATACGAGAACTCAAATATCTCTCTCTGGGGCTTGTTGGAAGTTCCCTAGCCTCCTTTTGGAAGCTTGTCGTGACGTTGATTGGGTCACGAGCTCACTTGTTTCCGATTATGGCTGGATATCTGCAATGACGCTGAACTGTCTGAGAGTATAATTAGAAACTGAGATCCAGTAGCGTCTCTTACACGCGGATATCAAACAAGGCTACATGTACCCGACCAGCTTACATCCATACTACTAAGGTTGAGTTACGCTCAGAGCTGTATGAAACGGCGAGTTGTGCGTCTTGGAATTTCAGATTTCGCAGAGATCCTACTTTTCAATCAAACGTGGTGGAGCATATCTTGAAAATGAAGACGTCAAAGCCATGTGTATTTGTTTTGCAGACAAGAGTCAATATCGAACTGATCACGTCCGAAATATTAACATATAATTAGCGATTTAACACGCGTGTAGGACTTTGGAAATTTGATGGCCCGAATTGCTTTCACTTGAACAATCTTACGCATAGAGTTGGCCGTTCATGTGATTAAGCACAATTAGAGACTCTGCACTTGAGGAAGTGTCATGTTAAGCGATGAAGTGGCTTATCTGAGATCATCAATCACAGCGTATATACATTTCTATCTACTTTTGCCTATTTTACGGGTATTGTTCCTCTTCCAGTTATAGCTGACAGGGAACAGATCAAGAATAAATTGAAGCTGTCCAACAAAGCCAATATCCGCAGCAACGCTTACACGCTATCAGGCCATCTATGCAAAGCCGGCGCTGACCACGAAGCTCACATCATCGTTAAACAAAGTCGTCGTGTCAAAGTCATGCTCTCCGCCATTCGCCGCGATGTAGCCCAGCGAGTTAAAGTGACGCCAGTAACGGGTGGGATAGCTCCAAGACCGGAACGAGTTGCCTTGGCCGTTGAGACCGGCCTGCGGACAGAACGTGGCGTCCTCGGAGAAAATCTTGCTCCCGTCGTTGGCGTTGACCATGAGCTGGTAGTTGGAGTGCCGGATGAAGCTTCCGGGGCTGTCATTCGATTCAAACGAGAAACAAGCGCTGTTTCCGAGACCTGTGCGGACCGTCCAGCTGGCTTGCTGCTTCAGAGCGGTGCTGCTCGACGACGAAACCACCTGAGTGTTGACGGTGGCGCCGGTGTGTGCGATGTAGCGGTTTGTGCAGCACGAGGTCGTGGCCCGTAGTGAGATAGACGAGCCGGTGGTGAGAGCCGGGCCGCTGGTCATCAGCGAAGTGTCGTAGACGTATTTGGCGGCGACAATGTTGGCCTGGACCGCGTTCTCCGTGCTGTCGGACGGATAGCCCGAAGTCATGACGCCCTCGTAAAAGGTGCCCTGGGCACGGTTGCTGTTGTCGCCACCGATGCCCAGAATGATGGCACCTTCTTTGCTCATGGGGTTGTAGCCGTTTGCTGGGCGCTGGCCGCTGTAGAACGTCGACAGGGTACCAGAAGTAGCATCACCGCCGCGAATGGCCCACTGGTTCGGCTCTCCCTTGACGACGGCCGTGACGAACCGGAAGGAGATTGTTGGGTCAGCAGGGTTGTTGATGGGGCTGAATCCCGAAAAGAGCCCATTCTCGAGGTCGGCCATGATCCAGGGGCCGCTGCCAGCGCCGGTCCCGCGCCCGGAGCCGTCGCCGGTGCCAAAGTAGATGGCCTCCATGTGGCCGTTGCCGGTGTCCATGCTGTTGGTCTCGGCATTTCCGTAGTCGAAGCAGCAGGCAGTGTTGTAGTGCGTCCCGTCAAAGATTGCGTACAGGCCCTGCGGCTGGTCGCCCGTGGCAGTGCCGTTCGCGTTGTTGTTGCGGTATCCGGTATAGGGGGCGATGAAGACGCCGTACGCCTTCTGGCCGTTCAGCCGGACGGGGGCTCCCACCGCGGCGGCGAGATTGTCCAAGCCTCCGGGCAGAGGACCGCTTGCAGCGCCGCCGGGAGGAGCCTGGGTGAGGTGGTTGCCACGGCCGGACTGGTCATAGATGATGGAGATGAGACAGGTCGTGCCGGCGCAGAACGAGTCTTGGGCAGCGGCATTGGCAACGCCGCCGGCGGACAGCGGTCCAATGTTGGTCGTGGCACCATCAGAGCCTCGTGATACTTGATACAGAGGGCCTGAATAGGCTCCGTACAAGGCGCGGGTGGTGCTGTGAGCAGCGACACAGGGGGTGCCGCCAGATGCATAGATGTCGCAAGGTCCAGCTGCAGCCAAGGGGCTCGCGGCAACGAGACCCAAGGCGAGGAGGCCAGAACGCCGACGGTCTATTCTTCGAGAGAACATGGCTGAACTGTATAGTCGTTGAATTAAGGAGACTATGAGATGGGTGGCGACTGGATTGGCAAGATACCTCAGCAAAAGAGCGCTCTCGTCGGGCTTTTAAGCTCCTTGAAGTCTATCGTGTCTACCCATGTAAGTCCTTCGCCCAACACCATGCAACGTCTCTTTTCGTAAACAACAACAACATCTATCACGAAAGAGGCAGGAGATTGTCGAGGAGTCGCGGGTAAAGCACTGCATAGTCTGCGAATACTACCTTTGTGGCTGCTTATTCTCAAGTGAGATCTGAGCTGACCTGTCATGTAGACTTCAGTAGTCCCAGATAAACTCTGGAATGGGCGAGTTAGCTCCGTTCATGTTGTAACCCTGTGCCTTGTTTTGCTTGCTCTTTGGCATTTCAAAAGAATGGCCCCATGACGGGCTTGACGTGAGGTTGTTGCCAGCACGGATCGAATACTGACCAGCAACTCCGCGCCAAGTTGTGCCTCTTCCGATGGACCAAGGATCTGCATTAGATGAGAGATGCACTAGCTGAAGTAAACTATGTTGTCATCTCTCCAATGAAAGCTTGATATTGCCTTTCAGGAGATATGAGACGTAATCAGGAGACAATGGCAGGACCGTCCATGTGATGTTGAAGCCCTAGTCCAGTATTGTGTCTCGAGTGACACAGACAACTCCAGTTTCCTCATCCCCCTTCACGGGCTTCTGCTTCAACTGCCGATCCTATCGGAGAGTAGTATAGCATCACAATTGATTTACCCCAGTTCCGGCGACTAATACACGATGTTAGTTCTGCGGGACGCTTTTCAACAGGATGCCGCATGAATAGTCACCAAGCTAGCAGGGGAGAGATTCGCCGAGACGGCACATATAACAAGCGCATACAGAGTATACCAAGCATATACATTGAATCTATATTACAAGTCGGTGTCGCGTCATGTGTATAGTTACGCGTCTGTGTGTGTTCGACGTCCTCCGAGTCTCGGTTCTTCTCTGCTTCGCCTCGCCAGGCCACCCGAGTCGTTCCTCTTGGCTTCGCTCGATTTGGCCCGTGCGGGAATTTCTCCCCAGGCGTGCCAATAGCAGTCGACGTTTAGATTGTTTGCCTGGAGGAGGATCATGCTGCATGCAGGTATCCACTGCCATCGTGGGGAAAAGAATCGCCTTGTTGGCATCGGGGATTAACAGCCGGTCCTGAGCATCACATGCTCGACAAGTCACGGCACCGCGCTTCCAGACTACTACTGTGTTACTACCCCAGGTCGAACGAACTGCGTCCGGGGTTGCAGGGCTCCTTGGATCTGCAAGCGTCGCTTCTGGATTTGCGTGCTTAACTCCGGGGTTGGGCGTTCCAAGAAGCACAATGCCGATCACAGCGTTTACTGCACTCCCAACTCCGTACATACATACATCAAGGTTCTTCCCCGGATCGACAGATTTCCCTCGTGACGTGGGTTCTGGGCGTATTCGGGCCAGAGCGGCTCATGGGAGAAGCAAGGATAGCTCTAGAGTTGCATTCCTGTGGGGAAATCCTTCCGAAGCCGAAGCGAGGGGGATGTCGTTGTGACACTGACGCCTTTTGCCTTTCTGCCCATTTCATGCAAAGGATACTACGGTGTATAGCAGTGTGGTGATTGGATCTAGGCTCGAGGGTGCGAGTGACGGGATGCCCTGGCTGCGACTCACCAACTGGGGAGATCTCGTGCCCCCCGGAGATGGAACACGTGCTGACTCTCGATATAACACATGATGATGGACATGCTGGTGACGTGAGCCGATATTCCGCTACAAAACAAGATATACAACCATTAGTTTCCATCGTCTACATAGGATAAACCAGCCGTCTAACGAGACAAGGACGGCTCATAGCAAAGCTTTCGGTTCAAGTCCGAGATGGTTCGCTAATAAAGCGGCGACCAAAAGACGGCATTACCAGTTGAGAAAGAGGCCCACTAATCCCTTGCCTGTTTAGGGAGGTGCGAAGTTTGGCAGTCTTTGTTGCCAATATAGTCTGCTTCTCCTCGAACCGAAGACATATCGTCACTATATTGTCTATCCATATCATGAGACTAATGTAATGTTACACCGCTTAAGGAACGGCTTTCGGAGCATGCGTACCTCGTCTCGTTTGTATTTCACACGGGAGTTGACCCAGAAAGAGGCATTTATTGGAAAGGTAGTACATAGACTATCAAGTTGGCGAAGATGAAGGAGCGGGAGCGAGAACTAGAACTGTCGAAGAAACCGGCTATTCTTTGAAGGAGCTCCTGGATCTGCCAGGGACTGCTCATCAGGAACGCGTAAGCCAAGCTGCTTAGCTATACGGTGAGTCAGGAGCTTGACTTGTCCTAAGCCATTCGACAGGTCCTTAAAGGAGTTGGCGGCTAATGAGTCTTTGCATGCCATTAGGACTGAATAATAGCTTGATTGGTAAAGCGTAGCATGGGTGCAGGGGGCTGGCGCAGGATTTGATCCATAGGTGGCGGTTCTGAAGACTTCGGGTTGTACGATCATTGTAGTCTGATGGGATCTCCCGTCTTGCTGTCTAGTAACTCGTACATCTCATGCAAAGAGGTAAGTATGTCAGTAGAGAGCGGCGCTTTGCGCTGTCGTCGAGATCCGTCCCCTGTTGACGGTGTAAGGATTCATGAGTATATGGGAAGTTGAAAAGCCTCCTACCAGTGCGTCATCTCTTCTATATGCGTGCATATTAGGACCAGAATAGTCGAATTGTGTCTCGTGTATCTGAGATGGCAGGAGAGAGCGTTTTCGCAATAAAAACTTATCAGTGGAAGAGAAACAGGAGAACTCGTCGAGTAAGCGATTTCTCTTTAGGCAAATAGTCAGAGAAGGTTGGTGGCTATTTGTGGAAGCGGAACGATGCGTCACTCATCCCTGAAGGATTGCTAATATAATAGAGGTTCAGCCTCCCCAACACTATATCTAGAACACTTAAGATCTTTACACATGACGAATACACATGTGCAAACACATCTCTTCCCTCTACATTCAATATTATCCTACAGCCCAACTTGGCTATCCATCATCCCAGCAAATTAGTATGTCTATTACTGCTACTGCGATAACCGGACATGAGATCCTAATCTGCTACTGTCCCTAAGGCTATGAAATAAGTATATGAAGAATGTAAGCCGTGCTTTGGCTCACTATGTAAGATTTCGGAATGCTGGATAGACGAGTTGGGGTGTTGGAGGGCCGGTTCTCAATATAGGTGTGAGGCTGAAATATCCATAATCCATTTACGTATATTGCATTTTCACTTCCTACACAAGTTCTATCAGGTACTTACCATCTGCTCTTCAGTTACAGCAGAATCAGTTACAGCTTGGATTCGTATGAAGCTGTGCCTTAGCTTATCTGCCAATAGGACAATTCCTCTCCTTGCCACATATGAATGACGCCTTGTTCAGAAAGATACGTTAAGCATGGGTGACTCACCATGAGCAAGAAGCCAATGGATCTCTTGCCTGCAATTTATGAAGTAGACAGCAGTTGACCTGCAAAAATGACTACCAGCAACTACCCTAGAGCAAAACAGTCCACTCAAAAAGCGCTATTCAGCTCGATGTTGCGATTTCGGGACCTGAAGGAATGGAGAAGCTGAGCCAAGGACCAGGTAAGATAAATAGTGTCCTCCTCACCGTGGCCCAGGCTAGGAAGATAATGGGGCTGCATTATGTACCACTCAGGCTGAGTCCCAGTCCCTCTATTGGATTTACAGGACCGGCAAGTGAACCCTTTTTTTTTCGCAGCATTAATACACCAGTTGATCTTGAACCACCTCATCTGAAAGTAAGGATTACAGACATATGAGGCAATTGAGTTGCTTGCAATATAGGGACTTGCTGAGAGGTGTAGAAATTAATTTGTCTCTTTCGTCAGCAAAAAGCAGCTTTCTGTAATCCCACCAATACTTACAAAGAAAGATTTCTCGCTCCTCCTCAATGCATGGATCCGTGCTATTCTAACCAATAGTATCACGACACATGCGCCAGTATCTGCAAGTTTCAGCTGAGATGCTCAGTCGCTGCCAGCAGGAAATTTATCCTCCCACGGTTGATTCTCTTTGTTTCCCCATATACAGAACTACAAGGCTCATGCTTTGAAACCCAACTGCTCGTTGTATCTGGCCCAACCCTTCAAGTCATTCCGATGAAAGTCTGGAAAGCTCGCAGAAAGCGCTCGCGTATAGTGCCCATATTCAGACGCAACTCAGCCCACAAAGAAATCGTTAGAGCAGGAAACGTCTTGTTCACCGTCGCTCTGTCACATCGTATGTGCATTATTCCGAAGGGAGGTGAAGCTTAGTATTCTCATAGCAGCAACCAGGACCCTCTTCACCAAGAGCCTCACCGGACGACCAACAGACAGGGACAGCCGGACAGGACCGAAGAAAAGGGCATCAAGTAGGTAAACAGCTGTGGGACCGCGCGCTGCTAGAGGTAAAGCAGTCTAAAGATCAACATGCAATCAAACTCATCGACGAGGTTGGCAGCCGGCTTGGCCAGGAGGGAACGACGATGGACGTGGTTATCAGCATCACAGAGACGATGGAGCGCCAACTGAAAGACAAGAAAAGGTCTACTTTGGCGTCTTCATATGTCGAAGAGACAATATACGCTCTCAATCAATTTGTCTCAGTGGGAGATGTTGCAGTTAGCTACGATCCAGTACATGCTGCCCTTCCATGGGCATTTGTGCGGGCGGTCCTCGTGGTATGAGCCATCCTAGAACCACGCTTGAACTTGGTGCAAGCTGACACTGTGGTACCTTGAATAGACCATTACGTCGAAGTATCAGCTTGATGCGCAGATACTAGGGGGATTGGCTTCTGTTGCCTCATTATTGCTGCAGTGCAACATGTATCAAAGGCTGTACTTGTCCTCCCATGTTGACCCGGACGGTGCTGGGGAAGCTTTAGAGGCCCTTAAAGGCTCTCTTGTTGCCTCCTATGCCAGTTCGTTGTTCCTCCTGGGCTTTGTGTACTCCCATCGGAGGAGGAATATGGCGGTGACGGCTCCCTTTTTGCTCCACGAAGTCGAGAAAAAGGTCAAAGATCTCGACGAGAGTAGTCGCCAACTCACCAACAAAGCAGACGATTGCGAAAGATTCTATGCTTCCCATAGAGGGATGTCTTCGCAGAAGCTCATTGAGCTTGTTGACAGCCTGCGGCAGTCTTCGAGCTATCACTCGTGCGTATAACCCCAACCCTGGCGCACTTTCAACATGCTGATAGCAAAATGACGCATAGTATACTCCTCGAAAGCATACAGAGAGAGTTCATCTTGAGCAGGCTGCAAGTCGCCCAGGGAGCCGCCTTTGACGACTACTCTCAAGCATTCAGAGACGAATGTTATCCTGGCACGCGCCTTGAGATTCTCGACTCCATATACAAATGGGCAGCTGACCCATCCAGCCCTGCCGTCTTCTGGCTGCAAGGAATGGCGGGAACAGGTAAATCGACAATCGCACAGACGGTAGCCAGGAAGCTAGACGGAGTCAAATTGGGCGCGAGTTTCTTCTTCAAACGAGGCGACGGTGATCGTGGAACGGCTCGGCGCTTCTTTGCAACAGTTGCGAGCCAAATGATTCGAAAGCAGCCTCGACTTACCCAGATTCTGCACGAGATCATCCAGGAAGAGCCCGAGATTGGAGGCAAGATGCTGGAGACCCAGTTTCGTGAACTATGGGCGCGTCCATTCAAAGAGCTCTCCGTCGAACCTCTTCCAGAGCCGAAGACAATCGTGGTCGTGGTCGATGCACTCGACGAATGTGATCCGCCAGAGGATGCAAAACTTCTCATCAAACTCCTGAGCGAGACTCCTTCTGTGTCTCCCATCGGATTAAAAATATTTCTTACCAGCAGGCCGGAATATCATATAAGCCTCCAGTTCGGCACCACAAGCGGCCCGCGTCGCGATCTGATACTGCATCGTGTTGATGAAGCCATCGTTCAGAGCGACATTCGCGCATACCTGAAGAACGATATGCAAAAGTATACAAAGCAATACAATCAGCATATGGAAAGGATCGGACAAGGCCAATCACTCCCATATGACTGGCCTGGAGAAGAAACATTTGAGCGACTTGTGCAGATGGCCACACCCCTCTTCATCTCTGCCGCAACAATATCTCGAATGCTCCGGAACGATCAGTGGCCAGCAACGCCCGAGGAAAAGCTGGAGCACATACTCGAGTTCAGCACAAAGGGCGAAGGCCAAGTGGAGGATCTGTACCGTTCGATCCTCGCTCAAATCATGGGCCGAATTCCGGTCCGCGCCAGACGGAGATACATTGACGAGTTTCAGAAGATCGTCGGGTCCGTCATCCTTCTTGCCAGTCCTTTGTCTGTTCCGGCACTCTCGAGTTTGCTGGGGTTTCAGGAGAAGGAACTATACAACAAACTCAACCCTCTGTCTTCGGTGTTGGATGTACAGTCTAGAGATGCGCCAGTCAAGCTATTCCATCTCTCATACCGGGACTTTCTGTTAGAAAAGGATTCATTTGGCGACAGCAATGGGGGTGATCCTTGCCAGTGGTTTCATATCGAACAAGTCACCGTTCATGCGTGGCTGGCAGGACAATGCCTACAGCTTCTATCTACGCATCTGCATAACGACATCTGCAATGTCCAGGATCCTGGCGCGGTCAGAGGAGAGGTTCCACTGGAAAAGATTCGTCAGTGTTTACCCCCTGCGATGGTTTATGCATGCCTCTACTGGATACACCATGTAGAGGCAGGCGAGCTGATGCTCAAAGACGGAGGATCTGAGCATGCATTCCTTCAGACTAAGATGCTGAACTGGGTCGAGTCATTAGCCTGGCTCGAGAGATTGAACGAAGGGCTTGAAGGAATTCGCGTCTTGAAAAGTATGGTCAATGTAAGTTACTTTCAGTCATTTCAGATATTTTACACCAGCTACTGCAGCTCTAACTCTTGCTTTACAGAAAGCCAGCTGCGGTGAGATTTTCAGACTGCTCGAGGACGCCGAAAGGTTCATCTTCTCTTTCAGAGGGGCAATTCAAGAAACGCCATTGCAGATTTACAACTCGGCACTTGTCTTTTCACCCAGCAACAGCATCGTGCGCAAGGCTTTTGCTTCCAACTGTCCGACCTTTATCAGACGGATGCCACAAGTCGACCCCCATTGGTCTGCCTGCATTCAGACTATCGAGCCCAAATACGAAGATGCAGGGTGGGCTGTAGGCCTCGAACTGCTGCCCAATGATACAATGGTCAGTGGCTTTTGCGGGGGCCCTGTCAAAATCTGGGATCTGGACACTGCGTCTTGTCTCCATGAGTTCATGATCGACTCAGACAAGGCTCAAAATTTCGCCGTATCGGCAGATGGCAAACTCGCAATCATGGGGGAAAAGCATGTGCAGGTTTGGAATCTCGATGATCGACGGTGCTTATATACACTGGTCCATAGTATGGGGGATCCCTACATGTACGTGACCATGATCTTTTCGGCTACTGGAGACTGCCTGTATGCGCTATCATCGGCGGGAGAGTATGCTCTTTTTGATCTTGTCCGCAGAGAGTCCAAGACGGTCCGGCTTAATCGGGTTCTTGACGAACCGGGAAACAAATGCCTCTCCAAGGATGGGAAACTGGCAGCCCTTTTTGGCCAACACGAAGTCATTATTTGGGACCCCTACGCCAACACGATCCATCAGGAGCTGAAAGACATCAAAATCACCATCAGCACAGCCATCTTTTGCCAAGAGGGAGAGTTCTTAATTGCTGGAGCTCTTGGAGGGGAAATCCGATTTACCGATATCAAGACAGGGGAAACTGAAAAGGAGTTCAACGGCAAGATTGGAATGGTCCAGGCCCTCGCCATCTCCAAGAATAACGAGCGGCTTGTCGTTGGCGGCGGGCACAATACTTCAATTTCCATATGGGATGCCAAGAATCATGTTTTACAGCACATCCTTACGGGCCATACAACGCCCATCTTGCACGTTGCTTTGTCCTCGGACGGAGATACGCTTGCTTCCCATTCATGGGACGCCATCAAAATATGGGCCTTGCCGCTTACATCTTCAAACCCCCAGACCAACGCCATCGGAAATGTTCGCGGCATGGTTCTTGATCGCCAGGGCCAAAGGCTTTACCATTCCGAATTGGACGCCATCGGAACCTGGGATCTGAGTACCACGCGTTGCGTCAAGAGATCCGAGGTTGGTTCTGTCATTGTGTTTTCGGACTTCTCGCCACTTGCCGCCATTCTGGGCATGAAGCACGCTGAGATATGGGATCTTACCGAGCATTGTTGCGTACAGACGTTACAGACGCGGGAGAAATTGGAGTCTTCAGCGAACTTGGATGAGTTACCCCCGGGGCCACTTATCATGGACCCCTCCGCTTTATCCAAGGACGGCCAGCTGTTTTACTCTCGTTCTTACTGGTGGTCTGAGCCCAAGACAATGTACTGGTCGACGTTGCAGACGTGGGACACAGTCTCAGGCCGTTGCCTGCGTATATTGAGCAGCAGCGAACGGGTAATCATAGAGATTGTGATGTGCCCCGAGGGCCAGCAAGTGGCGTTGCTCGAGGCGTATGATACATGGGAGCCGGATTCGGAGACTGGGACGGTGGATATTCGTATACTGGAGGTTTCGACGGGACGCTGCATCTGTGTCATCCACACCGAGGCTGCGGCCGAATCTGCCGTGTTTTCGGCAAAGGGCACACAGATCATTGCCATTACAAGAAATCGAGACGCCGGGATTTTTAATACGTCCACAGGGGAGAAGATACTAGGCCTCTTCCTTGGCCTAGGCCCGTACGATAACAAGCCTGTCTTTCCCTTGCCTCCGAGCTTTCTCAATAGAGAGCTCGTCGTCCACAAGGATATGCCCCTTGAAGAAGTCAGAGACTCTCTTCTGAAGGAGTATGGCATCTCGCCCGATAGAGCTTGGTTGACGAGGCGTTTGAAGAGAGTACTGTGGTTGCCCCCTGACTATCGCCCATCGTGTGCTATTCTGTCGGCATCTCAGTTGATCTTGGGCTGCGGTGGTCGTATCGTCACAATGGTACTTGAGTAACAGAAAGAGACGGAATAGTTTAATGAATATATTGATAAGAATTGTCGTTTGGCCCCCCTCTCTGCGCTGGAACCAACATTAATATATTTCACCCGAAAAACCAGCAGCCACCCGTCTAACTCACTCCGCCAACTGGTCATACAAAGAAGCAGCCAAGACGATAATAGCTGCAGCTGAACTTCAACCAACCTTTCGTGATACAGTTGAGTGTGGGAGGTGGTAATAGCAGGTGTCTTCATGTTATTGACTTATAATCTCGTGTGCTTTCTCCTAACTGCTCCTATCTTTGATACCAGTATTTGAGCTCCTTCAAGATCATTTACAGTGCAGTTCCCGCTCAGTCTCAGCCCTATTATCGCAATGTCAGATCCCAATATCTATACAATTGGGTGGATCTGTGCCCTCAAAAAGGAGCTGGTTGCGGCAAAATCATTTCTTGACCAGGAACACCAACGCGCCAGCTACCTCGCCAAGCATGATAACAATAGCTACTCGCTCGGTAGCATGGAAGGTCACAATGTAGTAATAGCGGTCCTACCTGTCAGCGAGTATGGAACCACTTCCGCGGCTACTGTCGCGAGAGACATGGTGCACAGCTTTCCCAATATCAGGGTCGGCCTCATGGTAGGCGTCGGTGGCGGCGCTCCAAGCGAGAAGCATGATGTACGTCTGGGAGACGTTGTTGTCAGCACGCCTCAGGGTGGACAAGGGGGTGTTTTCCAGTACGATTTTGGTCAAACGATTCAAAATCAAGCCTTTCGGCACACCAGATTCCTGAACCAGCCACCAACGATCTTGCAAACGGCGACGAGTACTCTTCAGAGCATTCACGAAGATGGTGGCTCCCGGCTCGAAGAAGCGATCAACGGCGTGTTATTGAAAAGACAAAGGCTGCTGCCGCATTACAGACGACCAGACCCCGGCAGCGACAGGCTGTTTCGCAGTGACGTGGTCCATCCACCGGTTGAAGGCAGCTGTGCAGAGCTTTGTCCTGATGACCCATCGATGATGGTGGCTCGACACCAGCGAACGGCAGCAGAGGACAACCCGGCCATCCACTACGGCATCATCGCCTCAGCCAATCAGGTGATGAAGGACGCCGTGATCAGGGACAAGCTTGCGGCAGAGAAGAATGTCTTGTGTTTCGAGATGGAGGCCGCGGGTCTCATGAACCACTTCCCCTGCCTCGTGATACGGGGCGTTTGTGACTACTCGGACTCGCATAAGAACAAAGAGTGGCAAGGATATGCAGCAATGGCCGCAGCTGCCTATGCAAAAGCTCTTCTTCAACAGATTGTTCCTTCGCAGATCGAGCAGGTGGAGAGGCTCAGCAAGCTACTTGCACAAAGTCAGTTCTTCCAGGCCTAGATGTATGAACCCTAGTTTTGACACGCTCAAAGTCCATGACGGGATAGCCAGAGTAGATGGAAAGATAGATGCCATAACAAACTGCCTTTCGACGGAACCCTGCGTTGTAGGGAGTGCCGCCTTCAACTCCTATGACGAATCGCACAGCTCAACGTGCTTGCCCGGAACCCGAGTTCAGCTAATCCAACAAATTCTGGGCTGGGTGGACAGTGAAGACGGGAAGCCAATCTTTTGGCTGAATGGAATGCTTGGGACGGGCAAGTCTACTGTTTCGCGAACAATCGCCCAATCTCTTCACCAAGCCGGTCGTCTAGGAGCAAGTTTCTTCTTCAAGAGAGGCCACAGTGACCGACAAAACGCAGCAAAGCTCTTCACTACTATTGCTGATCAGCTTGCAAGAATGCAGCCCGCCATGTCCCATCTTATCAAACATGCAGCCCGCGCCGACTCCAGTATCGGAAGCAAGGGGGTAGCAGAGCAGTTCAACCATCTCATCTTACGCCCTCTATCCACACTTCCTCAAGAGGATTGGAGGCATAAACAGGCCATCATAGTCGTCGATGCTCTGGATGAATGCGAGCAGCAGGAAGACGCAGCAGATATTCTTCGGCTCCTGAGCACTGCTAAACCATGGCTCAGAGTCTTTGTCACTAGTCGACCGGAGTTTACGATCCATCGAGGATTATTCATGATCGAAGGACAGTTTCAAATGGTGGCTTGCCATGCTATACCGCAGTCCGTAATTAAGCAGGACATAATGCTTTTGATAACTCACCGACTCGACGAGATCAGAGACAGGTTTAACAGAACCAATCGGCGCCGGGCCCCCCTCGACCAAAGCTGGCCTCGCCAAGACCATATCAATACTCTGGCGGAAATGGCAACTCCGCTTTTCATGTATGCCGCCATTATATGCAACTTCATCGATGATATAAACTGCGGATATCCCAATAGCCAACTACGCAAAGTCCTGGGATGGAGGGCTGAGAGCTCGAAGGCGAGCCCAGAGACTAAGCTTGACAAAGCTTATTTACTGCTTCTTGACCAGCTGCTCGCCAACGTTGATGAAGCAGAGCGGGATAGGTTTCTACAAGAGTTTCGAGACATTGTGGGCTCGATCATCCTCTTTAGTAGCCCTATATCGATGCCTGTTCTGGCAGAGCTCCTCGGGCTCCCTCTTGAGATTGTGGATATCAGATTGGACAAGCTTCACTCTGTCTTGGACGTCCCACCGTCAAATGACTCTCCCGTCAGGCTCCTGCATGTGTCTTTCCGCGATTTTCTCGTGAGGGAGATGGGGAAGAAGCATGCTTTCTGGGTTGACGAAGCAAAGACACATGGCGCAATAGCAGCTCGGTGTTTGCACATACTAAGCCAGCATTTCAAGTCAGATTCACGACCATCAGGAGAGGAGGTGTCTATGATTGACCGTGAAGAGGCATATGCAAAGAAGGAGGTACGAATTGACGCAGTTGGGTACGCATGCCTACATTGGGTATTCCACCTGCAAGGGGCAAAAGCGGACGGCCCTGACGGCTACAAATCCTCTCTTTCGTTTCTCAAACAGCATTTTCTTCACTGGCTCGAGGCCTTGAGTGAGATGCATCAAGTGCCAGAGAGCATCAAGATGCTAAAAAGTTTGCAGACTCTCTCACAGGTGAGATATTACCATTATAACTGGCGTCATGCCATATCCGCTCTTCAAGCTCTAGATACTCATATGAGGAACTGTGCAGATGAATAACAACGTCGAGCTCTCTGCCTTTGTAGATGACGCTCTACGTATCCTGCAAGCCAACCTGCAGGTCATCATCGATGAACCTCGCCAACTGTATTCTTCCGCCATTCTATTTGCCCCAGAGGAAAGCATCATCAAAAAGCTATTCATGGGATCTATGAGCATGCAGGTTTTACTCAAGCCAAAGGTCGAGAGCCGTTGGAATCACTGTGTGCAAATTTTCGAGGGCCACACCGGTCCAGTCCTGTGCGTGGCCTTCTCGCACGACTCTGTACAAGTGGCATCCGCTTCGGAGGATTACACTGTTCGAATCTGGAACACTCGTACGAGCGAGATCAAGATTCTGAAGGGCCATTCCCGCCCGGTTCATGCCGTGGCCTTCTCTCGTGACTCATCTCATGTGGCATCGGGTGCAGCAGACTCTACCGTTCGGGTGTGGCATACTGAGTCAGGCAATTGCGTCCATATACTTGACAGCGGTGGCAAGCAGATTGAGTCTGTGGCGTTCTCCTACGATTCGGCGCTCATAGCATCTGTTTCTCGATGTGGCGTTATTACTGTGTGGCGAGCCAACACCGACGACGACGAGCTCACATATACGAAAGAACAAGAAGGGACGAATTTTGACCATTTCACGGCCACCTCCCTGGCTTTTTCTCACTCTGAATCTGGCAACATGTTACATACAGCACTGGCTATATATACTGGGTCGATCAAGCAGCTGCAGTTTGGTCAGAATATCTGTACCTTGGACCGGCATAAGGGGCGTGTCAAGTGCATGGGCTTTTCACATGACTCGTTGCTCTTGGCATCAGCCTCGGACGACTTGACGGTGAAGCTCTGGGGAACGAGAGAAGGTAATTTGATCCGCGAATATACAGACTATCCGGGCATAGTTACTGCTATAGCCTTCTCTCACGACTCATCACTCATGGCATTCGCTTCAGACGATTGCGCCATTCGACTACACTGCCCCGTCACGATGAATTGCGTCCAAGAGTTCAACGATGTTGGCCGTCGGATTACATCTCTGGTATTCTCGCATGACTCTTACTTATTAGCATCGGCTTCAAGAGACCATTCCATCCAACTCTGGCAGACTGACATAGAGCAGGGCTCTGGTCATTACAACAACAACAACAGCAACAACAAGGCCGCGGGTGTTGTTTTAGGCGCGGGCAAAAGTGACACCGGTGGCTATAGAAGCCATGTAGTCTCCGTGGCCTTCTCTCAGGATGGATCGTTCATGGGATCGCTTTCATACGGCCACACTGTCCAGATATGGCACACTGATACCGGGGAATGTCTCAGACAATTCCAGGGCCGGACCCTCTCCGACGTCTCTCCGCGTCAGGAAATTTTTCCTGTGAACTGCTTAACCTTTTCGTATGATTCGCTGTATCTGGCCTTTTCTCTAGAGGAAGAAACTTTTACGATATGTGACATTGAGAGTGGAGAGTTCGTACAGGAACTTGGAGGCCACAAGAGCTCCGTCACATCCATAACTTTCTCGCAGGACTCGAAGCTTGTTGCAAGCACGTCGGGAGCCTGGATTCATTTATGGGACTTTGCAAATGGCGACAAACGTCTGGTACTCAGAAGTCCAGCTAGGCCGTCTGCGAGAAATTCCCGATATCAAGAAGGGCTATTTAATGGGGTGGCCTTTTCACATGATTCATCGCATGTGGTGGCTGCTTCAACCACCGGCCTCCAGCTATGGCACCTTGAAACGAAAGAGTGTGTGCAGATATTCGGAGTTCATCAAGCCTGCTTTGACTCGGCGGCTTTTTCGCACGATTCGTCGCTCGTGGCCTCTGCTTCAAATGGCAATATCCAGCTATGGCGGATCGATACGGGGCAGTGTATCCAAAAGTTTGATGTCGGGAGTCGCGTCTTGATATCCCAATTGTCGTTTACGCCTGATGGCTTACACCTCCTCACAAACGTCGGCATGTTTACCAGGGCCAACCATGAGTATACTTTCCATGTTGACGGCTATGGGTTCACCAGCAACTCCTCCTAGATCACGCACAAAGGGCGCAAGAGACTGTGGCTGCCAAAAGATTGGCGGCCGACTTGCAGCGCTGTGAGTAGCAAGTCGACCGTAGCAATAGGCTGTGCTTCGGGGAAAGTTTGGATCATGGCATCCCCAGAAGATGGACAGTAACGACGTATGTATACCTACCGGTATGAGACGAGCGCAAACGAGCGATACATTCTTTACGCGGATTGCAGGCCTTTGACATGCCTCCTCCAGGTTCTTGTAGTTGAAGCCACTCAGGGGCCAAGTGTTTTTCTCCCTAACTCACTCAAAACATCAAAAGTCTTACTATATGTACTAGCTCTACACCTCTGTTGAAGTATCATGTTACAGCAGCATAGAGATGAGTATGCCATGATAGTATCAAGCTCCTGGAGACATGGTCAAGTTGGCGTTTCAACGCCAATATATTGAGTTTACCATCCATAAGTGAGAGCTCCTGTTGATGGTTCATGTTTACAGCATTGAGTGGCTATGCGGAGTACGATCAGGCTACAGAGAGTCGACGAGGGTGCTTGACTGCTTCCGATTCGGAAACGAAATGATTGTCACACGCAGCGACGAAAATGCTTGTTCAGCCTCCTTTCCTTGGCTTCTGCGTGCGGCCGGCGTTACACGCAATAAGCCAACGAAACAGCAATGCAGCTAAACAACGAAAACAGCCGCAATGCGGATACGCGCGCGGCTTGGTTGTCGTTGTCCATTCACTCTTGACTCGCCACCGCCTTGTGTGCCGTGATACAAACAGCCCGACTGTTACACGTCACCCTCACACGCTCCGAACTCGGCCCCAAGTAGCTGTCAAAGGGAAGGCCTTCATTCTTCAGACGAGCTCTCTCTCAAGGTGATGAAGGATGTCGACATACGGTGAAACGGAGACGTTTGCCAAACCCGGGTGCTGGAAGCCTTGCAGCGCCACCGGACGCCGCTTGCCGCCTCGGAAGAAGTCTTCTTTCACGACAAGGATTTTGAGCAAACTTTTGTGTGCGTTGAGGAGAGGATAGTGGCAGGGAACAAACTATACGAGGGTGTCACAAGTACACGACAGTCTCCTGAGTGTGAGCTTGATCAAGATCTCAAAATATCCCCGGGGCCACTTATACGGGGTGCCACTTTGGTTTCTTCCCCCTCGCCAAGCGTAAGAACAAACGGCCCATTTGCGTCAGGCATTGGCAGGTGATACTCGGTATACGGTCGTAGGAGCCCACTATAACTGCTGCTCCCTTGTGCTTCGCCGTACCTTATCGAGTAGTGAATTGCAACGTCCCAACAAACCGGGAGCCCCTGACTCAAAGCTGGTACTGGCATCTATTTTATGTTTAGTCCACCCGTTTCTTCGGCATGATCTCGCACGGTTCACTCTAGTGCGATTGAGCGAGCTTGACTGAACCCATAGGGCCTTAATTCCTTGTGCCGCTCATATGAAGTACTAAGCACTCGATCTTACACAGATGTATTTCGCAGACAGAGGAACAAGAAAGACAAAGCAACCAGGAGGATAAAGAAAGAAACATGTGAGCAGACGATTATAAGCGACGACTTGTCACATGTCAAAGTATACTGCTGAGAATAACAGCATCCATTCGTAGAGTGCTTCCTTACATGTGAAGGAGGAAAGCAAACGCCAGTGACTCCGTGGCACATGTACCTCCCACGTCTTTGTCTCTCAACAAAGCGGTCTTCAATGTAATGATAAGTCGACAGTATCCAAGATATCATTGAGGGATACCTAGCAGGTACTCAAGAAGAGGTTTCACCTGGGCAGGCCGACTTTGCCAAGGCAGACGGGCATGTAACACGAGTCGGCCTCTTCGCCTTCCAGCTCCTCGCTTTATTCCGCACAATTTGCAAATTGGCTTCCTTTACTCTTCACGAAGGCGCATATATATTTATATTCGCCGCTGCAAAAGAGCATCGTTCAACGTCTCTGGCCGCAGCATCTCCTTGAGTGCGATTGGCTTACACACCCGCGATGCCTCGACGTCCCCCTCGAGCTCCCCGCACCCGAGGCGCTCACAATTTGGGCCCCTTTGAGAAGCCAGGAGAGCCCTATCGCATGAGCCATAGACTAAAGTGGCAGAAATACGGCGTCGGGTATTTTGAGGATCTCTGGGGCTCTTACTGGGAACGTTTCAACACCATACAGATCCCTATCTTTGGGGAGACGGATTACTTCAACTATGCTCTAGAGATTGCCAAGCTTGCCGACGGCAGCGAGGAAGAGTTCAAGCGAATTTACGCCCAGAGAAATAAAGAGCGGATGGGGTATTTCTTGGAGCTGCTGGATAAGGCTTTTGATCGAGGATTATGGCATGACGAGGACTTTCCATGTGAAGATGCCGCAGACAAAGTAATAGCCGTGTGTAGGACTGGTTCCCTCGAGGATTTTGCGCAGCTACTAAAGGGCATCGCTTTTGGCTGGGAAGCGGATACGATACATGATACCGAGGGAGGCACCCAGTCCGATGACTCCTATTCTGGCTCCGACTACGGTTACTGGACCCGATGTCGAGAAGAGAGCGAAGAGTGGAAGGATCCCAAGTTCCGAGAAGAGATGGCAGCTTGCGTGACGCCTCTAGGCGTGTGGTTTTTCCAGCAACCTACAGGGGCTACATCGAAAGAGGATACCAAACCCGCAGAATCAATGTCGCGCGAAACTGCCGATGGAGATCCATCAGTCCAGAAGGCACGGCCACTTATACCAGGCGGCGCCTGTGCGGCGGCGGCGGAGGAGGGAGAAGAGGAGGAGGAGGAGGAGGATGAAAAGAAACAAGACGACAAAGACAGGTGAGTCTTGTCCCTGACGCCATGTTATCAATGTTCAACTAACTTCTAGTTAGGAAACAGACTCGAAGCCCTGACGTTAACGAGAGCGAACACCAAGATCATTCTCCAGGGATCTCGGCAACCCCTTCAACATCTCCCAACACCTTCCCCACCGAGAGAAGAACGGATGAAGAAGTCACCTGGACGGGGACTCGATGGGATGCAGAACTTCATGACTGCAATAGCCGGCAACCGCAAGCCACTGCTACGCATCCCCTCAAAACCTGTGGTTCTTCGTCTTCACCGAAACTGTAGAATGACAGCGTCGCCAGTAAACGAGCCAGGCCCGATGACGACGGTGACCAGAGCTACACCAATCATGGTAGCGAGAATAATGAAAAACGTCGAAATACGGCGAGGTTCTGTAGACCACAGGCCAAAGACAGCTCTGAATCCGTCGGGAACAAGAGTGGATGCCGGAAAAGGCAAAGGAGAAGACTCCCTCACCACCTGGACAACACGCAACGCCGCCTACCTCCGGCGTGACGAACACAAGGTCAAGAGGGCGAAATGGGGCATCTACTCTATGGGAGCTGGATAGTTTAGGCAGGCCGCGTTCGATCTCATAACGCTATTCCAATCACTTATTTCCCGGTAGATTCGAAGGGCGGAATAGGGCCGGTTTCAGGGCGAAGGTTGCATGAGTGCCATTTGGTCGAGCAACAAAGGCGTGGATGTTGACCTGCTAGAACAGGGTGCAGCGGTACATTGGGGATGGCTATAACCTAGATGTGCACTGCCGTAATGATTCTATAGTTACAGTTTGTATATTCCACTTATATTCTTGTCTAGACTTACCATCTTTTTGTACACATGTTCGGCATAGCACTATGTGATCTTCTTAACATCATGTTAACGTTCAAGGTCGCAACATCAGTTTTGTGCTTTCCCTAAATAAAGACCAGTCATCATGGCTTTGGCTCTTCTTTTACGTTTCGCTTCCTCACTCGTGCTTCAATATCTGCCGCCTTGATCCGTGATGCGGCATCTGCATCAAGCATCCGGAACACAAGTGACTCAATGGCATCGCCCTTGTTGAGTCTGGCTTTACAATCCCGAATGCACCTCATCCTACTCCGCAGTTCCGCGTCGTTTCCCAATTTCCATCCTTTTCGAGCGTCAGGGACTTCCTCCTCATCTGGCAGAGACATCTTTCCAAGCAGGTAGAGCATTGTAATACCTAGAGCCCAGACGTCTGCTGCTAGACTGCAGACACGTTCTTTATTAAATTCAGGAGGGAGGTACCACAGTGACCTGCAAGCTTCCCTCCTACACCTACAGGTACCCCACCTTTTAGGTGCCTAACCACTAGAAAACCTCACTTTATTTAACTAGCTATTAGATAAAATAACTTTATTATTTTCCTTTACAGTCCCTTCTAGGGATCTTAAAGAGATAGAAACATCTATAGACCCTCTAGGCACCTAGAATAGTTTTAATCCTGTCACCCCTAGACCAGCGACTGCACCTTAACTATAAAAAGAGGCAACTCCCTTAATCCTAAAGGCAGGAGAAAGGACTATACTCCCTTTTACCCTTAAAAAAAAGAGACGCTTTAAAAAGAACTTTAAAATAGATAATATGCCTTCCCTTAGCTTTAACAGGGCAAGGCTAAGTGTAACAGCAGCTATATAAAAAGCATTAAAAGGCCTTACTACCTTTATTTTTAGCAGGATAAAGAAAGCCACTGCTTTTAGTAAAAAGGGGAAATCCTTTACTAAGAATAAACTTATAGACTAGATTAAAAAGATTAATATATAATAATAGGCTAGATAAGATATTATATTAAATATAGCTATAGCTATTAACTCCTGCCTAGAATAATATATATTTAAACCTGCTATAGCAGTAGTAGAATAAATCCGCTTAATTCTAAACACTGCACTTAAAAACTTTATTACCTCTTATATAAACTTAACAGAAAGGCCTAAAAACCTTAAGAAAATAAGCAGTAATAAGGAAAATGCTTAACTAACTAAAATAATATTAGCTAATATATCCTGCAGTAAGAAAGATAAATTAAACAGCTTTAAAAACCTTATTATAGCAGAAGCTTCTATAGCCACTAGAAAAGTAGGCTAGAAGGACCTTAAGGTTATATAAGTATAAGTTATATTATAAAATGCTATTTATAATAAAAAGCCTTAAAAGGACCTTAATACCTAGAAGAATCCCCTCTTTAGCAGTAAAAGGCCAGCCCTTACTACTAAAACTAAGAAAAGTAATAAAACTGCTAAAGGTAACTAAAAGCCTAATAACTATATCTTTATCTAAGTCCTACTAGACTATAACTAGAGAAAGATAATAGCTATTAAGGCTAAATAAGAATTAATTAGCTTTTTAAAACTTAAAAGTAAGAAAATCACTTACTTTTAAGAAGTCTAATTAGGCTTTGCCCTTTAAGTAAAAGATTAAAATATAAAAATAAAAATTATTATACTTAAATCTATAGCTAAAGGTAATAACCTAAAAATTAAAAAAGCATGCTCTTAAAAGGTTTTCCTCCTATATAGCGTGTTAAAGATATATATAGATATAAACAGGACCTACTTAATAAACATACTAATCTTAAAGAAGGCATGTGTTAGGGCAGGGGCTAAGGAATAGCTAGTAGTAGTTTATAAGGCTCCTTTTAGAGAATCCTTAGATATATGCTATTACTTCTTATCCTTTAAGAAGGACGTTAAGCCTAGTTTTAAATTATTTAATAACTTATACCTAGTAGAAGTATAGATTTAAAAGCCTAGAATTACCTAGTGTTATTACTGCCTTAGGTTCTATAACCCTTAGAACTGCACTAGGATTAAGAGATACCTTAAGTGCAGCAAGCCCTTAGATAAGCATAAGGATACTATAGTAAACTGCCCTTCCCCTTTATAATACGCTAACTGCAATAGCCTGCATAAAGCAGACTCTCTTAAATGCCTAGCTAGGCTAGCTATTAAGGATAGGGAAAAGGTACATGCTATTAAGGACTAGCTTAAGGCAATTAGAGAACTAGGACAGAAAGAATACACTAAAGCCAACCTGCCTAAAGCAGCCCTAGCTGCTAAAAGCACCCTTATAAATAAAGCCCCCCTAGAAGCCAATCCCTTAAAGGGGGGCCCCTAGATCTATTACCTATTTTCTAGCTCCGCTCCCTAGCTGCTAGCCAGGGCCCTTGCTTAAAAGGTTACTATTAAGGTTAACTCTAATAACAACCTAATAGACAACTCCTCTACAAGGTTAAAGGTGCATATAGCAGGCTTAGATAACAGGGTAAAAGACAGAGATAATAATATAGAGGAAACCCCTAGTAAGAATAATAAACCCTTTGCAACAGCCTTATAAGCAGCAGGCCCTATTATAGCCGCTAAAGAAACACTAGCCTTAAGATCTTCTAGGTAAATATTAAGAAGAGCGGCCTTTACTAAGATATTGCTCTCTTACTTATATAAAAAGGTGGCTATAATATTATGCTTATTTAGGAACCTTATGCTAAGTAGGATAAAATATTAAGTAGAAGGCAAACTAAAAATCACTTTAGATTTTAGGCATATAACCCCTTAAATAACTAGAGGGACACTAGACCCTTAATCCTTATATTTATTAAAATCTTACCTAACCTTTTTAGTAAATAGCTCTCCCCTCTAGGACTAGAGAATAGATATATATACTAGGTAAAGGTATATAGGTATATAATTATTAATATATACTAGAGAGCTATAAAGGATATTACTACTAAAACCCTTATTAAATAAAGCCCCCCTCCCTCCTGCTTAATTATAGCAGGCGACTTTAACGCTACTTATTAAACCTAGTAACCTAGCAGAAACCTAGATATAGCAGGTAATAGAATAGTAGAATAGGCAGATAAGCATAACCTTCTCCTCTCCTTTATAGACTTAGCTATAAAGGACTTAGGAAAGTATATTAACCTTATCTTTATAAACTGCCCTATAATATCCTAGGTAGAACGCTCTCTAGATATAGGGTTAGACTACTATATAGTTATTACTACTCTACCTAACCCTATCCGCTTTACTCTAGGAGCTAGAAAGAAATACCTTTCTTTTAAATAATATAAAAACTTTAGATAACTAATACACTCCTTTATATAAACACTACCTATAATTAACCTTAATAAACCCTTAAAAAACAACCTAGATAACTGCACTAGGGCCTTATAGAACCTCTTTAAAGATATGCCAGAAGCCACTAGTAAGATAAGACACTAGAACAGGCACAGCGCCTTATAATAGACTAAAGAATATAAGGCTGTACATAAGGCCTTAAAAAAGAGCGCTAATAGCTCCTTAGAAAGGGTAGAGGCTAAAAAATAACTAAAGCTTACTATTTATAAAAGCAAGAGGGCCTACTAGGATAAAATTATTATAGAGGTAAATGCAGATAAAAACATTTAGTCTTTAGCTAAATAGTAAAAGGCTACTAACTAATTCTAGCCCCTCTATTAATAAACAGGGATAAAAGCATCTCTAACCTTATAAAAAAGGCAACCTTCCTTAAAGATAAACTGCTTAAGAGAAAAACTATAAAGGAAGACCTCCTTAACCCTTAGGAAGGAGACCTTCCCCTAGATAAGAAGATTAAATAAAACATAGAAGTTATAGAGGAAGAAGCCAGGAAGGCTATAACAGGATCTAGTAACACTGCCCTTAAGGCAGACAGGATCTTAATTATACTCCTATAGCTTGTATAGCTAGCAGTTAGCAGCTATATTATAGACCTCTTCTAAAGGTGCCTTAGCGCTAGATACTATCTACTCCCCTTTAAAAGCGCTAAAGTAACTATTATCCTTAAACCTAGCAAGCCTAAAAAGGCATATACTATATATAAAAGGTATAGACTAATCTTGCTCTTATCCTGCATTAAGAAGGGACTAAAAAGACTCTTTATATAAAGAGTCTCCCTGCTAGCCTTAGAATATAAAAAACTACTAGAATAATACTTTAGCGCGCTCTTTAAATAAGCAGTGTTAGACCTAGTTGCCTGCCTAGTCTATAATATTAAGGTAGCCCTTGCTAAAGGATTAGTCGCCTTTATACTTACCCTAGATATAGCTAGAGCCTTTAATATTATTATGCATAACAGACTGATCTTTAGACTTAAAGAATAAGGGTGGCTTATACTCTTTATCTACTAAGTAGACTCTTTTATAAGCAGCTGTAAAGCGCTAGTCTGCTATAAATACAGCTCTAAGCTATAAAGAATAAGTCTAGAATATAATGCCTTATAAGGCTCCCCTATCTCCTTAATTATCTTTATGCTATACTTCTGCCCTATCTTTAGGATTAATAACCTTAACTCTAGGTTTAGCTATATAGATAATGTTAGCATCCTGGCTATAAGAAAAGATATAAAAAAGACTACTAGAATGCTATAATAAGAACTAGAAGACACCTTAGACTAGGGCTAATAGAATGCAGTATCTTTTAACCTAGATAAGGCTAAACTAGTTTACTTTTACTATACCTAGAAGAAGGTTTACTTTAACTGCATTAACTTTAAAGGCAGGCCTATCCCTCCTTAAGACTTAATTAAATAGCTTAGCATTTACTTAGATCCTAGACTTACTTTTAAGAAATATATAAAGGTTATAACAGGGAAAGCCCTTAAAGCGGCTAACTTCTTAAGGTCTCTTAATAAGATAATTAAAGGCTCCCTACTAGATATAGTCTTTATAGCTGCTAAAGCATGTGTTATTTTAGTTATCTTATATAGGCTGGATATATAGTAGCTAGAAAAGACAAGATAAAGTAGGACAGACCCTTTTAATATTATTAACACTAGTATAGATAACCTAGTAGAAAAAATAGATAAGGCCTTTAAAGCTGCGGCTAGAGCTGTCGTCCTAGTATAAAAAACCACTAATATAGAGATTATATATAAAGAGTTAGGCGTCTTAAAGGCCTCCCTAGCCCTAGCCTAAGTAAGGATTTAAGTTAGAATAAGATTTATATACCTAAACAGAAACCACCTTATAAGCAGAAGGGTAGACAGGAGAATTGCAGGCATCCTAATAACCAGACTCTAGCGCATAACCTTAATAGCAGGCCGCATGGTTAGACTATCCCTCTTTACCTATAATAATAGCGCTGTCCTCCTAGGCCTGGATTTCTGCAGGGCTATAAAAGATAAAGCTGCTAAAAAACACCTTAAACTCCTAGATAGTCTACCTAACTCTACTCTTATAGCCTACTTAAATAGCTTATAGGATAAGCTAGGCAATATAGGATAAGGAGCAGTCACTTTTTATAAAGCCTAGGCCACTAAGGCAAATAGATATCTCCTTAATGCAGAAGTGTATAATGCTAAGGCAGTAAGAGCGTTTAAGGCAGTCAAGCTTGCTAAAGAATAAGTCTAGTCTAACCTAGACATTAAAGAAATTATCCTCTTCCTAGATAACTTAGCGGTTGTTAATAGCATCCTTGGCCCTACTCTAGCATCCTTATAAGGAGCCTATATAGGTCTTAGAAAAATAGCTAAAGAACTCCTACTAAGTATAACCACTAAAGTGGCCTAAGTCCTAGGACATAAGGAAGTATATAGCAATAAAGTAGCAGATAAACTTATAAAGAAAGGGTTAGAGCTTTTAACACTATATACCAGGACTGCTATAATAACCTATATTAAGAGGTAGGCTAAAAGCAAGAGAAAACAGCTCTAGGAGCTAGACTAAGACTAAAACCGACTGCCTTACTATAGACGCTAGTAACTAAACGCTCTTCCTAAACCACTTAAGCTATAACTTCTAAAAGCTATACTTTACAGGCTGTATATAGAGAGATTAGGACATAAAGACTTTATAGAATATTATAAAAGGTTTAGACATAACGCTAGACCTACCTGCAAATGCAGCAAGCCAAGGACATAAGGCCACTTTACAGAATGCAGAATAGTATAACCCTTCCTACTAGAAGTCCTTAAAAAAGACCTTTAGATAGGCATTACCCCCCTTGCCTATCTACTAAGCCCTAATAGACATAAACACTTTTAGACACTAGTAGAGGACACAAGCCCTTACAGCCCTGCCCCTTAAGATACAGATTAACACAAGACTAACATAGATTAACACAAACTTCTCCTTTATTTTATATAACACGTAGCGAACGCAGACTTTAAACCAGCGGCTCCTACCGTCCTATTGCCTAGAAGGGATTTATATAACTAGCTTACTTAGTGGACGTTAATAATAAAACAAATAAACAAAAACAAACACCACGGTGACCTGCCCTCTACTATACTTCCAGAAGGAGAGGCAAGCCTAAAGTTGAAGAGCACGGCACGGTGACCAGAATAGGCAATGTTTGCCGGCTGAATGTCGTTGTGTACAAAGTTCCAAGCAGCCAGATATGCAAGAGCGGAAGAGATGTGAACAAGGATTATCTCGGCATCATCTGGTTGAAGCGAGGACCATTTCCCCCGTGCCAGTGAGGGAGGAAGAAACTCGTAGTATATGGCATACACTCGGGCATCGAAACCCTTGAGCTTCACAATATGTTCCTTGCAAAGCAAATGAGTTGAGGTGATCTTCAGGAGGAATAAACGCCTACTCACGTGGTCCGTATACTGTAGAAGTGTCGTCTCTCGCATCCACAGTCGCCCAATGTGCCAGAGGTCATACCCATGGCTATCAGGGAAAAGAGCTTTGGCAGCGACATCGGCCTTTATGCCTGAATGGGTAGAGATAGCGATGCTCGCGTTCTGGTTTGTCATGAATCTGTACCGTTGCCGGAGCTCATATGGCTCCAGGCCTCCTTTGACCGTGCCCGGGATAGAAGCCATGTATCCATCCTTCAGGTCGAGGACGGAAGTGGGAGCTCGACTGATGATGCGCCGCGGCGGCAAGGCCAGAGCACGGTTGTTGTCGTTGACGCCTGGGGCTAATTGTGATGACTCCGGGGCCAAGGTAATATCAATTTGTAGGGAAGCTTTTGTTTTTTGCCGCTTGACCGATCTCTCTGGGTCTTCAGTGACCTCTGGAGCTCTTCGTTTTCGGACTGGCATATCGGGGTCCTGGGAGATGGGGACGGTGAACTGCCTCTGAAGTACTTGGATGTAAGCAAGGTCATACTCAAGGGCATCATCCCCGCCACCAATGGTTGCTGAAGCCCTCCAGAATCCTTGGCTAAGAATGCAAGGCTGGTCGCGAGCTACTGATATCCTTGCAGGTGGATTATCAGTGTTGGTCAGGAATATCTGCGACCCCTTTACCAAACTCAATTCATGAATCAAAGTACAGTTATTGTTGATCGGGCTGTACATGATCCGGCAGTTGAGCCGATCCAATAGAGTGTCTGGAGGGATTGCCCGGTATGGAAGACGGAATTTAAACGCAGGCTTCTCAGGGACTTGAGTGACGACAAACGGCCTATAGTCGCCAAGTATTGGCTGAAGCGGAGTGACTGCAGAGTCCTCGTCTAGAATGAGGCTGATGGCGGGAGGATATGCGACCACAAGGCGGGCCTCTGGCGTGGAGCGTGATTCTTCTACAAGGGCTTTGGACAGCTCGCCAAGTTCAAATGCACTGAGAGTCTCTGATCTCTTTGATGCGATTGTTGTGTCACGTGGCCCGAGCTGGAGTATGAGCTCTTGAGAGTCGTTGTATATTGTCTGGGTCCGAGTCAGTTCGTCGGTGGCTTGGGCCATTATTGCTCCTGTGAGCCACGGGTAGCTCAATCGGCGGTGGCCGAAGTATGGCAGTCGATGGCTTTGTGACCCCGGTATCTCGATAGTATATTCGATGGCCTGTCTAGCTGGTGCTTCTGATGAGCTACCCACGTATATCTTGGTCGGCGTGAAGTGGTAGGAGTGCGGCGATGGAGCGACGAAGGTAATTTCGTCAATGTCTAAGGTACCTGGTGACGGTATGTGCTTGGTGTATGCGAAAAATCATGTAGAGAGCCACGCAGATAATGCATAATGATTTCAGACGAAGTATATCCAAGCCATTTACTGCCCCATCAATGGGCTGAGCAAGTGTTTTATTGACGCCATGCCGTACAGCCGCTCAAGATATATCCAGCCGTTTATACGTAAACCCACAGGACAGGCTGCAAGAAGCCTCCTCTCAACCCCGGACGCATTTGATCCCGCTCTTGATACACCAAAAGCGTGTACGTCTCCTGTGTAATCAAGGCAGGAGGCCGAGTCCCAGTTGGGGGCGCTGCGTGCATATATCCCGACTGGACTCTTACAAGATGCTTAAAATAACCTTGTGATACATGAGTCCACTCGTATTCTTGTGGCTATGTAAAACTGACTGGATCACGTTGATGAAGAACCGGCGGCTATCTGATCGGATCAAGTTTTAGGCTCGCCCTGAGGCGAGATCGATCTATCACAAGCAACCAGCCTAGGCAAAAGGTCAGGGGTTCGGCCGCGACCCGAGTCTCTCTACCCTCGAGGGAAGCGCCGCAAGGCATAACAGCACGCATCTTCCTCTCCATTGGTTCATCGGCAAGATATAGCCCTTCCAACCATAGGTGTAAAGCGGTCCGAGTCTGGTGGTACATGTGATACGTCCCTGGGCGGCTGACCTCACAGCCAAGGTTGTTAGTCGTCAAGATTGTGGAGGGGGTACTACTGCAGTGTACAAGCCATATTTTGATGTCGAAGGTGGAGCACGGGGGAATGATTGAAAGATGATTCAAGAAAGGGGGCTCCTGCGAAGCCATGGGGGTGATGATGTGGTACTTGGGATCTGCGATGGATGGAGCTGGAAGCAATTGGGAGAAGCTTGTGGAAGAGTTATAGATGTCATGATTGAGCTGGAAAAAGGCCCTCTGAGCTTCTGTCGTACTTTGGCTATAAAGCAGGGCACTATTTGACATAAAGTAGTAACGCCCTCTGCCTTTGAGATAAGAATCCCTTACTGGCTGGATCTCTATACAAATTGTGGCTTTCAGTAACAATTCCATCTGGCCTTTCTTACTCATGACGCGCATTCAAAGTTATCTAGCAATGACAACAATTTCTATTCTTGACGACCAGGAGTCCTCAAATCGCGACTGGAAACCGTCTCGGTCACTTGAAGAGTAGAATCATCCTGTATCTGGCCCAACTGCTCATAAGCCGGCCGCCCCCCCTTGACAACCACAAATCCTGCCGCTGCAGCACTTGTCGAGGACGCATTGGCACCTGGCGCCGCATTGTGGTGCCGAAAGCTGAGCTTCGTCTTGGCTAAATGTTTGGACAGCGGCTCTGCGCCACTTGTCTCAGCATGAGGCACCAGGAGGTCGAGTTCTTCACTTCGTGTCGTCCGCAGTATCGTTGAGAAGGACGATTTGTACGAGTTGGATGATGCTCCTATGCACGCGAGTCCAACGATGACTACTACAAGCGTGGCAAATATGCCGGTGCCGTATGCTGCGTAGAGATTGCGCGGATTGTAGGAATACTCGTTCTGAGAAGTCCATACCGTGACGTTTCCCGTTGTGCTGTTGTCGAGACTCCGCCTACTGATTGTCAGTCATGACTTGTATAGTAATTCGGTTTGAGCCCATCTTGAACGGCCAGCGAGACTCACAGTAGCTCTGGACTGCTAAAGAGACTCAAGGTAATGTTGGAAACGAGTTGCTCCAGGGTCTTTGCCATGGAAAGATTGGTCCCGCTCCCCGATTTCGCTCCCAAGATGCCCGTGTCCCCGAAGCCTCTCTGCAAGTATTGCATGTCGTGGGCTTGCGTGAGGACGGTGGAAAGCACCTGAGTTCGTACCGGCTGAAGAGATCCATACCGCGTCGCCATAATCTTTCCCATCAGAGTGCCGCCTAATGCATCCATGATCGATATATAGGCAACCTGAGGAAGAATATGGTCACCCTGACCGGCCGTTGTGGCACCACTCACAGGGTTGAGCCTTGTCGAGTTGCGAATCTTGATTGCCTGTCTGCCGTTCTCAAACCTCAGATCCACGTGGTATGAGGAATTGTAGAGTCCGCATTCTATCGTTCTATTGGCAAACGTTCCATATGTCGGAAATGCAACGAAAAACCGGCAACGAGCTTGGGTATCTCCACCCATTGCAGCGTTGTCAAGCGTGGCCAAGGTACCGGTCAAGTCCTCACCACCGAAAATGGCCCGTAAACCGCTCAATGTTCTATTCTCCCAATTGATTATGTCGTCGCCGGTCTTGTTGTCTCGCGCCGTCTGAGGGACGAAGCTGAAGTAGGTGACCGCTTGGTTAGCCATTCCCCAGTTTGAGCCATATGCTTCTGTAAAAGTCTTGTCATAGGCGGCATGGAAACTGGAATTGCCGCCCAAAGGGCCACAGGACAGCGAGGGGCCGTAGAAGCTCAAGGCGTATGAACTATTGAGATGCGGTGCCTGTATAGGGAGGATAGTCCCCTGAGAAGCGACAGACGACACCAGCCGGGCGACGGCCACCGAAGGGGCTACATATCCGCCGCCACCTTCGTTTCCCCACTGGGCAAACGGATACGGGCTGGTCGTGTTGATTGTGGGCAAGCGCTCAATATGTGTTGACCGGTTGAGCTGCTGAGACGGCTGGACTGTAAGTGCTGCCGGCGTGAAGACGGCAATGATGGGCAACGCCCTGCTCGTGCGGTGATACAAACACATTAGCCAACACAAACCTGTTGAGCGGTAACGCAATAGACGCACCAGAGTATTCCGGCCATTAACACCAATCCAAATCCCTTTCGCCAGAGTTCTACGGAAAGAAACTCCCAAGCACTGGTCGTCACACTAAACATGGCGTCCACGCCCTCCAACGTTGCATGGCGGGATCGTAGGGTTGTCCAGAGGAGCTGTGTATAAGCGAATCCAGCAGCCGCCGTCAGGCATGTTTTGACGAGAAACGCCATGCCGGTTCCGATTCGGATATTCCATTCTTGCTCGGTGTTGCTCTGCACGATCCGCGAGTCCAGAGATGCGTAGAAGAAGTGGTGGCCGAGGGCGAAAGCTACGCCGCACAGGAGACCGCTGATCATTAAGCTGGGCACAGCCCAGTGTGCCTTGAACAGCGCCATCGTCAAGGGGAATTTGGACGAGTCTTTCCAGAGCCCCGACGAACAAGTGAACTGCGGCAGACGGGAGCTGATTGCGGCATAGGTGCGGGTTTATAAGTCCAGAGAGCTTCTTTGCAACGAGCCGCAGCCGAGCTGCCACTCTATGCAGTGCCGTTCAAGTGCTATATGCGGGTAGCCTCCATAGCATCAACCTTAAGCGCTTCCAGTACCACCATAAGATGTCGGCGGCCAATCAGGGAGTCGGCGCTTGAATCAATGCCTCACAGGAGGATTCACGCTTGTTTGGTCTGAAACATGGCAAGGCTGGGGATGGATCGGTTAGACGAGGCGGTAGCCCAAAAGAACTTGTCGGGTCTGGGACAACCCTCGCGGAGAGCTAAACGGCAGAGGAACGCGGTTGCGGCTCTGCGTAAAGGAACGCTGGTCGAAGTTGGCCACCTACTTACTACTCTGAGGTTGAGCTGAGCAGTCTTGAAGGAACATGAAGCCTGCATGAAGCTCAGTATGGCCTCCACTTGGAAAGTCTGGGGGCGAAAGGCAGCAGCGTTGTATTAGAAGCCTGTCTAACTAACCACTGCAGCTGGGGCGACACAAAAGGGGGCATGGCTGGCACGCCAAAGTTGTCAGCCCCATCCAGGCGCGCGTGAACTATGCCGATCGCCTGGCAGCTTTCTCGAAGGATTGCTCGGTAGTGTCGTGCAGGGGTGTATTGAAGCGAGATGGGGCTGGGAAAGCCAGAAGGCTCCAAGGCGTTGTGACGCCGTCGCTTCATCGCCCCCATCTGTAGAAGGTGTGATATGACACAGAAGAGCATCCATACCCTTTTGATCCTATGGTTTCTGCCATTGCTATCATAGGTTCCGGTTCCAAACCCTTCTCGGCGCTGGAGATTCCCCGTGGTCATCAAGGTCAAGTAATCGCCTTGGGCCCATACACATTTTGTGAAAGGTGATAGCGCCAAGTGTGGTGAAGATCGAATGAGCGATGAGGCTCAAAGTAAGAGTTCCGAGCCACAACACCTGTCAGAGTCTTCGGCTCTCCTAGAGATCGACTCCAGAGTATTTCCATGCTTTCAGGCTGTCTGTGGTAGATACAGGCGTCAAGGGACAAGCTCCTGCTCGTCGCGACGATGTCGTCGAAGGAGGTTATACACGTCAGACCGCGTGATGAGCCTGACATCAGGGTCAGGGTCGTTCTGCAACTGCTTGAGGATCTGCGGCGGTTTGATGCCGCACTTCCAGGCAAAGATGATCTCGGCCGTCTTCTTCGAGAGGCCGTCCTTCCTCAAGCCAGGCGTCGCTCCCGGCTCGAGCGGTGGATGGTTATGCTGGCCGGCGTTGTCGCTGTCCACGCGTTCCGGGCACCACACCTTGACCGGCGCGGCTGTGGCTCCAGCCTTGTTCTCGCACAGCCGGACCTTGATGCGGTAGGGGCAGCCAGTCTTTTGGGTGGTGGTCTTCCTTCGCTTTGACTCGTGCACGTCTCCCTTTGCCCACGAGATGTAGGGCCGGCCTTTGCCGCAGCGCATGATGATTGTGTGGAAATTGTTGGCTCTGGGTCGCTTGGAGTGTATGACGAGGTCGTAGCCGTTGGCCTTCCCGACCTCCTTGACATGCGCAACCGCAGCCTCCCAGGTCTCAAAGGAACGGCTGAAGACGGGGTCCATTGTGGTGTGATTGACTTGCGAATAGCTTCACTTTCAAGTTGCAGCGGGAGAGCCTAAGTAGAGTTGTTGGTTCGTGCAAGTTCAATTGGTCTTGGGCACCAAGTTTGCTAGCAAAATGGGAGAGAAGTGCGACGCGTCTGGCGCCTTGCCGGCTACACTCCGGGTGCCGGCTAACCGGCTGCTGAGTGCCGGCTAACATTTGAAACATGAACCCAGCATCGACGTGGTCGGGCGTATTACCGCTGTGCAAATACAGGCAATTTGATCAGGATGCCCATGACTCTTATAACCCCGTTCTAAATCTAGTCTATATCTCATTCAAAATTGAACCACTGTTGATAGGAGACTTTGCATGTCAAGCTGCTACATGCAGTGACACAACTGACATCTTGAGGATGCTCAAGAATACCGCCTGAGGCACACGCCTACGACTTACAACCCTTGCCCTCCCACGCCCTGACAAGGTCCTCCACCTCCTTCGTCATGTCCACCATGAGCCACTCCTTCTTCGGCTTGACAGTCCTCCCAGGCTGAAAAAACTCCGTCAAGGAATAAATCGTCTGGCCAACCTCGAAGCTGCCCGTCGTATAGCCACCCTCGCCGCCAAGCGTGCTGTCCATGGGTGCCAGTCCCAGATACTCGGCCGTCTTCCAGTTATCTTTGCTCCCAATCACGCGGGTGCCATAAAAGTCGTCAGACCAGAGCACAACCTTGCCGCCGTATTTCGATGGCAACATCAGTCCGTCGCCTCCGCCAGTGTAGTTGGCCGGGAATCCCTCGGGGTGCACGTACGTCGGACGCCCCTCGGGCTCGTTGATGTCAAAGGTCAACAAGCCCGGAGCAACTCGGTCGTTGATGACGATTTTGTTGCCCGACCTGACGATGCCGCCCGAAACAAGCGTGTCGTTGATGCTCTTTGGTTCGTACCATATGCGCGGCGTACCATTCCTGTTGATCTTGATGATGATGGAGCCAAATGTTCCAATCACGTAGGTGTTCCCCTGGTCATCCTCTGCCATGTCTTGGAAACCAGTCACCAGCTTTCCCGTTCGCTTGTGTATCTCGTTCTGAATAGGCACCAGGTCCGTTATCCAGCGGATTCTGCGGGACCTGGTGTCGTATCGAATCACGCTGTTGGGGCCGGTGAAGTTGGCCAGCGCGGCATTCCCAGACGTTGTTGCTACAAAGGCTGTATAGGAAGTGGCGGCGAAGTACATCGATCCCATACCATCATAGTCTATACCAGTGATGGTGTAATCATCGTTGCCGGTGATTCTTGGGATGCTGATCACTTCATATTCGTGACGGTAGGGATCGTAAACAGCAACTGAGGAATTGTAGTAGAGGCTGTTTTTGTCAGATTGAGGTAAGGGACCTGAAGCAGGAGGAAGAGGCAATATCATACCCGAAGTATATCTTGCAGTGCACTGGATCCCAATCCGCGTTCTCCGGATAGAGGTCTGGAATGGATGCATTGAAGGAACCCTGCAGAGGAGGGCATGCTCCTACCACTGCGCCCATCAAACACGCCCAGACGGAAAGGCCTACACTTGGTGTACGCATCGTGAATATGAAGGGAATCAAGACAGTTCAAGAAATTGTTATAAAGTTGCTGGACCAAGTCTATGGTACTCAGGTATATGTAGTAGATACTTGACTTAAATCAATGGTTGGCACTTTTAAACCCAAGGTCGAGTTCTATGACGACCTTTATATGAGCAGACCAACATCATATAAATCCCAAGGCTGTACATTCATAAGAGGTCCGTATGAAGTTGAGCTGCCGGCAACTTCACCGCGGATATTTTATCTCCGGACAGCTCACCGAGGGTTTACAGTCTCTGATAATCATCTGTCAGCGCATTGATATAGGGCTGTGCAACTTACGTTTCTTCAAATTGTCTATAGTTCGTCGTAGGCTTTGGCTAGCTTGGATGCGTTGTCTATTCACAAGTAACCCCTGGCTTGCCTGGCAAGCTCGGTTCAACTTGCCGACCAAGTCACGAAAGGGTTAGGAGTAAGCTGTCATTTGTCACCGCTTATTCACTTTAAGCTCTACTTTGAACCACTAAGCCGTTTTTTACGTGCTTATTCAGGCCTAATTCTCCTACCGTTGTCCGGATCTCAGCAAGTTCGGTAGTCCGAAGAAGGCCGAAAACGTTGGCGCCGGACACGGAAGACACTATCGCATCCGGACTTTAACAGATGTTGGGCTCCGGCGGTGACGCATTACCAACCAGGCAAACTTCCCCGTAACGAGGACAAACCTTAAAAGCCAGTAAATAAGACTGTAGATGTTGTCGACTTCAATGACCCTCTATTCCGATGCTTTGTTCCTTTTCATCAGATGTCCTGCAAAAGTACCCTAGAATCGTGTTACACAACACAATGATATGCGTGTATCCAGAATCTTCTTCCCCTTAATATGAAACGTCTTATTGCTCAGTTGTTGCAAATTCAAGTGTAATTCATGCCATCCTGCTGCCTGGGGAGGTAGTGTGACCAACAGCGGTTGCTCTCTTGTGATTACGTGCTTACACTATCTTCTCTTGCCCGGTACTTAGGAGGTATGCACAGGGCTAATCACTCCTTGCCAGAGAGAGCATGAGCATGAAAATAAATTACATGTGCCAGTTCTTATGCTTAGACGGATAAAGATAGGTGGTGATCCATTCGACACAGGCATAATAACCTAGTGACTATTTACAACCGTATACGGAGCAGAATGGAATAGGCAGCTGCCCAAGGTGGTTATCCAAGATATGTTGTTTATGCTCTGAGAGAAGAGGGGGAAGGGGACGGAGAAATGGGTAGAGGTACGACTGATTGCATATTCAATGCATCTTACTCCAAAGCTTCAGCCACTCACAACCAGATTGAGTGCCTAAACAGCGACACTGCCATGGCTCGAGAAAACAAATGTGCAGCTACTTCCTCGGTAATCATCTCTGCACTGCAATAGAACGTGCTTCAATTACACGATATAGACGTGGGACGTGAATGCCACTGCCCGCTGCAAGTGAATGTCGTGCTTGATATACCTCGGACGAGAGTGGTACCTTAGGTATGATTCCCCAGTTTGTTTCTATTTCAGTTTCGCGAACTCCCTTTGAGTGACCACTGCATTCCAGCCATGAGAACTCGGAGGCAATATGAGCTGTGTTCTAGAACTCTCGAGTATACCGCTCGTTTGGAGAGCGTAGCCCTCAACTCGATAGAAACCGTCCATTATCTCACGGTAAGGTAGTATCTGTGCAACCACCTATAGTGTCTTTGCTCTTTTAGGCTTCGGACGACGGGATGTTCCCCAGGTCATGTCATAAAGTGAGCTGTCAACATGGCTATTGTACAGCAATGCCATTTTTGCCATTTCGGTCCGGTTATTTAGACTCAAAGCACCTTGTATTTATGGTTAATAAATCTCCGCACGATATATCCTCTGTCGTCTGATAACTTGCCAAGCCTACCTCCGCATTAAGGTAGCAGAAGTCGATATCCCTGGTAAGGCGGTTAATCTAGTTCTCTTTGACCATTTATTTCAACATGGCTAATTGCGGTAAAATGATACCATATGGCCGCGTGGGCACAACATCCTGAGAAGGGCTCTGGTGTCTTCACGAAGGTCGATATATCAAACTGTTTCTACCCGGCTGGACAAGGCTAAACTTACTCAGTGCTGTTAGTTATGAGACATTCTGATTTCGGTTTACTATTTCAGCAGAAGGGCTGCAGTCACATTTCAAGTATACCCGAGCCGGCTGAATACGGAGGTTTACAGAGCTGAATGTAATGGATTATTTGCCAACTACACGTTCCTGTTGGATATTTCAATCACAATCACACATATGATTTTTAGATATAAAATGGCTCGGTCTTGGAGAGCCATATAGCTCTACTAGTTGCCAAAAAGCCAGCGGACAAGCTGCCTGGCAAGCCATTTCCTGAACAACAAATTATATTCCCTAGGAAGCCAAATCACATCAACCCTTTCCAACAATATCCCAACTCTAACTCACAGTTGCTCAAGCAAACCACCCAAAATGAAAGCAACCCTCATCCTCTGCCTCATCGCCCCCCTGGCAGCCGCCCTCCCCACCCAAACGGAATCCCTCCCCCTAGACCCCGACCTCGCCGCCCGCCGCGCCAACATCACCGAGCGCACTCCCGACCTCTGGGACCGCCAAGCCCCCCAGAGCATCGACCAGCTCATCAAGCGGCGCGGCAAGGTCTACTTCGGCACCGCCACCGACCGCGGCCTCCTCCAGCGCGAAAAGAACGCGGCCATCATCCAGTCCAACCTCGGCCAGGTGACGCCCGAGAACAGCATGAAGTGGCAGTCGCTCGAGAACAACCAGGGCCAGTACAACTGGGGCGACGCGGACTACCTCGTCAGCTTTGCGCAGCAGAACGGCAAGTCGATACGCGGACACACGCTCATCTGGCATTCGCAGCTGCCTGCGTGGGTGAACAACATCAACAATGCGGATACGTTGCGTCAAGTCATCCGTACGCATGTTACGACTGTCGTTGGGCGGTACAAGGGCAAGATTCGTGCTTGGGTAAGCTTTTTGGAAACTTGCCCCTTCTTGACTTCGCTCCTCTCTAAATCACGAACTCGGCGCATATATAACAACTGATATATCCAGCATGGGGCAGCTGACCGGTGTGATGTGCAATAGGACGTGGTCAACGAAATCTTCAACGAGGATGGAACACTGCGTTCTTCTGTCTTTTCCAGGCTCCTGGGCGAGGAGTTTGTGTCGATTGCCTTCCGTGCTGCTCGGGAGGCTGACCCTTCTGCCCGCCTCTACATCAACGACTACAATCTCGATCGTGCGAACATCAGCAAGGTCAACTTGATGAGATATTACGTCGACAAGTGGATCTCTCAAGGAGTGCCCATCGACGGCATTGGTTAGCCAACCCCCAAACGTCCCCTTTAGACGCTGTTCCTAGGAGTTAAGGCTCGAAGTTATTCAAATCTGACATGAGTGGCCATCTACAGGAAGCCAATCCCACCTAAGCCCTGGAGGAGGTGCCGGTACACTGGGTGCGCTTCAGCAGCTCGCCACGGCACCCGTCACCGAGCTGGCCATTACCGAGCTTGACATCCAAAACGCACCGACGACTGATTACACGCAAGTTGTCCAGGCATGCCTGAGCGTTTCCAAGTGTGTCGGCATCACTGTTTGGGGCATCAGTGACAAGGTGAGTGCTTGATACATGTATTTTGCTATAAAACTGTGAACAGAGAAACTGATGCGTGTATGGTTAGGATTCGTGGCGTGCTAGCACCAACCCTCTCTTGTTCGATGCCAACTTCAACCCCAAGCCGGCATACAACAGCATTGTTAGCATCTTACAGTAGATTTTCTGTTGCATGAGGGTAGCAAGGACAGATATATCTCGCAAGCCCGGTATATGATAAGTATTGTTCCGGATAGGTATGCAATGTCAGTCCTATAGCACAGCCTTGAAAATTCAGAAGCTCGTTGTTTGCATTCGTGACTCGTTACCAAGCATCATTACGTTTGGAGGTCCTCATAGAAGCAGAAAAGTCATGACCTCCTATGACAGCGCGAGCTGCCACCCCCGTCGTCGAACAATATCCCTCCAATCCACCCTCTCCAAGCCATTCGATCCACCCCTTTTCTCCCAAACCTCTTCCAAAACCTCCCTACAAGCATTAACATTCCGAAACCTCCTCCACCTGTTCATACTGTAGAGTCGATTTCTGATACGCTCGATATGCGACGCATCTCCCGCCTCGCCCCCCGCAATGAAAAGAGGGAAAAGCAACGAGCACTCCGCCAGAGACCCCTCGGGCACCTTTTCCGCGCCATCGCACACCGAGTCGATGTACGCCCATATGCCCTCCGGAAGAATCTCGGCCGCGCGCTGCGGGAAATACTGGCGTACGACGCGGTCGAGGTATATGAGGCTTGCGCTCCGATATGTTTCGCTAAGCAAGGCGAGCGGCTCGTCGGCGGTATACGCCGGGCATTTCCATTCTCGGAGGCTGATGGCGATGCTGTGAGCCCTTTGAAGCGGCGTGTGGCAGTTGCAGTCCAAGGGCGATTCTTCAAGAATGAGCGCGAGATCGCCTTGTTCCAGGGTCAGGTCGCCGCTGAGGGAGGCCTTGTAGTCCGCGCAGTCTGCGTTCAAGACGCTGATTTCAGATATCAAGAGCATGATCTTGGACGCAAAGGCAAAGTATGGATCAGCCATGGTATCATCTCCAGACATCCAGTAATCACCCGTGATCAAAGGCCTCCTGTCCAGCGACACGCTCATCAAGATGTCGTGATACGCAAAGTTCCTCACCAGCCACTTCCGCTCAACAGACCTGAGCCAGTAGTCGCTCACAACAGAAGAAGACGGCGACGTTTGCAGCGGGCCAGCGATCAGATCAGAACTCTTGGACTGCAAGACGGCTGCGGCGCCGGACAGGTGGTGTGACCAGCTGCTGCTGGTTGCATCCGAGATGGTCTCCATCGAGCACATGGCCATGGCTACGGCCAGGCACATTTCCCCGGAGAGGCTGCCCTCTTGAAGGGCGGCACTGAGGTTCGCAAGCACCCGCCCGCGGTACTGAAGGGACGTGCCGTGGAAGCTGGGGTCCCGAAGGGCGAGATGGGCCGATGACCATGCGGCCATTGCGTCAAGGAGGGCAGGGCAGTCGAATGCCATTGGCAACAAGACTAGGTAGTTCGGATAGAGGTAAGCAGCAGGTCTATGCATACCTTTTATCTTGAAGACAGCAGCCGAATTAAGCTTACCTGATAAGAAACAGTTGTTCTCTGCGGTTGCTGACAGCATAATAGCCAAAGTAGACGTGTAATACCGCATCATGGTCCTCCTACTGGAGCTCCAATCACAGCCAACACCATCGTCAGGACGAACCACGTCCAGAGGCTCAGCAATCTTTGTCAGCCGCAACAACTCAGAGCCATGATCTCCCTGTGCAATGACGAGGTGCTGCTGCGACGATCTGCCCCAGTAAGGCTGTTCTGTCCGAGAACCCGAAACCCCGGAAGCCTTCTCCTCCACGGCATCCTCGCCCCAGGCACCGGCACTCGACGACAGCTGCCGCGGCTTCTCGTGCTTGCAGACCAGGTTCAGCCGCGAGCAGTGGCCGCATATGGGCAGGCCCTGGTCGCACTTCTTCTTGCGCTGCCGACAGGTCAAGCAGCCGCGGCGCTGTCGCGTGTAGCCCCCCTTTTTGGCCGACCTGCGCTGCTGCGGCTGTGGAGTTGCTGTTGGTGAGGAGGGTTGGAGCGAGGCGGCCAGAGTGGACATGGCGACTCTATGTCGGGGGGGCGACAACGGGCGTCACTGGCGGCAAGGGGATTCGGAAAGTGGAACGCTGTGTGATTCGATGTACTTGTTGCGCGCGTATAGATGAGATGAGATGCTCAGAGAGAAGTCAAGTTGGTTGGTATGTTGTAAGAGAGCGGAGATCGGGGTCTCAAGGGAGTAGTAGTTCATGCACAGCGTCAAAGGCGGAGCGAGGTTGCTATCTTGCTTACCCCGATAGTCCAAGCAGTCTAGTACATGGTTGAAGATAGTGATTGGGCGTCTATTGGCTGACAAGGCGGAGCGAGTCATGAGCAGCTGTGGGCCAAGAGCGTGGGGGAGCGAGAAAACATGGGGAAATCCGGGAATACTACCTAGTAGTTATCAACTGCTTGCAAAGAGGGTCAAACCATCATGTTCATAGTCTCTGGGGAGAAGAGACACTGACAAGTCTTGATGGGCTTGATGATGCACTACATGTATTATCCATAACAAACAAGGGAAAAGATTTTACCAGAATATCCGCCTATAGGTAGGTAGGTAGTTACAAATCCTAATGCACAGACTCGCCTCCGTAACTCTCCAACCGAGGCCCGGTAAACGTCTTTCGCAGGTTCACAACCCACGCAACCGTAGTAACGACCAGCCCAACCGCCATGACCACAATCAGATAGTTCATGGAGCTGCCAGTGACGGGATAGCCCACGGGAAAGCAGAAGCAGATGGAGAAGAAAATGACAAATATCGTGGCCACGGCATTGATAATGTAGCCAAACTTGCCCAGAGAAAAGGCTCGCTCGGGAAGAATGCCGCGGCCCCGGAACAAGACGGCAGCCTGAGGCAAGGCCACCGTGATGTTGAGCGCAAACAGATTCAGATTGATGAAGCTGCTGTATGCCGTCGACGACGCAACATACAGCACGCCAACGATAATCTGCAGGACCAGCATGACAGCCGTGGCGCGCACAGGGTTGGCCCTGCTGAGGCGAGAGATGAAGTCCGAGTAGGGCACGCCGCCGTCTCGGGAAAGCGACCAGATGGTCCGCCCAGAGAAGATGAAGAGGTTGAGAACAATGTCGTAGAACATGACCATGTAGTACACGGCCCAGATGGTCGTGGCCACCTTGGAGTTGAGCGCCTGGTTGTACACCTCGAGGATCGGAACGCCGGACTCGATGAGCGCCTGGAGATCGGTAATGACAAACATGAGCGCAATGTTCCAGACGACCACCGTGACGACGCCCAGGACCATGGTGGTGATGATGGCAATGGGCACGTTCCGACTCGGGTTCGCCACCTCTTCGGAGACGTGCGTCGGGGCGTCGACGCCGCTGTACGCCCAGAGGCAGCCGGTGATGCCGATGAAGATGGCCCATCCGTCGGGCCAGCCGCTGACGTTCTGGTAGTTGCGAAAGACAAAGTCCGACGACTGCTTGACTTCCTGGACGGTGAGCAGGGTGACCAGCGAGGCCACGAAGCCGGTGAGCGAGAGCACCGTGATCACCACGCCCAGCTTGCCGACGGCCGTCGGGAAACGGGCCGTGACCAGGAACGCGATGATGCAGAGCAGGACGTGCAGTAGATAGGTGTGCCAGGCCTGTACCTCGTAGCCCTCGTTCCACAGGTTGACAACGTCGAGGATGGACCCCGCGACGAAGAGGTTGCACGACACCAGTCCAGCCATGATGTAGATGATGCTGGTCCATCCGGTGAAGAAGGCGGCGATTCGGCGTGTCGATGGCGGAAACGTCTTGTAGACGATGTGGTACTGGCCACCGGCAGAGGGAAACGCGGAAGCAAGCTCAGCAAAGCCGACGTTGATAATGGTCATGACAACGGCCGCAGCAATGAGGCCGTATATGATGCCCGGGCCACCGCCGCATGCCAGAGGGACGGCAACACCAGAGGCGAATGCCACCCACGAGTTCATCGTGGTGAAGCCAAAGGCAACGACAGAGAGGAGGCTGAATCTCTTTTCGAGGCGTTGCACGGGATGCACTGGTGGCTTGTTGTCTTCCCCATGCGACTGGGAGATGGACACCGAAGGCGGAGTCTCAGACTTCATGTTGGAAGCCATCGTGAAGAACGTTCTTGGCCACTGGGTGTTGATGATGGTTAGAAGTGAATATGGAGATGAAAGGACGAGGGATGGCGAGGCATGCTACGACCAGCAATGGCCGTACTTGGGAGGGCGATCTGCGAGAAGGGCCATCCTATAACGTCGTGTTGCGGAGATGTAGAGATATATACTACATGGACTCTTCTGGGGTATCAAGGCTCTGGGTAACATTTGATGCTTCGCTTCGAGGGTTGATCTTCTCAATACGACGTACTGATAAAGACGCGGCATGAACCCGGCGGTGGGTCAAACTATGCGAACCGGCTTTGTACCATGTCTGGCCGATCTCGGGCTTTATCGTGAAGAAGCTATTATTCCCCAGATAAACAATCCCGCCCTTGACGCCGAGTGTGGGGGAGTGAGGGGGAGGCGCAACCAGGAACGAACACACAAGAGCAGCCGTATATAATAAGAGCTGAGCAAAGACCAAAAAGGGCGAGCATGGCCGTTTCTGTCACATCTTCGCTTGCAGGCATTCATGCGCAAGCCTTATCTCGAGAATGAAGTTTATCTCGTGGATACACCTCCTCCTGTCCTTGACCGGCTCGGGCCATGCCTGCGGCGGACACGGCGGCGAAAAGGAATGGAGTAGCGAGGAACTGGCCGAGTTGGAGGCGAAATGGGGCCATGAGGTGTGTGTAAACCCACATTGATCTTTTGCTCTCGAACTTCTCATGGTAACAACATAAACCACAAATTGCAGTGGGCGTTCAACGGCATAGGCTCGTTTGCGCACTTGGACTACGTCAAATGCCTCACCAACCCTCAAGAGAAATACGACATTGCCATCATCGGGGCGCCCTTTGACAATGCCGTCTCGTTCAGACCAGGTGAATTATTCACTTTCTCACCTTCACTCAAAAACTACCCGAGAAAACTCTCTTGCTGATAGCGTACTTTTGCAAAGGCGCCCGATTCGGCCCCAGAGCCATCAGACAGGCCTCCTCCCGACAAACGTCACTGCGCGCCTTCAATCCCCGCGCCAACATCAACCCGTACCAGAACTGGGCCAAGATTGTCGACTGCGGCGACATCCCCATCACGCCCTTTGACAACAACATCGCGGCAGAGCAGATGACGCAGGCGTTCAAGCACCTCGGCAGAGCGAACCCCGTGAGCTCGCTGAGTCAAGGCAGGCCCAAGATCATCACCCTGGGTGGTGACCATAGCTTGGCGCTGCCTGCGTTGAGGGCCTTGACTGAGATTCATGGTGGACCAGTTCGTGTGCTTCACTTTGACGGTATGTCTGCTTCCAAGCCAGTTTCGCGCAGATGAGAGAACGGAAGAAAAAGCTAAAGCGACATCAAATATCAGCTCACCTGGACACCTGGGATCCTGCTGCATACCCATCTGCCTGGGGCTCAACACAATTCACCCACGGTTCCATGTTCTGGATAGCCAACAAGGAAGGTCTGCTATCGAATTCGTCAACCGGCCAATCCGTCCACGCCGGTCTGCGTACCCGCCTCAGCGGCACCGACTGGGCCGATCACGAATCCGATACCGCCCAGAACTGGGTTCGCTTCTCCGCCGATGACATTGACGATATCGGCACCAAGGGCATCATCGATGGCATCATGTCGGTGCTGGGGACGGAGGATCCGGTGTACTTGTCTGTGGACATTGATGTGCTGGACGTTGCTTTTGCACCGGGCACTGGCACCCCTGAGCCCGGTGGCTGGACCACCAGAGAGCTCATCAGGATCTTGAGGGGTATCGAGGGCTTGAATATTGTTGGTGCTGATGTGGTGGAGGTGAGTCCGGCTTACCAGGGAAGAGGCGAGGAGACGGCGTTGGCGGCGGCACAGGTCGTGTATGAGATTTTGAGCTCCATTGTGAAGAAGGGGTTGGAGAACGGACCGAAAGAGAAGGCAGGGAACACAAAAGATGAGCTGTGATGGAAGCGGATAACACTGTATAAGAATGTAGTAAACCTAGGCCAGGCCTCACCTTGTATTATAGTTATAGAAGAAAAACTTGCTGGCCAGTATGCCGGTCTCGACTGATGAGCATCAATACCATGACATGTAACATAGGTATACATGGCAAGGCACCTCCTTGCCTGCCCGACTCTGGTGTGAAATTATTCAAGATGACATTACAAACGCTTTATTCTCTCTTATATACGAGGTATTATATCCCCATATGTATACTTATACCGTATTCTATTCGAACCCTATACCCCCTTCCAAACACCTTTTTTACCCCATTAAGCAACCAAGGTTTCAATCTATTAGTTCTCCTTCAACAATTCCTCCAGCTCCTCCATCTCTCCACTGTGGTATATCATGTCATAAAACAAGCCTTTCGAATGGTATAAATCTCGCGGAGAACCATATCTATAATTCTCAGTCAGCAAGCAAATCTCCACATATCAGGAGCACAATAACTTACTCTACTACTTTGCCAGCACCCATCACAACAACCGAATCATAATCGATAATGGTCCGCAAGCGGTGCGCAATCGTCACGAGCGTACGGTCCCCGCCTGCAGATTCAAGCTCATTGCGGAGCACCTGCTGGATGCCCTTGTCCGTTTCATAGTCCATGCTCGCGGTGGCCTCGTCCAGCAGCATCAGCTTGCTCTGGCGGATGAGCGCGCGGCAGAGCGACAGGACCTGGCGCTGTCCGTGCGAAAAGTTCTCTCCGCGGGCGTCCACTGGCGTTGATAGAGAAATGCCCTGGGATTGCCCGCGGACGGAGCCATCGTCTGAACCGTCGACAATGGTCTCGTCGGAGGAATCGTCGCTAGAAAACGACGCAATGCCCTTGCAATTCTCCAGCGCCTTTTCGAGGATAGCCTTTGGAACGCGCCCAGTAGGGTCAAGGTTGGACTCCACGGTTCCGTTGAACAGGGTCGCTTCCTGGGGAATGATGGTGAGGCTCTCGCGCAATCTGCGCCGGGGCACCTTGGTAATGTCGATTCCGTCGTATAAAATCTGCCCAGAGACAATGTGCGTAAACCGTAGGAGAGACAAGACCAGAGTGCTCTTGCCGGAGCCCGTCCGTCCCACGACCGCGACTCGCTCTCCGGCTTTGAACTTGAGGTTGACGTCGGTGAGAATATTGGGTCCATCAGGGTCATACCGAATGGTGACGTTGCGGAACTCAATCTCGCCTGACCTGGGCCAGTTCCTGGGGATGACATGGCTCTCGTCGTCCGCAAACTGCCCTTCTTCGGGGAAAGTGACATCGTCTTTCCCCTCGGGCTCCAGCTTGACGTATTCCTTGACACGGTGGAAGCTCTGCATCTCTACCTCGAGATCGTTCATGGCCCGCACAAGCATGAGAATGGTCTGACTCAGTCCGTTGGCATTGTTCAGCGAAAAACCAACCAGACCGGCGCCGACGATTCCGACCTTGGAGAGCGCAATGATGCCAGCAAATAGAGCGACCAGGGAAGTCACAAAGTCCACCCTCATGGCCACCCAACGGTTGCAATTATAGTTGGCCTCGGCCGCCGCCGACCACACGCGCAACTTGGCCGCCAGATCATGGCCAAAGGTCTCGCTCATGCCCGCCCTGGCCCTGATAATGGGCAGCCCAGCCAAGGTGTCGGCAAACTGGGAGAAGACGGGGGACTGCGCGGACGAAGCCAGCCTCTTGATGATGACGGCCGTCCGCGTGTACATTTCTCCAACCACGACGCCAAAGATGCAGGTGAAGAAGGCGGGTATCATGAAAATTGGCATGATCGAGCTGACGGCGGCGATGCGGGCAAACAGCATCATGATGGAGTCAAACGTTACCCGGAGCATGGAGCTGAGCCCCGAATCAATCGAGGCCATGTCGCCAGAGAAGCGGTTGGTGATGCGGCCGATGGGGATCGTCTTGAACCACGACAGCGGCACCCTCATGACCGCCCTGATAAAGTCGTTGTGAAGCTTGCGGCCCGCACGCCACGCGCCCCATTCGAAGGCGATGATGACGATGCCAAAGGAGATGATCTCGGCAAAGGTAAAGGCGGCGTATATACCCATGTAGTAGGCAATGTCCACATGAGCGTTGTTGTTGTAGGCTTCTACCCAGATACCCATCCAGTAGCTAGACGCAAAGAAGAAGACGTTGGAGCCGGCGAGGCCAACCAGACAAAAGACGGCAAAGAGCGGATGCCCAAAGTACCGCATGTACTCCAGGGACGCCAATCGGCCAACCCTGCCCGACGCCTTCATTTCCTGGTTGACGATATCCTGCGCCGAGGTTTCGGTAGCCACCTTTGCCGGATCGTTCAGAGCATCCCCACTGGATTGCAGTTCAGGCTCCGGAGGCGTTTCCGTCCCGACTTGGGTTTCGCTCTCAATGTCGTCGTCGTCTCCTCCCAGGATTTCCGCAATCTGAATTGGTCTACGGACTGCACCAATGTTGTGTTCGGCGCTCTTGACCTGCCCTCTGTCGAGTAAGACGGAAAAGTCTGCCTGCGCTGAGATCCAAGGAACTTGGGTAACGAGAACGACGGTCCTGCCTTTGAGCAGATCGCTGCAGAAGCAGTGTTTCCAAACTCCAGCCGAGGTCTTGGCATCGAGAGCAGAGAAGATGTCGTCCAGCAGCAGAAGAGATGCCGTTGAGTATAGAGCCCTGGCCAGAGCAACTCTGGCTTTTTGCCCCCCAGACAGGGACGTACCGTTCTCGCCTACGACGGTCTGGTCGCCGTCAGACAGCTCCTTGAGGTCGATATTGAGGCAGCAGGCTTCAATCACCCTGTCGTATCGGGCGCGGTCCATGGGGGCTTGGAAGAGAATGTTGGCTTGGATGGTATCATTCTGGAGCCAAGCAGACTGTGAGGCGAATGCAATGTCACTGGGTGCAGTAACCTTGCCCCCTTCCAGATGCGTCTCGCCCAGGATTGCAAGCAGAAGGGTACTCTTCCCGCTGCCGCTCTGACCAGTAATGACGTTGAGGCCGCCTTCGACGAAATCCAGTGAGATGTCCTCGAGGCGGAATGTGGCCTTTTTGTTTCGTCGGAACGAAGCGCCTTCAATCCTCAGGGGCCCGACTGGGTACCGGATAAGGGGCACGGTGCTATCAAAGTACTTGTCGAGCCGGTTGAAGGCGACGCTCGCGGCAGCAAAGTTCCTCGAGAATGCACTGGCCATCATGATGTTTCTACGGATGTTCTTCACGAGGAAGGCAGCAGTAAAGGCGGTGGAAGCGTCAAGGGGATGTTTTTCTACCCCGACGTGCAGTGCAAACATGACGAGCAGGCCAATGTACGGAAAGCACTGCGTGACTTGGTTGACCATGGTCTGCAGGACAGCCACCCGCCAGAGCTCCTTTTGTTCAGCCGCCCTGGCCTCGATGATTCGGTTGGTGATGGGGTCCTCCCAAGCAAAGTATTTGATGGCGCGGATGGAAGCTAGATATTCAGCAACAAGAGAAATGCGCGTATCTTGGGCTTTCCTCACTCGCCTTTGTGCGCCGTACATCCGACGGCCCATGTACACGGAGATTGGGGTCGCCAACAGCAGGATAGCCGTCCCTACGAGGGAAACCCAGCCCATCATCTTGTACAGGCCAAAGAGGGAGATGATGGTGCCGGCCGGCACGCCCGCAGAGACCAAGATGACATCTCGCGCTCGGTAGACGGCATCCACGTCGGCAGCCATCAAATTCGCGAGGCGTCCGGCAGAGGTCGATTTCTGGGCGCCCTGGGCCTCCTTCTCCTTGCTTGCATTCCCGCCCTTTGTGTCAAAGGGATCCTCCTCCAGCTCCATCGAAGCCAGAGCCCTATGATACAGCTCTTGGGTCATGGCGGACTTGACCCGAACGATCAGACGAGTGGAGTTGAAGACGTATTGCTGGAACAAGACGGACCGGGACAGGGGGCCGACGAACATGAGAATAAGCCAGACAACCGGGTGATACTGCGCAGCGCTGGGATTGGCGATGTAGTCGAGCAGGCGATACATGCCGTACGGGGAGACGTTTTCCAAGGTGAAAGCAGCCGCGGCCCAGGTGGCCATCAGCGCTAACTCTTTGCGCTGAAACTTCAAGGCTGTCCACAGCGTCTTTTTGTATACGGCACGAGCTTTTTGAATTCTCTGAAGTAGATACATGGGTTCGTCGTACCAAGCGAGCGTCGGAATGCCAGACATGTCAAGCTTCCGTCTGGTGCCCTTCCACACGAGAGGCGTCAGCCACTCATAGGTGAAGTAGTAGTTGAACCAGCTGCAAGTCTCCTCAGGGGCGGGTTCGTTTTGCTCAGTGTAGCCTGGAATTTCATGTTTGACGGTTGGCGGAACCCACTCTCGCGGGGTGATCAAGGCGACCACGACAGCTGCGCCCAGCGACGACATGAAGCCAACGACACCGACATCTCTAATACACTGGTCGGTGTCGATTTGGATGCAAGGGAGTAGCTGTGCAGCCATGAGAACGAAGAACGTGGCGGTGACAACATAGTTGATTTGGTGAAGAACCAGATGGCGCCAAATGAGATCGTTACTGAGGGGGCGGATCAAGCCGAGGACAAAGGCGTAAGCAACAGCAAGGACGTTGAGCAGATGCACCCGCCCCTGAACCAGAGCCACGGTCAGAAAAACCAGCGAGGCGATGCGGGCGGCCTGTGACGCGACTTCATAGGGCCACTTGATGGAAGATGCCTTGGACCTTGTGGCAGGCACAGAGGTCTTGCGATGCCGAATAAGACGAAAAGTCAGCCAAGCCGCCGAAGTGGCGAGGATCGCACCCTGAAGAATACCAGACCGAGCAAACTCAGAGACGACGCCTATCCATTCGGTCTCGGAGGACTCGATGCCGAGGCTGGCAAGGCGGATGCCTATACGTTAGCAAAAAGATATCAGATGCATGCAATGGAGTATCGTGTTTTGGATGTCACTCATCGCGCAATTCGGGAGGCGCAACGCCATTGTGCCACAGATGATGTATGCTGACAGCCTTTCAATGCAGAGAGAAACGTACCGACTTAGAAGCGCGGCAGGCTCCCAAAACCGCAGCTCGTCTGTGGTTGGTGAGAGCAGCTGGCTGCCAAGGCGGGATAAAACGACGTCCATGATGCCGTCATCCAACGAATCGCCCTCGCTGGAGGGACGGACAGTTGAAGATGTTGTTGAAGGAGAGAAGTGCTTCAGGTGAAGTGCAAATCGATCAGTGTAAAACTAGCCCGCGGCGAGTGGGCCTCACCCACAGTTGGACGGTAAAGCCGCCTAATCGCCCTTTGACCCCTGCGACAGGCCCGTTGCATCGCCTCTTGTAGGCTTTGCTTTGCCTTGCAAGTTCCTCCAAGGCGCTGAGAGGGCGTCGGAATCCCTGCCGGCGAACTGCAAGCTGCACCGCGGCTGCAAAAATCCCTGCGCTAGCACCCCCCACAGGTTGACCGATATGGGGAATGGGCTTGTTCGTGCTTCGTATCTTCCAAAGCAGAGAGTCTTGCGAATAAAGGGGTCCTATGAGAAGGCGGACAGCTGAAGCTCTGCTCTCACCGGTTCTTGAAGACGGAGCACTCGGCCCCTGCGATGTACACGTCGGCGTTGGTACATGCACTGTTGCTAGAAGCATGCATGTATGTCCTTGATATGCCTGGGAGATGCGGTCAACGAGGTTCAGATATGAAAGACTTGCGAAGCGGCATGTCTCGTACAAGTGCCATCTTTGACCAGCGGCTAAATGCCAGTTTTGACGCTCCCGAACGCTCGTGAAGCGCTGGCACTGATTGGGTGGCGAGCAGGACGGCGAACTTCGGCGCCGGTGGCCTCTACACGCACGGCTCAAGCGGCAGCGGCAGAGCTGCAGCCACCGGAGGACTAAAAAGGCGAGCTCGGCCGGTCCAATTGCGCGTCATCTGTTGATCGCAGGCTAGGCAGCTGCCTTGACTTGGTTTTGCGAAAACCTGTCTGTTGATACCACCGTGAATCAAACGAACAGCCAGCATGGGTAGATAATCAGACGTCGAAACAACAGGCTCCAAGTCGGCATACCGCATCTTGAGCCGGGCGGTCGGCAAGGGAGAGAGCAAGGTAGCAGTCCCGAGAAGTCGAGCCCCTGGCTAGCCCATGTCGTCCTACAAGGCCTCTATCGCGTGCTCGGGAATCTGGTGTTTGCCGGCGATTTCAGTAGGTGGCTTCCGCGGAGTGGCACTTGTTGGGTCACGATCGGTCAACTCTTAATCAAGCCAAGAGGGTGAAATCGCAACACCACCATCAGGCCCTGCGCCCTACGACGACGCATGAGTGCTGGCAAGGCTACCACCAACCAACACACTCACACTTGACCACATGTTCACACTTGACCACCATTGCAACGTGTACTCCAGAATAGCCCAGGATGCCGTCCTCGCCAATGTAGCGACGGAACACGGCTGCGATCCTGGCATCTAAGCCTCATTCAGTCCCCGCAGTGAACCACGATCCTGTTTGGCGGCAGCAGATGGCAACTTGGACAAACATAGCATGTCCAAGTCACTTGGTACCAAAGACGTAACAATTGGATTCGCAGAGGCATGTGAGAAAGATGAGTGACGATGAAAGAGTTGAAAAGTTCTGGTCTGACCCAGATGAACTCGGGGTCACGCAAGATGTACTTTTTGGCTGTACCTGTCCTCCAGAGCACAAGGCAGGTGCAAAGGCCAAAAAAACCACAACGCACCGCCTTCCAAGAACCACTGATTCTCTAAATCAGATTAACCAAGATCCTGTAGCACATGCATTTCCATCAAACCTCACGCATCGCCATCATCCTTCTCAGCCTACAGCCCAAACCATTCAACAATCGTTCACTCTGCAGAGGCCTTTATAGGGCAAGCTAAATTCGCGCCTTGCATGAAGCCACAGTTCTTCCAAACAGGCAAATCGGCGTGCTGGCGCAATGGTAGCGCGCAGACCTCCTAAGTCTGAGGCTCAGGGTTCGAGTCCCTGGTACGTCGACGTGTGCAATCGTCTTTTTTTATTTTATCTTTTTTTTTTTGGCCGCCATCTCGCGATGAGTCTTGACTGCTTTCTTTGCTTTTCAATCAACTTTTTGCTGTTCGCGTCTAGCACAGCTGCTTGCCTCAAGAAATCAAGCAGTCGTTATAGGAAGTTCCTGTATATCCATCTCTTCCATTCCCATGCACTGCCATTCCTCCAACTCGCACACACAACACCTTGCACTCTCCACATCATCTCACGATCCCCTCACCCTCGCCCTCACCATCACCACCCTGCTCTAAAACACTCGGATCATACGCCATACACACCGCCGTCGCATAATCACCATCATGACTGATCGAAATCATCGCACTCGCATCCTCCGCATCCCCCTCGCCGCCCTTGATCCGCGCCACGGGCGGTCCACTGCCCAGACGCTCCTCCTGCCTCCCGCGCCGCTCAATCACAACGTCGTGAAAGGTGAGCCGCCGATGAGAGTGGGCTTTGATGGCTGCTTCCTTTGCGGCGAACCTATTGAAATGCACAATACACATTAGCCTCCACCCTGCTTACATGTCCCATCTCATGAAATCTCTACAAATTGAGAATCTACACCGCCAAGGTAAAAAAGAAAACAGTACAAAATCATATATCGTCGTTCCTTACCTCCCAGCAACAAACGAAGCAGCCGCCCACCTCTCCGGATCCCTCCGAGCAATCTCCTCGCTGCTCCCAAGATTCTTCTTCATTCCGGATTGTCTTCCCAATGCCTCCTCATCCCCAAAGGCATTGCCGAGCGGGGGACGATGATCGAGACATTGCAGCCGCTCATCTTTCCTCGCTTGTTCTTCCGGAGAAAAGATGCGGTCCACAAACCGCGGGCCCCGGGAGCTCCTCAGGATCGCATAGATGCGAGATATCCGGCAAATGTCCGTCCCAATGTTGAGCGGGAAGGGAAACGGCCTGAGAGGCTTCATCTGCTGCTGCACGGCATGGACGAGGCGACGAGATGTGAAGACGCAACCAGCTGCAGGGACGGATCATGGCAGCCAATCGAGATACAGTGTGCAATCGAGATACAGTGCAAACGAGGTGTTTGCTCTACGGCCACGCCGAGGGGTGGCTCCAAGGGCTTATCGATAGCGGTGGCCAAAGCCGCGCCTCGCCGACGTCATCAATCGGTCAAGCCAAGACACGAGCAGAGCAACTTCGAGCAGGATCAGCTTCAAGCTTGTCTGCACGGAACAAAAAGGTCCTATCTGGTGACAGAACGGGCCTGCATGCATCAATTTGTGTATTTGTATGTATCGTGTAACCGAACCACAGACGGGGGAGTACAAAAGACTATACTAGGGAATTACGAGTGCAACAACAATGAAGAGCAACAACACGGAAACGACGCCCAGATCCCTCCCCTACCGACTGCGAACGAAACATGGCGAGGATTCACAGCGTCTGCGGTGCGACTTAGGCTCCCACGCCATGGCCATTGATGTCGCGAATGAATTCTTTTGGTGTCTTGGCAAACAAGCTTTTCGGGTGATTCTGTCAGTCGTGAAACAAGCGTCCCCCCTCACCGCCTCGAGACCGTGTCTGTGTCTGGATCGGGCCAATTGACAAGGGAATGGCGATATGCCTGTTTGGAAAAGCTTAGGCCCCCTCGTTGAGGAGAGGCGCGCGCTCCTGGTCGGCGGCGGTGGTGCGCCTCCAGCGGAACTCCCTGCCCGACATGGCCGGCACCGCGACGGTGAGCGTCATGATGAAGAGGATGGCCATGATGATGAAGGCAAAGATCCACTGGAAGGCAACGACCTGGCGCTTGAACTGGGCGACGCCAATGGCCGCGGAGAGGGCGCTGAGGGCAAAGCCCATGGTGTAGTCCTGGAAGGCGTCAGTATATTGATTTGTCTGCACAATTGAAAGAGTCTTGAACTCACATTGTAGGTGACAATGAAGAAGATTCCGTAGACCAGAATGGCCCAGATAAAGATGTTACCAAAGATCCGGGCAACCAGGCTGTGCGGGTGCGGCACCATGATGGCGCCGTTCCAGTAAATGGCCACAAAGGTCCATGCCAGCGGTCCCGAGGCGACGGGGACGTGGATGAAGCGCGGGACGGTGTTGTGGCGGAAGTACAACGAGCTGAGGTTGATGAAGTTGAGCACCAGAACGACCTCGGCCCAGTGGAAGTGCGAGTTGACAAAGAGCATGACAAAAGCAAAGTGCAGCAGGTTGTTGAGGATGAAGTGGCTGCCCACGCCGGCGGCGGCGGACACGACATCGGCGTTGCTGGAGAAGAGGGACGTGACGTAGCCGAACTGGAGGATGAAGAGGACGATCCTGGTGTGTGTTAGGGAAGCTCTGAAGCAGTTCACTTGAGGAATGATGCTCACCAGTAAATGTCAGCGAGGATGTGATTCATGGTAAAGGCGCTGGGGTACAGGTAGTTCTGGTCCCATATGCGGCGGCGCACGGTGAAAGCATCGTGGGGCTCGTGGACGGTGAAGTAGACGGTGACGACGACGGAGAGCAGCCACGAGAGGAGGGTGAGGATCTTGTACGTGACGATGGAGCCGCGGCTGTGGCTCTCCCGCCTGCTGAAGGGGTTGTCTGTGGTGGTGGTCATGTTAGCAAGCTGTATAAGGACAGCGTCGTGAGGCGTTGCCTACAATTCTGCCACCCTGCCATGATGTCGGCCTCTTGGTGTTTAGCTTCGATGTCGAGGATGCTGTCGAGTCAACTGTGCCGATGATGGGATGATATAGAAGAAGAAGAAGAAGAAATCAACTATCCCTTGGAGTGGTGGAAGAAATTAGAAATGGTGCAAAGGAAACCAAGTCGGCAATGCAAGGACTAAAAAATAGCAAGAGGGAAAGCAGAGCCCAGCAAATCAAGGCTACAACCAGTTTATATACCCACATCCAATTCACCTCCCTCTTGGAAATTCATTCACTTTGTCTCCCCTCTCTCTCTCTTCTCTCTCTCTCACACACACAGCCACCACCACACACACAACTTGCTTGCACACTCCCTTTTCCAACCTCAGCTAACCGGCTCCGTCATCCATATGCGGGGAAGCTTGGCCTTGTCAAACCAACCAGCTCCATCCCGCCACCCAAAGAACTTGAACAAATAGCCAGAAAGAGGTTACCGTAGGGAATTGGCTTGCCTTGCATGGCTTGCATAGGGACACCCTTGTCATACGAGTGGGAGCGAGGCCCGGCGTGAATGACGCGTAACGCCGTCACCATTCCTTGCTGCTTGCTGTGTCGACACACGGTATGAATTCAGTCACGTACTGTACATGAACTTGAGAAAGCCATGTTCAACGAAAGACAAAGGGAGTGAGTACAGCACGCCTTTATCATCATCATTGTATCTGATCATCTTGCATCCCAGTGTCTCAGATACTCAAAGCAACCTGTCAAACCCCACAAAGTCGTCTATACAGGGCTTCTATCACAAACTACATACATCATCAAAGCCGTACAGTCCTTGTACCGCGTACGCATGCGCGTCCACCAGGATTCAAAAAAAAAAAAAAAGGTTTATGCACCATGCACTTCAACCCCCCCTTGTTCCCGATCCCCCCCAACCCTAAAAAGATCCCATTAGCCTCCGCCCATCCTCCAAAGCGGCAAGACAGACGAATCAACGGTCCCGCATCGTGCATGCCACCTCCATACCTTAATAGTACATACATACATACGTACGTAAAAACTACCTTACCAGTTGCCTCAAACCAAGGCGACAACCTTGCAACTCCGTATGTATGAAGCTGCATGTTCTGTATGGTGAGCAAGGATGCAGACATTCTTACATGTACTGTGCCGAAAAGGGCAACCCTGTGACCTCATTCCATCCACGCCCAACGTACATCCAACAATGAAACTTGAAAACCAGCAGCGCAGAGATCCAAGATCGTGATACTTATCCGTATACTCTCTCGTATACTGTCCTGGGAGTGGTGTGATGTGCATGGCAGATAATTCAAGTCGGTTCTACAACAGCCGCAGCCAAACGAACGATAAGGTTAGTAGTCAACTGCATTGCCATGTCAGCAGTGCATTTGGCGTCCCCTACTCTGATACTCCGTAGTACCTTCAAGACATTTTTCTCTTTTACTTTTCTTATCTGGGAGTAACACAATGTATCATCCCTTGCATCTTTGTCGCTACCGCATGTACATACATACTCTGGGTACGAACGAGTCAGGTAATATATTCCATACACGCTCGCCGCCATACTTTGTACACAGACAGATGAACCACGAGGTAAGGGTCCTTCGGTCCTCCATCCACTTCAGTGCAGGCCGTACTCTCTTTGAAGGCCCTGGTCAACGTACTTCACTAAAGGACGTCTTACTTTTTTTTTTTTTTTTTTCTTTCTTTTTTCTTTCCATATCTGGTAAATCACATGTTATATTCCCCTTGCAGACCTCCTACCTCTCTTTCTGTTCGCATACTACCTCGCATATTCATACATTATCCCATTACAAGGTATCAAATAGAATAACATAGAGTAAGGCACTCTACACATCCAAGTTCCCATGTTCAAACATCCCAAAGCCCCAATCTGGCAACGGCAACAGCAAACAGCCCACACCACTCGCACCACAGCAACCACCCTATATATTCACCATCTAAAAACAGCCAAAAAAAAACAACAAGCACTTCTTCGTATCCAAGAAATCCACATAAAGGCACTCTAAGCGCCGCCTTCAACCCCCTACCTTATGCAGAGACAAAACCACAATAGCCTCCCAGTCCAAGGAGCGCGTATCATTCACAGCTCCTACTACCTAGTACCTACTTACTACTTACCTAGTAGTATCTCATGCATGTCTCTTCTCCTCGGCCGATAACCACGCATTGTCTCAAACTACCTTACCTACATCCTACTACCTACCTACCTACCTACATCTCACAACAGTACATATACCTAGTAAGATAGTTAAGGTACTGTATCAGGTATATCATATCACCAGTCTGCATGTTTTATTAGCAAAGCACCTTACTATTCCCGTGTACCTAATAGTCGTTACTCAAGGCCTGCTCAAACATCATCTAGAAGCACAAGCATACCTATAGTACCCAAGTAGAAAGAGCGAAACCACGCCTGATGTAGACAAACCTTCTCCAAGCATTACAAACACATCATGTCTACAAGCCACAAAGAATATCGACATCTGGCAGAAAGCGTGTTACAACTTCATATCATGAACCATGTGTATACGCATGCTCTAAAGCTAGAAACATCATCAGGGTATCCGCACAAGGTAAACCACATCTAAACTTCATCCCTCTCATCATAACGACAGCAAAAAGGGAGAAAGGTATAAGAGCAAACCCCGTCTAATCATCTAGTCTACAAGGCCGCAATCGTACCCCGTAACTTGTAAACCAATCGTCCATCATCTATCGTCTCCTTTCATGATCATCACTCCTCCATCATAAACCATATTCTCTCGTTCAAGAGTTTCGCAAGTCCCTCAAGAATCCGTAAGGTCCGTAACCAACCTCTCATTCTCATCCAACAACCCCGTCACCTTTCTCAAGTTCTCAACCAAGCTCCGCCCCAGCCCCACCAGCAACAGCTTCTCCGCGTTCGCCGGTAGGCCCAGATACGTCGGCGGCTCACGCTCCGGCAGCTTGTGCACCCACGCCATAAAGTCCTGCAGCCCCGTGCCCGACGGCACCAGCAGCCCGCCGTCCGGCCCGTCCACCAGCTTGTGGTCGGCATCGTACGCCGCCGGCGTCAAAAACGACGTGACCAGCTGTCGCAGCAGGCTAAAGTCGCCCTCGTCGTCAATCTTGCCGCCGTACGTCTCCGTCACCAGGTAGCGTATCATGTCCCACGGAATGTTCTGCGGCGCAATGTTGGTTCGGTTGCCGGCCACGCTCTCGATCCAGACGTCGATGATGAACGCACAGCATTCGTACTATGACAAAGTCAGTCAAGTTGAACCCTAAGCATGGGAACGAAAAAAGAGGAAAAGACTTACGTCGCTATCATTAAACTCCCAGAACCCCTTCCAGCCAAGGTTCGGCGCATATCGCAACCTCTCCTGCACAACGGCGTGCAAAAAGGAAATCAAAAGGTACAGCCTCGTCCTCTCCACGGGGCTCTTGACCGCCCGCGTCGACAGCGAAGACATCGAGTCCTTCATGTTGGCTCGCACACCCGCCGGCTGCTCGTACATGAGCACGCGCGACGCACGCAGCAGGTTCACGGGGATCTTGGGGCTCGACTCCATCGACAAAAACAGCCGGAAGTCGCTGTGCGGGTTGAGCGACTCCATGCGCTTCTCCAGGCTCTGCAGCCACGTCGGCGCCAGGTGGACGTTCTTGATGAGCACCCACGAGCCCGTCTCGGCGGCGCTGCTGACGGCCTTGTCGGCGCTGGCCAGGCCTTCGTTGGAGCCCATGGCAATGTTGGTGCACCGCACGCCCATCCTCTGCACGAGGCTGTCCACCTTGTAACTGGCATCGAAGCCGGGACTGGACACGAGCGCAATGGGCAGCGTGGCAGACACCTGCGACACAATCTCCTTCAAGTCCTCCACAATGTCGAATATGTCGGAGCCAAACACCAGAGCCGCAAAGCGCTCCGCCGCAGGCACAAAGCGGTCCATGCGGAAGAGCTTCACCAGCAAGAGCGAGTACAGGGCCTGATCCGTCTCCGAGGTGCCATCGTCCCAAACCTTGGGCACCACCGCCTCCGCCAGCTCCTCGCTGAGGAACTTGTCCCAGTCGCCGCTCGGGACGGCGTCCAGCTTCTCCTTGAGCACGCTGAGCTTTCTGGCATCCTGGAAAGCCGCCTCCTTGGCCTCCGGGTTCGAGGACAGATCCACACCGGCGATTCGGTCGTCGAGGATCACGTCGATCATCGACTTGTCCATCTTGTACGGCGACGCCTGAGCGAGCAGCATGGCCAGAGTAATGCGGTCCTTCTGCAGCAACCCAAGCGCGGTCCTCTTGAAGGTATTCACAAAGAGGTCCTTGACGATAATGTCCCGGCGAACGTTGTGATTCGTCTCCTTGGCCAGGTTCTTGTTCCCCCGCAGCACCGACTGGAAAATGTCCAAGAAGTACTGCAGCGAGAACTGGTAAAAGTGGTTAATGTAGTGCAGCTGCTCCAGCACGGCAAACACCGCGCTGCACGACTTGGCAATGATGCTGTACTGCTGCGTAATTTCCTCCACCTCCGCCATGACGCCCTCCGTGTTGCGCATCTTGTCCGAAATGTCCGCCGCCTCCGTCTTGAGCGTCTCCAGCGTCTCGATGACCTTGTCGTCGTCCAGGATGTTGCCGCGCGACTCGTTGAGGGCCTGCAGCAGCTGCTTCTCCAGCTGGCGCAGATGCACCTTGAACTCGCCCTGCAGCTTGATGAGGTTGGACCGCCTCTCGTCCACGTCGGGGCGCTCCGACTTGAGCACATCGTTAAGCGACTGCGTCTGGAGACTGCTCTGCGTGACGGTGAAGTTGACAAAGGTGGTTCGGCTGCAGATGTCCGGCGCAAACGTGGCCGACGGGTCCCTCGTGGAAAGGTATAGCTTGAACGACGGCGAAAAGTCAATGTCCTGCTTGCCGAGCTGGATGAGCACTCGGCCACCCGTTCGCTGATACTCCTTGTTCAGGACGTGGTTGAGGATGGGATCCAAGTGCTCCGCATCCTGAATGAGAATCGGGTTGCCGAACCGCAGCGAGCTCTCCAACTGCTTCGTAAAAGTGTCGTCCAAAAAGCTCGTGACCGTCAAGCGACGATCCTTGCACTCCCTCTGCAAGAACTCCGTAACCCTTCCAGACGGGTCGATAATGAGAGGATACCGGTTGAAGCGCTTCAGAATGATGGCGTTCTCCGTGCACAAGTCGTCCACCGGCAGCGTGTTCTCCTGCCATCCCAGCCGCTCATCCGCACTGGACAAGTACTCCGTCACCGGGTTGGGCGACTTGAACTGGATGCCGGACAGGTCCAGCTGGTGATACCAGTCGTCCACCATGTTCTTTCGGAACGTCTGGTCGTACAGGCCGGCGTAAGCCAAGAAGGCCGAAGCGACGAGGACGTCGCCGACCAGCGTGCTGATCTGCGTCTCAAACGACTTGCTTCCTTCCTCCCAACGAGCCCTCTCGGACGACAAGCTGTCGAGCAGCCTGACGCTTCGGTCGACCTTGAACTGCACCTTGGACATCTCCGCCTTGATGGCCTGGGTCTCGCTGATGAGGGTGGCGTACTCCGTCTTGTACGTGTTGATGCTCGACTCGAGCTCCGCAATGTTCTTCTCCACCGCCATCGCGCTGGCCTTGGTCTCGAGCGCCTGCTCCTCAAGCTGCGCGACTTCCTCCCTCAGAGGCCCGACACGGTCCAGGATGTCCGAGTAGCTGACCTGGGCAATGACCCACTGGACGAGGGGACCGCAGGCCCTGGAGGCGTGGTTCACCTTTTCAAACGTAAACTCGGGGTTCGACAGGAACTCGTTGCGCATCTTGTTCCGCAAGCCCTTGGTCATCATCTTGGCATTGTCAAACATGATGATGCTGGCAATAAAGTCTTCCCGGCGAACCACAGCCTGAACGGCCTTCCAGTCGTTGATCTTGTGTCCGAGCAGCGTGCAGACGGCATCCAGCGCGAGCCTGACGCTCTGCGGTGGGTTGGACATGCCTCGCACTTCGACCAGGTGCTGACGCTTGATGTTGCTGACGCTCGCCTTGGCCTCCTCGACCGCCGGCTCTGCCTTTGCCAGGTCCTCCAGCACAACCTTCTTCCGCATCGCCACCTCCGCCTCCTGCTTCTCCAGCGCCGCCTGGATCTCCAACGAAGTGTTCTTCCTCTGCTCCGCCTCGCGCTGGTCGGCAACCATGCGCTGCAGCTTCTCGTTGGCCTCGGCATCCTTCTGTTCGAGCTGCGCCTTCTTCTCCGCAAGACTGGCTCGCAAGTCGCGAACCTTGTCGACGGTATCCCTCAGCTTCTCAAGACCGACGTTCAAGTGACGCTGCTGCTCCTCCAGATCCTCGCGCTTCTCATTGTACAGCTTGACGTACTGGGTAACAAAGTCCAGGAAGTGGCGCGGCGTCAAAAAGGTGACCTTGCCCTGCTGCTTCAGCAGCTTCTTGTTGTACCGCTGCAGCGAATAGTGAATGTACACCATCGAGTTGACGACCGTCTCGCGATGCGACGGCGGCAGCTGCAAGCCGCGATACGCCACCGGGATCGTGTCGGGAGCGTTGAAGTTGCTCTTGTCCAGGTCAATGGAGTGCGTGAGCTCGTGTCCGACCTGGAACAGCGCCTGGTCCGACCAATCTCCAAACCAGTTCAGCACACATCTGTTGAACAAGGCCGGACTGGTGGCGGCCTTTGAACCAAGGCCGCCCTCGGGCGGGTTCATGGTGAAGACGACGTGCAGGTTGTTGACAATCTGCTGGGTGAACCACTTGTACAGCTCCTCGGGTGAGTCGAGGTGCAGGTTCTGTCGCTGGGCACCTTCTTTGCAGGCCGTCATCAGGGCAACGTGGTCGTCGCCCTCAAAGAGACCGGGCACCTCGGCGTTGGCAAGCAGCGTGTTCATGCGCTCCAGGAATCCAGAGTCCAGCACGTTGGCCTCGTCCATGATGAAGCAAATCTTCTCGCCCTTGCAGCCACATCGCCGCAGCACATCCCGCAAGTCTTCGTCAAAGTCTTCCGCAGAGTACTTGCCGTGGACCTTGATCTGGAACACCTTGAGGCCGTTCATCCAGGCCACGAAGCGCGAGAGCGTCGTCTTGCCACCGCCGCTCACACCAATGAGGATCAAGTGACCCTGCGGCTGCCGGAAGACACGATCAATGCGCAGCACATGCTCCAGGACGTCGTTGAAGAGAATGAGCGGAACGTCCACTTCCTCCTCGCAAAACGTCTTGAGTCGGGCAGACACAAAGTCTCGCAGCTGCTCCCGGTCGACGGGGACGTAGTTCTTGGACAGCCAGTTGGAGAAGAGAATCGGGCCGCCGAGAGCCTTTTCCTCGTCCATGGTGGGGAAATGCTCAATGGCGATGCGCCGAACCGTCTCGTCGGTCCACTTGCGCTCGTCTTCGTTCACAAGACGATCCTGGAACAGTCGCAGGGCCTCGTGCGCCCAGATACGAATGAGGCCTTCCAGAGACAGCGACTCCAGGGGCTTGATCGCTTCATACACACCGCGGACCCAGCGAGTAAGCTCACGAGGACTGTACACGTAGTGAGGCTGAATCTTGGGCGTGAACCTCTGCTGAGACTCGAGATAGAAGCGCACCATGGCATGCGTGAGCGGCTCGGCGTACCCGCGCAGCGAGGGAATAATCTTGAGCACAGCCGCGTTGAACGTGCCGTAAATCTGGTTCAGAGAGAGCTCGCCGGGGTAGTCAACCATGACAAGAGGGGCGTGGCGAAGGAATCGAGCGCCCATGGGCGTACGTCCGGCATCCGTAGGCGGGTTACAGGCACCGACGAACTGGATGCGGTCAAGAGTAACCCACGACTTGTCCGATGTCCGCCAGAAGCCGTTGTGCTCAACAAGCTGGCGCAGGAACGAAATGGCGCGTTGAGTACCGTACTTGTCGGGCGCCGGAAGATTGATTTCGTCGCAAAAGATGACCAGCCAGCGGCCAATCTGCGTGGGAGAGAGCATGACGCCGTTGAGCGTCTTCTTGTACTCGCAGTACTGCTCAAACGTCTTGATCAGGAGATCGGGCGTCGTCGCGCTCGAAAAGTTGAGGCCGACCACCTCCATGTTGGGCAGCTTGCGAAGAGCGCTGAAGAGCGTCATCGTCTTACCCGAACCAGGAGGACCGCAGAGCAGGAGCGGCTTGTGCTCAGCCAGCCAGGAGTAAAGCACGTCCTCATGGCGCACGGTATCCAAGGTCGGGATGACGACGTCGGTCTGGATGATGGAGTGGGTGTTGACCTCGATGCTGGGCACCTGGTTCTGCCACGGCGTCCACTCCGCCTGCGGCAGCAGCACGTCAAAGTCAATGAGCGAGCTGGTGCCATCCAGCGGCGGCGAGCCAAAGTTGGCAAAGGCGCAAATGTCGTCGCCAAACAGCTTTCGGTCTCCAAGCGGGCAGTCTCCCGTCAGCGCCCAGACAAGCGCAAGCAGCAGCTTCTTCGCCACGAAGCCCTCAATCTGGTCGTACTCCAGAGGGAAATCGGCGTGCTGTCCGTTGTACTCAATAATGTCACGCACAGCCTTGTTCAACAGCGAGAACAGAGTGTTGAGCACGCGAGCGACCGTAAACTCCATGATGTGGTTGTATCGCAGAGCACGCTCCAAAGCCTGGTTGACAAAGTCTTCCTCAGTCAAGTAGCCGTTGAGCAAGTCGGCAACCTGGGCCTGCACGGCCAGCGTCTTAGCAGGGCTTTGGCCAGTGGCAACGCTATCCTCGTCCAGGTCCTCAAAGGGAACGCTGCGAAGCGTCTCGATGTAGTTGGTGACCATCATGTTGGGCGTGACGGTATCTTCGCTGAACCAGACCATACCACATCGACTGACTGTGGCGAGCGTTGCATACTTCAGCGTCTCGACTTCGAACATGATGCGGACATTGGCCGGCAAGTTGAGACGCTCTCCGTTGGGCAGGGTAAGCAGCTTGTTGTCGTCAAGCACACTGTTCAAGTTCTCAACCCACTCGGGATCAACGTCGCCGTCAAAGACAATCCAGTGTCTCTTGGAGTCTTCACCACGCAGGTTGTCCACGATTTTACGCAGAATGCTGGTGAACAGACCATCGGTCCACTCGCGAGTGGTAGAGTCCAAGTTACCATACAGGGCCTCCTTGGACATGACCTTGGAGTCAATGACGTGGGAAACGCCCTCGACGTTTTCCACCTTTTGCAGCGCATCAAGCAGGAGTCTCCAGGCGGCAGATTTGCCCGTACCAGAGTTACCGACCATCATGACACCGTGGTGAATCTTTTGAATCTGGTACAGCTGAAGAACCTTGGTCATCCACAGATCCGTGACCACGAGGTGCCGCTCGGCAGCGAGCGTGCGAATGGCCTCCTCGAGAGCGTGCAGATTGGCGGGCACATATTGGACGCCGGGAAAGCAATCCTCCTCGATATTGAACATGATGTCCACGTCCGACTTGATCAGCTTGGGCGCAATCGTCTCACGGATACTCTGCACGAGAATCTCGGGCTCCACAATCTCTTCGGCCCCAAGCTCGCCATCCACCAAGCGAGAGCGCTTAAGACCACCAGAGCTCACCAAGACACTCTTGAGCGCACGGAGACCAAAGTCGTAATGGGCCTGCTTGGACAGCTCCTTGGAACACTTGTCGAAGAAGGGCACCGTCTGCTTGGAGAGCCGCTTGGCCTGGCTGAAACCTTGCGAGTACAGCATGACTTCGGCAATGAGCTCCTTGTCGGGCTTGGACATGGCCACGCTCCGGAACAGCTTCTTCAAATTGTCGGGCAGGTTGGAACGGCCGGCGTAGCCGGGGTTCATGGTGATGAAGATGCCCGTGTTCTCGTTGACGCGAAGCTGCCGGCCAACCAGCTCAATCTGCGACTTGTCGTTCTCGGCGCCCTGCTTCAGGCCGAGCTGGATGTTTTGAATCTGCTGCGAAACGGCAGACAGGATCCTCTCTTCGAGACGGTTAAACTCGTCGAAGCAGCCCCACGCACCAACCTGGCAAATACCCAAGAAGATGCGACCCATGGCCTGGAAGTCAAAGGTGTCGTCACAGCAGAAGACGAGCGTAAATCGTCCGAGCTGAACACCCAGGGCCTTGACGGACTCCGTCTTACCCGTACCAGCGGGGCCGTATGGCGAGCCTCCGAGTCGCTGGCAGAGGGCTTGGGTGAGCGTGAGGAAACATCGGTCGGTAAGGGGTGTCCGGACGAGACGTTCGGGTACGCCGAGATACTCAAAGCCGTAGTTGAGTTTGGCATTGGCCATCTTGATGTACAGGCGGTTGAGGAAGTTGCCTTCGGGGGTGTAGACGTAGCGCATCTGAAGCTGCCAGAGGTAGTGGTCGGCCGAATCGGCCTTGACTTGGACCAGCTTCTCAATCACGTCGCGCTGGTGGACACATTCCGTAATCAGCTGCTCGCACTTCTTGCGCTGGATAACCTCAAGGTCTCCCAGCACAGTCTCCGCAAGGACGCGAAGGACCTGCACTTCTCGTTCGAACAGAGCCTTGAGCGTCTGTCCGCCAGCCGCAAGCGACGTGTCGACAGCTGTCGTCCAAACAGCCTGTGTAGCGAGAACAACAATCTGGCTGGGGAAGGCGTCCATAAAGGCAACCAGTGCTTCCCGATCAATGCTTTCGGATTCAAAAATCGGAGTGTATTCCTCCACGGCCTTGGCCAACAGCTCCGCAAGCGTCTGCTTCATTCCGTTCTCCAGCAGCGCAAGCCAGTCGTTGATCCTAGGCGTCTTGGCCAAGGAGATCTCCTTGTTCAGCGTAACGGCCTCGCCCTCCTTGGAAGTAAAGCCAGAAATGACTCCTTCGTCGTCCATAATGAGGCCAGCCAATCCAGCAAACATCTTCTTGAAGTGCTTGGCAATGCGCAAAGTATCGTTGCTGTTACCAATCATCTCCAGCAAGTCTTCGTCACCAACAAAGTAGAATCGAGGGAAAGAAACACGCTCCTTCTCCAAGTATTCACCCAGAGCCTTTTGGATCTTGTTGAGCATTTCTGCCAAGCGCTCCAGCGACTTTTGCGCGTTGGGGATGTTGAGCACGTCGAGGACGTAGGGCGTCTTGTTGGCCTTCTTCATGACGGCCAAGAACTCGCTGTTGATGTTCTGGAAACGACCAGACTCGATGGGCAGGAGGTGCTTGATGTCCGCGTTTCCGGTAAAGACACCCTCCAAGTACACCCACTGGCGCTGCACGTCAATCCAGACGTCAAAGAGCACGTGGACGCGGTTCAGCTTGTCCTCCCAGGCCACCGCATCCTCTTCAAACTCCTTGTAGTAAGGCGAGTGCTTCATGGCTTGAAGCGAGTTCAGGTTCTCGCTGCACTTGGCGAAGAGGTCGTCCCAGCCACGAATGAGCCTGCATTTGTTCTGGTAGTTGACCATCTCGAGGGCGTAGTTTTGCCACGTTTCGCGAACCTGCTTGAGGAACTCCTCAAGCGCCATCTCGCCCTGGGCCTGGGCGATGATGTCCTTGACAATGACTTCGGTAGCGGTGAGGTTGAGATCCCAGACATCGCCAAGCGTCATGGAACTGGGTGAGAAGCGCTTCTGGGGCTTGATCTGCTTGTAAATCTTGTGCCAATGTCGCTCGCGAATGGCATCTGATTTCAGATCGGACAGGATGTTGTTGACCTTGAGGAAGCCTCGCAAAACTCCCTGCACGTGTTCAAAAGCGGCATACTGCCTCATTCTACTAGGCATATCCTTTGTGCTCTTGATCAAGTCGTCCACCTTTTGGCGAATCTTCCTCGGCTGGACGGCGGTCCAAAGCATGTCGCGGGTTTCGTTGAGACTCGTCCAGATGGTGGAGAGGTTGGACCAAACAGACCGGAAATCGCGAACTTCCTCCAGCGTGATTTCCAAGATGCTGTCGTTGTTGCCGGGAATGTCAAGGGCTTCTCTCGCCTTCATGACCTGCTGGAACTCCTCCTGCAGAGCCGTAATGCGCGTCTCAAAGGTCGTCAGAGTGGCAGAGGCAACATCAGGCTGGATGGTTCCCGAGACGGGCTTCTCCTCGTTCCACTGGGCCACAACCTCTCCGATGCGCTCATTGATCAGCTTATCTTGAGCAATGATGTTTGCCCGCATGGCATCAGACTGCTCCTCCATAATCTTGGACTTCTTCTCCAGAATTTCCTTGAGAGCTTCCCACTGGCTCTCAATCTGCTCAATGTGCAGCCAGTCGTTGGGGAACGGGTACCGCTGCCTCACCAGGGTCGACTGTCCCTGGCGGAACATGTCAATCTCGGGCGCCCACAGCTTGGCGTTGCGCCGGCAGCTCTGCACCGCCGTGATGAACTGGACGGCAGCGGCGGTGGACGACGTGTCTGAGCTCTGGCCTTCGAGGTTCCTCCTCGCCTTTTCAATGTCGGCGTTGATGTCGCGCATCCGGTTGCCCAGCCGGTTGGCAAACTTGATGAGAATCTCCTGCTGCCACTGGTCGTACTTGGCATTGACCTTGGTCTGGACTTGGTCGTAGTCGATGGTGATGTGGCCAAAGGAACGGCTGACTTCTTGCGTGTCAAAGGTCGTGCGGACCTTTCGGATGTCCTGGAGACACTCGAGCCATCGAGGAAGATGGTCGCCGAGCATGTCGTAGACCTGGTCCGACTGAAGATCCCAGAGGGACTGGAACTGGAGCCACTTGTCGACGTAGATGCTCACTTCCCTCAGCTTCTTCTCGACTGAAAGGTACACGCGGTGGAGCATATCCGCACAGTGAGATGGCAGATCGGTAAAGCGGGCTTCTTCCTGGGCGTCGGTGTTGAGACTCATCTGGTATCGCGTAGCCTTGATCTTGCGCAGGTTGCAGACGATGCCCAGCCAGTCGTGGAGATGAAGGAACCAGCTTGCTCTGGCGTACTCCAGCGGCGGGTCAAGATAGATGACCTGGTTGCGCATGGTAATCTCGAGGATGAGACGCTTCATGGTCGGTCCGTCTTGCTTTCCATCGTCCTCCTTGGACAGCTTCCGTCGGTCCTCCTCGGCAACATCCTGCTCAAAGGCAGCTATCCAAGCCTGAACAGCCGTAGAGAGACGCTCCAGCAGGATGGTCTGGACCTTGTGGTTCACGCCGCGCACCCAAAAGTCGAGGTTGGCATACTGCTCCAAGTTGAGCTGATCGACAGCAGACTGGATGGTATCGAGATGAGACTGGAAAGCGGCGGCATCATAAGGGCAGACGCCAAGGTCCTTCAGAGCCTGCTCAATAGTAGCGTAGATGGAGTTGAGCGTAGCCGTCTTGGACTGGAGCACGGAAACAGCCGCGGAGAAGCCCCAGATGAACATGCCATGCTTGCTCTCCGTGTTCTTCGCGGGCCCAAAGCCGGTGCTTCCGGGAAGCAGGGGGCGGATCTGTCTCTGGTCGGCGTAGAAGAGCTCATGCGAGTTGACAAAGGATTCCCACCTCAGCGGGACACCGTCGCTGATGAGCTTGTACACTTCGTTCTTGTACCCGTTGAGGAGAATCGATTCCTCGCCCATGGTTCCGATCTGGCGCAGGGTCTGAGACAGAGTTCGCACGCCCTCCATCAGGCTGACGGCGTACGGATAGACTCTCTTTGCATCCTTGGACACGGTGGTGACGGCATGGGGAACAAGATACGACTGCCAGGTCAAGTTTCTGGTTTCCTTGAACAAGGTGATGATTTGAGGGTCAAAGTTGACATTGAGCTCCAGGATGCCGCCCGCAGACCTGACCCTGTTGATGTTGAAGAGCTGGCCGGCGATGGAAATCTTTCGCCGATTGGCATCAGCCAGCCAGGCATCGTATATCCTGCCCGTGTCCAGCTTGTTCTTGAAGAGCTCGCTCTCTTCCTGGAGCTTGTGCCCCTCGGCATGCAGAGTCCAGTCGGGTCCAAGGACAGCTTCCACCTTTTTCATGTATCCGTCCAGCTGCAGCTCAATCTGACGGGCCCAGATAATGGCACCCGAGACGGGGGGCAGATCGCGCAGCTGAGCCATGGCATGGGCCTCGGAATGGCCATACTGCTGCTTGAACCTTTCGTGCAGACCGTTGATGGCCTGCTTAACGTGATCCATCAGCTGGTTCTGATACTCCTGAATGGCACCCCGAATCTTGGGCCGCACAAACAGGGCATTGAACTTGGAAAAGACGCGGAACATTTCGTTGGCCGTCTTGGCCGTGGCAAGACGGTCGCGCAGCCTCGCAATGATTGAGTTTTCCACTCGCGTCGAGCGCTCATTGTACAGGTTTTCGGCCTGGGCCCACCGCTCCTTGCCCTGGTCCGTCACATCGAGCAGGTCGACGTTCTGCAGCGCCTCCCAGGCCCTCTTGACCTCCTCAACGGCGTCCACGTCGCCCATTTCTTCAATGACGGCGCCGGCAGTGGCATTGGAGGAGGAGGAGGCGGCGGTGACGTCGGTAACGCCGGGAAGGATGGCCTTGGGTCCCAGGACGTTGACAATGGTCCTCTGCAGCTGTTCGTGGTTGTCTCGGAATGCGCTGACGTACTTGATCCGCGATTCCAGCTCAGAGTGATTCTTCTCGACGTTGATGGGAATGCGCTTCTCGTTTCTGCGGATGATGAGCATACGAGCCAGGTGCGTAAACTCCTTGATGTTGTCCTCCCAGGCGGCGAAGATGCTGTCGCACGTCCGCATGACGTTCTGAAACTCCGGGTAGCCCATGTTGACGAGCTCAGTGCCCGGAAGCAGACGGAGCAGCACGTCGTTTAGATCCGCCGAGATGGCCTGGGCCAAGCTCAGCGCTCGTCGAATGGGATACGGACACACCCTCAGCTTCTTCATCAGGTGGGCAAAGATTTGCGTAATGGCCTCCTCGACCTTGAGCAGGGACGGGGCGGACAGCAGCTCATCGAGGGGGAAATCGCGCATGAGCTGGTTGTACTTTTGCGCCTTCTCCTTGGCCTCCTTGAGGCCCGTGTCGGCGACGAAGCTGACGGTGGCCTGGAAACGCTTGGCGTGCTTGAGGATGTCGAGGGTCAGGAGGACGCCCTCGCTCCTAAGCTGGTCCTCGATGCCCTCGAGCGCAGACTCCATGGACAGCCAAAAGTTGACCTCTTGGCTGGCGGTGCTGAACTCCTGGACGGCGTTGGACGAGGTCTCCTTGGTCAGCTTGGTGATGCCCTGGATGGACTTGATCCAGGTGTTGACGTTGGCCTGCAGCTTGTTGAGGAAGCTGCTGTCCTGCAGGAGGTTCTTGGGGATGGCCTCGATGGACGGCTTCATCCCGGAGACCTCGGCATCGTCGAGGACGTTCTGGATGAGCGAGTGGAAAGTCAGCGAGATCTCGGGGATGTCGACGTTCTGCTGCAGGTGGAGCAGGCTCAGCTCGAGGTCGTTGAGCCGCTTCTTGGTGACGGGAATGCCCGTCTTGGCGTCGACGTCTCTTCCCCTGGACCCGTTGGCCAGCAGCTGGCTCTTGCTGTTGGCGTCAAAGTAGGGCACCAGGGCGTGGTGGACCTGGGAATGGAGCACCTCCCACGGGGAGAGCGCAACGCCCTGCTCTCCGGCGGCGGCGTTGAGGGAGGCGGGGCCGGGTAGATTAGTGATGAATATCTGCGAGGTAAGAGGACGAGAAGAATCAATCGCTTGCGATGCCTTGAGCAAAATCAAAGTGGCGACCGTCGTGGGTGTGGAGGAGATTTCGGTCGAGAGGGTGTAGTCGTAGGTAGCGGGAGCTATAGATGAACAAAAACACAAGAGAGAGCAAATGTCAGTCAGCCAGATCACCAAGACCCTCTCCAACATTTCGTGAGACAAAGGGAAGAGAGAGGGAGGGACACGGAGAGAGAAAAATTACAGAGATCCTCACCAGCAACGCCATTGCTGTGCTCGCCAGCCGCGTCGGCGGCGTCGTTGCCGTTCTCCAGCGCCCCGGCCTGCACCAGGTCCTTTTGTATATACAGCACGTTGAGGGAGTCGTTGGCGAAGCGCGTGCACCGCGAGACGGTCTCTGCGTACGACGCCTTGTGCAGCAGGTTGCCCGGCAGCTCGAGGTCGCTCCGCGATGCGCCGAGGGCGACCTCGCAGATGGCGACGAGGTGCTCGACGACGCGTTCGGGGTCGATGGTCGGGAAGGGCGTCGGCGTCGGTGTGGGCGACGGCGGCGCGGGCAGCGAGGCGCCGTTGCTGCTCGAGGCGCCGAGGCTCGGGGCCGTGGCCGAGGTCACTTCCATGGCGTGCGGAAGAGACTGGAGGCTGAAAAAGAAGAGGAGGAGAAGAAAAGAAGGGACGAAGAAGCTTCTACGTCGAGAAGCCGGTCATCTCCAGCGGTCGTCGAGGTCGGGATAGGATTGCGTTGGTGGGGTGTCGAGTGCTCGTTTGTCGGCTGTCTGGCCAGGGGTATCCCGCAGAGGGGCAGAGAGGCTGGACGAGAACGCGGGTCAAAGACGAGTGCAGAAACAGAAGAAGCTCGACCGAAAATGTGCAGTAGACTAGGTGGTAAGAAGATGCTGATCGCGGTGCGGTTCGGAGCTCTCTGTGAGTCCAAGCAGGAGGTTTCACAAAGGAGAGATGCAGGATGCACGTTGAGGGCCGGTACCTTGGGAGCAGCAGATGTAGCGGCGAGTAGGTACCAGTGGAGGTGCTGGGGGGGCTGCCAAATGTACACCGACAAATCGAGATATTCCACACAAGCGAGGACGATCGATGAACAGGGGTTCCAGCGGTGGATTTAAGCAGAGAACAGGTATCAAATGACACTAGATATATCGATACAATAAGAAGAAAATGCCCCCAGAAGAAAGGGATAATCATACAGCAAATGCGCAATAACACCATCAAAGATAGATACACGCAGCACCACCAGATACCTCCCACCTCGCCCAACCTCCTGTTCCCTGCATGTAGCACCACAGACACACAGCAGCAGAAACGTCCATTTCAACCTACTAGAGCCCAAAGCTGCCAAGCTCAACAACCCGGCCCAGTCGATACCTCTCAAACCCAAACAGACGGACCCCTGATTTTCTACTTCCATTCTAGTCCCCGTTTCCCGCCTCCAGTTGACCGTAGGCAGTATCATGTGTCGCCTCCACGGCGGCGGCGGGTATTGCCAGCGCATTGCTATTCTTTAGTGGGGGGTTGTGGCGTTCAGGGTCCTTTCCTAATGTTTTATTTCTCGTGGGATGGAATCGTATAGAGCGGAAGTGGCGTTTTGTTCCGAGGGCGTTGACGATGATTCTCTAACGTGCAAGCCTGTGATATTGAGCAGTTATCGTCGTAACGCTTTTGTCGGCATGAACTTGTAGTTCCAACTGAGTGGCGACGAAAACCTCTCTTGCACTCCTGTCCCCTGAAAACCAATTGCCACAAACTGCATCTATACAAATCCCGCGAAATCCATCACGCAACTCACACAAACCTACCAAACCACAGCCCATCAATTCAAACGGCTTCCAAATTTACCCCTTCTAAACCGAAGGCCATTCATTCATGCAACCGGCATCTCATCCCGCCACCACAGAAACCCATATCCATCCAAACCGCAATGCAAACAAGTTCGACATCATTCACACACGCCCCTCGGAAATCAAATCAGTCGTCCTACCAGTCCGCACTATCTCAACTATCGCATCTCCCAAGGTAAGGTACTTACTGGATCTTCCATCCCGCTTGCACCTTGCGGACGGACGGACGATAGAAGTAGTATCTGGTAATTAAAAACCCGCAAACCCTGCTATGTGATTCCGTGATACGGCCACGCCACACCTCCCTATTACCACTACCGTAGTATCAGCAAGATAGATTGCTAGACAGTAAGGTAGTTTAGAGAATATGCCCGTTCAACCTTGTATATGTGATAATGTATGCCGATATTAACACTCCACACCATTTACATCTACTACTATCCCTAGATCAAAGACAGAACCAGAGACATGCATACGCCTCAGATCCGAATCACCGGGTCGTAGGAAAGCGTGCACCATCCATACTTCCTTCGAGCCAACGGATCTATAGGAAACAGCGTGTGCTATAACTTCACGTAGTATCATTGTCATTGTATTCACGAAATCAAGTTCACCATCATCTGTACCAAAGAGCATGAGAAATCTTCACCCATCGTCCAGTCAATTCTACCAAATGAAGCTACCAGATCCGTTCATCCTTGTCCATCTCAACCCTCCTTCCACCTCAGCAACCTCAGGTCAACCCGGTTTACATGTAATATAATGCTCCTCAAAACAATCCAGAAGAGTAAAAAGGATGAAAGAAGGAAAAGACAGAGAAACTAACAAAGTGAAACGGAAAGACAAGTCAACACGCAGAGATGTAAAGAAAAAGAAACAGAGATGCAGAAAAGGTAGAAGAGGAAACAAAACTCGAGACTCAAAAAGCGTACATGTGTGCTACAAACATCTCTGACAATGGCAGATGAAGCAAAACGAAAAGAAAACAAGACGAAGGGAAAATGACCACGTCATATACTTGCATAACAAATGTCATAATGAATGATGAACCAACAACCAGACCGCTCTAAACGCCTCTCCATGTAGACTCCGTAGACCGGAACGACCGACTGCTCTCCAGTGCCCCTTTACTGTATATCAAAGACCGATACGCCAAGCGGGGGGAGGACGACGAGATGAAGGGCTGACGCAGTGCGTGAGGGCTTCTGCGCCGCCTAAACGCTGGGGTTGCCAGCCCCTGCCGCGGCGCCCTCGGGACCAGCGAGCCGCTCCCGCTGAAGAATGACCCTACCGTTGCAGATGTCGATAAACATTTCAAACTTTTCTATCAGCTTGTCCTTCTCCGCCATCTTGGCCTTGAGGTCGTCAATCTCCTTCTGCTTCTCCTCCTCCAGCTTCTTCAAGTCGTCCCGCGCCTTGGCCAGCTCCCGCCTCAGCTCGGACCGTATGCGGTCTTCGGGCGACTGCAGCGGCTTGGTATAGATGGCCGGCCTGTTCTCCGCCAGGCCCGTCGCTACTTTCTGCGGATTGCGGTTGATGGCGGCGCGAGCGTTGTAAATGTCCCTCGGCAGCAGGTGGCAGTCAGGGTTGTCCGTCTGAAGAATCTGCAGTGTCTCGGATACGCCTGCACCTACACAAGGATCGGTTAGCGAGAATTTCTGCCCAACAGGCGCATGTTCCTCCTCTTGCCCTTGACCCTCGTTTTGCTCCGCGTGTTCTGAGAGAGGGGGAAGAATACTAACCATTCTCTTTGAGTTGCTTGACAGCCGCAACCATCTTGCTGTCAAGTTTCCTGGCTGCAGGGTGGTTCGACGGGCTCTCGCTCGGTCCGTGGTTGTGCTGCAGGTGTGAAGGGTCGGGTCGGTAGCGGATGGTCCATTGGGTCCGCTGCTCGATTGCAAAGAAGCCAAAAGGACAGTCGCACTTCCTCGACGAAGTCTTGCGTTTCCGAAACTCGGGGCTGACGCGGCTCGGCGGCTTGCCCGCCCGGTCGCAGACGAACAGGACCTTTTTCAGACCTGGCACCGTCTTCTTGGACCGTCCGATGACGATGGCATAGCCGACGGAAGTGCAGTAGCGCAGGACGGCCTTCTGAACGGCCTCGAGCGTCGGATAACTGCCGCCTTCAGGGGGCGGTGACATCATCTCTCCCATGGGCTGGGTCACCGCCAACGAGTCGCTCATGAGTTTGGATGACGCCAGAGCGTTACTGTCGTCGTCCCCATCCTGCTGCCCGTCCATGTCCAGGTCCTCCGACGCATGGCTATCCTGCTGCTGCTGGGGAACGGGGTCGGGCTGCTGAGCGGCAGCCTGTAACTGCTGATGCTGCTGATGCTGTTGAGCCTGCTGGTGTTGTTGCTGCTGCTGCTGCTGCTGATGTTGTTGTTGTTGCTGTTGGGCCTGCTGTTGAACCTGATGCTGCTGAGCTTGGTGCTGTTGCGCTTGGTGCTGCTGCTGATGTTGGACTTGTTGCTGGACTTGGTGCTGGACCTGTTGGGGGACTTGCTGCTGGACCTGTTGGGGAACCTGTTGCTGAGCCTGGGGTTGAGGAATCTGGAGCTGCTGCCGAGAAGACTGCTGCTGCTTTTGCGCCTGCTGCTGTGCCTGTTGCTGTTGCGCTTGTTGCTGCTGCTGCTGCTGCTGCTGTTGCTGTTGCGCCTGCTGCTGTTGGGACCTAGACTGATGTACATGATGGAGCTGATCCTGCTGATGTTGCTGCGCCTGGTGTGCCTGCTGCTGTACCTGGTGAACCTGGTGCGTCTGATGTGCCTGGTGAGAAGCATGAGCTGCTTGGTGCGCCTGTGGATGTTGGGCATAAGCAGGGTGATGGGGCTGCTGCTGGTGATGCTGCTGCTGTTGCGAGTGGTGCTGCTGCTGGACCTGCTGCGCCTGTTGCTGCTGTACCGCCTGCTGCTGCTGAACCTGCTGCTGCTGATGGTGCTGCTGCTGTTGCGCGTGCCCCGGATGGCCGGTCAAGGCCTGTTGGGCGGGGTGCTGCTGGTGCTGCTGCGGGTGATGCTGCTGATGCTGCTGATGATGCGAGAGGATGGAGTCGTGGGCGACGGGCTGGCTCATGGAGGTCGGGAAGAGCATCGGCGGCGGGTTGGACTGGGGCTGTATCTGCTGGCGCGAGGGCGCAGCGCGTTGTCGCGGCACATTGAGGGCGCTGGGGACATGGACGTTAGAGGCGCGCGACGAGGCATTGGCGACGGCCGGGTTGACGGAGGCGGTGGTGTTGAAGAGGTGCTGCGGGTAGGCCTGAGGCGGCTGCTGCGGCGGGTAGGCCTGCGACTGGTACGGCGAGGCGGCCTGGGGAGCCGGCGACTGCTTGTTGGGCTGGGCGGCGTGGGTGGGAGGAAAGGCGGCGCTGCGTCGGAAGCCCGTCTGGGGGAAACTCAGGCCGTGGGCGTTGGATCCGGACGGGCCCAGGCCAGCCATGATGGGCGAGGGCAGCGGTCGCTGTCGTCGGTCGGGGACGGCGCGGGCTCTTGCGGCGGGCGGAGGGCAGCAAGCAAGCCGGTCACGCGGACAAGCAAGCAAGCGGTCGGGCTCGAGACCACCGGCACGAGCACACGGAGTCGCGAAACGAAGAAACAGTCCAACGACAGAGGAGACACGAGCGAGCGAGCAAGCACGGCCCAGTCGGCGTCGAGTCGGGGCGTGTTGTCGTCGTCGTCGTCGTCAGCCGGCCGGTCGCGGGTCGAGGGAGGTCGGATGGCTCGCGACGGCGAAACGTCGTGGCCAGCGCCGCTTCAGCGATGCCCTGGATCGGTCGAGATCGCGAAGCGCTTGCAGTTTCCCGCTCGTCCTTTTGTGTATCGCAAGAATTATTTTTTTAATTCTTCTACATCCAAGCAAACCCGGAATCCTGGTTCGGGGGTGTCGTTAATGGGGCTGGCAGAGGCGTGCAAAGCGTGGAGGTGCGGCGCTGGGTAAGGAGGTGTGGGCAGAATGACCAGCAAGAGAAAAGGGAAACGAGGAGGGAAAAAAAAAAAAACAGAAGTGCGAGCAGGCAAACTGGTGTGCGTTTGGGGGGAACCTTGGGGGGGGGTTGAGAGGAGAGGGGGTTTGTTTTGAGAGGGAGGGGATCTGGGCTGGGGGGGGGGACAAGAGAGGCAGCGAGATCTAAGGCAGATGGAGGGGGGGCAAAAGTTTTTTTCTGTCGCCGTGCTTTTTCTCGCTCGTTTTCTGGCGCTTCCGTTGGGTTCCGATCCGCAAGTCAAGTGACGGCTGCTGTTGACCCAAAGTACCGTCCGTAGTAGTTGCAGTACCTGGATGGCCCGGCGCTGCTGACGGACTGACTGAGTGAGCGAAAAGAGTCTCGAATCGAAATGCCGTGCTGATTCTCTGCGTCTCGCCTGTTATTTTTGTCCTCGCTCTTCCAGTCGTCGTCAGTCTGCGCACAAGTGCACGTCCAAGTACTTGTACAAGGGCGCCGCCTGTGGCATGGATTGGCAAACGGGCTGGGTTGATTACACTGGGCTGGGGGCGGGCGGTTCTCGCGCCTGATTCGCCAGGAAGTGACCGGGGTCTGCGTTTCTGCCCTTCGGCACTGCCCCCCAGCCGCTGCCTGCACGAGGTATCGGTACGACTCTCGGTGCCTGCCAGTATCGGTACGTGGGTCGATGCCGGTACCAGCGCGGCTGCGTGTTCATGTACAAGTACAGTGCAGTCCACACCTGGCGCGTCTCCGTGCAGTCATCGAGCATGAAGCCATACAGACGACGCCATCTGTTACACAAGAATCCATCTTCCCTGTCGAGATCAGGGCACAGCTAGCCCAGCATCCATCGTCCTGCTCAGCCCTATCAGCCCGCCACATCGAACGGCGCATCCCCTCCATCGTCCATCTCCGTCGTCCAACGTTCTGTCCAGAGTGTCCTCTTCTATAGGTATCTACCCGCACAAGTTGTACGGTGAGAGCCTCATTGAGCCATGGATGTACTCGTGCACGTATCTCCCCATGCCAGTGAGTACCGCTACCTCGCCCAGCCCTCCCGCGCCGTCCTGGTCCAACCTCAGCCAAGCCATGCAATGCAAGGGTTTTCTTTTGCCTGCGTTTTGTCGTCATACCCTCTCGTTTCAGTCGAATTGCGACTCGCACAGTGACCGACACAGTACCTAGTACCTAGATAGGTGCCCTTACGCGCCAACTTATAGCGGCCCATGTGATGTCAGCCGGCTCCAAAACGAGCAGCTTCTGACGTGAGCCTCTGTCCAATGAGCCTCGCGTTTCCCTATTCTGTCGTTGGTGATGCTTCATGCTCTCCTGTTTTCTTTTCTCCCCTTTCCAAAGGGTTTAGAACCTCTGTATTCACGTATGATAGGCTGTCAGCGATATCCGCTAGAGAACACCTTACTCGTAACCGCCCCCAAATGAAGAGCAGAGACTGGTTAGTATTGTGCAGATAAACAAAAACATCGACATGTACTTGTAAAATACGGGCACAGTGCCAGCCAAACCCGCCACTCGCGCGCGTTCCCGTCCGCTTCCTCCATATTGAGCCCAGCCCAGCCAAACAAGGGTCCAATCCGGCCCCGTCCCAGTCCCAGCCCAGTCCGATTTCTGCTTCCCGCCCCCCGGGGCCTTTTACCGTGTGGGATTGGTCGGATCGCAAAGGGCCAATTCCAATGCTTCGTCCTGTTGCGCGCTTGGATCTAGAGTAGTAGTAGTACTACTACTACTACTACTAGCAGGTGACCAAATCTCAGACAGGGAAAAATCGCCGACACCGCACATGAATCAAGCGCACCGCAAACCAAAGCAACAAGCAACTGCTTATCACGTAGATAGATCAAACAGCTGCTTTATAGGTGTGTATGATTGAAACCTTCTGTGGTGTGTTTGGATATTATTCGGCCTACCGTAAGTGGTATCCTGTCGTGCTATCGTATGCATGCATCTTGTCTGATTTATTGGCATGCTAAAAGCGCGGCAGGGATGGCAATCCCAGCTGAGAGGCCCGACAAATCTGTCACTTCTAGTGCAAAATGTAGCGGTACTTGACTCTGTCTCACTTTTTGGCAAAATGTAGCGGTACCTATTCGTTTGCGCTTTGTCGTGCTCCGTCCTTTTTTATAACATCGTACATGCGTGAATTCTTCATGTACCTGTAAAACGAGAATGCTCGTCTAGACTTCAATTACCTACATCAAATCAGTTTAACACCTAACATACTCTTGTCTCTTGCACACTACCTTACCTCAGAGCAGCCTTCACAAACACAAACCCCATAAAAAGTCTTTCATCATACTACTCGTACGCTCGATATTGAAGAAGAGTGCAAGAGGGGGGGAGAGAAGAGACAAGCAGAGAGAAAGCCACGTCAAATTATCAATGTCTCTCTTTCGGCTTCGTCAAGAAACATCCCCCCCCGTGCGATCCAGACCAACGTCCGGGCACCGCCACCATCTGCCATCTTCCTTCGCTAACTACTACTACTACTACCTACCCAAGCGTCTCTGCATATGCATATGCATACAGCCCCCTTCTGCCGGGTCACATCTCATCACATCTCCTCTCCCTTCTCGCTCCTCAAGAGGCATATCAAAGAAAATCCTACCTGAAATGCACATAGCTCAGAGACCAGAATGACCTCAAAAGATGTAAGAACAGAGGACATAGCTTATGAAGAACAAGAAGCCATCAGATTAGCCCAATAGCTATATAGAGACAAATGCAGACAATTGATCCATAAAGAAAAGAACACGCATCCGCCTCTCCCGCCAACAATCAAAACAAAAATCTCCCTACGTCATCCCCCAGATCCCCATGCAGGGTAATTCCGCATATAGTACACATCACAAACAGATGCCCAATGCCACCCAACAAACTGTCACCAGCATGCACCTCGATCAAATCAGATTCATCATCCGTCATGTGAGCACATACATCATTATCCGTGAACGAAAACAGACGTCGAAAATGCCAAAGTAAAACCCAAATTTGAATTGCGAGTGTAATTGTGACTGTAACTGTAACTGCGCAATGTAACCCAATCCGCCCATCGTAAAAGTCCGCGAAAATATCCAAAAAAAAAAAAA